ATTGATATTTAACTACAAATATCTTAATTAAATAATTTGCATATTTCCGAAATCTTGCCCAATAAATCCATTAAGATATCGGCCAATTAAAAAACTTAATTAATACGCAATTAATTAAAATAAAAGACATTCTATAGATTATATATAATCTTAACAATTATATTACGAATTTAAAACAAAGGTTCGTCGTTTTCCCACTGTTGATATCTTTTTAGGTAGTTGTAAAAAACATCGAAAATTGCAGATGGTAAACTAAAATTAACCACCACCTATAATATGTTACAATTTAAAAAGAAGTAGCCGGAAGTCTACTTCCTTTACGTGTTCTTCACCACAGTAGTTAATTGTTACATGCTTCCATGCCTTTGTTTTAATTCTAATTATGCAAATTTTAGGTAATTAACAAACATTAACCTTCCTTTGTTCTACAAATCATACAACTGCTACATCTCACTTCTGTTTGACTGACAAATCGCTATATAAGCCGCATGGCGATTTCAAACAAATTGAACTAAATTTAGGTTCTTTTTGCTGTTTTATTAAAAATATGCTCTATAAGCAGTGTTGCCGCTTGCGGGTATTTTATACATTTTATTAAAGCGGGTATTTTGCAAATTTTGATACTACCTAACTAAATATTTTTTTAAATAATATTGTATTTTAACTAAATTCATCCGGCAACACATACATCTCAACATTAGCTGTTTTTTTTTTGTAAAAATGTCAGCTTCACGAAAAAAATTCAAACTGGAGTTTTCTGTTTGATTTAAACCTTTCCCAGGACGATATGTAAATTTTCGACCTCAATTTTTGCCATAAAAACGAATTTTTTAAGTTAAAATCGCTAGCGTCAAAATTCTTATCCGGTATCAAAAGTATGTAAAAGAAAGTTTTGGAGGGCTTCAATTTAAGGGTTTGTTTGACCAAATCGATCAATTAGATTTTAAGCTATACTCAAAAACGTCAAAACACCTCCGAAAATTGAAAAAAAAACAATTGAAAATTCATATTTGAAAAACGCTTCCACAAAAAAAAATGAGTTTGATTTGTGTTTAGTGGGTCAAAATACATGAGAAAATTATAATGGGATATGGTGCTCTCTAAAAATGAATTAGTCAAAAGTAACTAATTTAATAGTTAATAGTGGCTGCTTTTTCACTTGTGCCATGGTTAACCATGGAATACCATGGTATCCCAAAATTTAACAGCCAATTCTTATGTAAAATTTTCCCCTGAATCCGAAAAAGTCGTCAAAAGTTAAAAAAGTGGAACAGTTTTTGAGATATAGTCAATTTTCCATTTAATATGGAATTGACTATATCTCAAAAACTGTTCTACTTTTTTAAATTTTAACGGTATTTTCTGATTCAGGGGAAAATTTTACATAAGAATTGGCTGTTAAATTTTGGGATACCATAGTATTCCATGGTTAACCATGGCACAAGTGAAAAAGCAGCCACTATTAACTATTAAATTAGTTACTTTTGACTAATTAATTTTTAGAGAGTGCACTCGAAAAAAAATTCTGCCCGTGGGCAGAATTTTTTTTCGATTTTATAAACCAGTGTAATTATTTACAACTTTGTTAACTCTTATATATATATATATATATAGACTATAGTAAACGAATTTACCATTTATTACCATCGAGTTTAAATATATTTGGTGAAATATAACTTGTTGGTAAAAAAAATATAACCAAATCAACCAAAGCTGTGGTTAATTTACCAAAAAGTTATATCAAAAGTTAAACTAAACCAAAATATGTCTAAAAAAATAACTAGTCTGAACCATTTTTAAAGCTTAAAATTATAAGTTAATATAACGTTATGCAACTTCTAAAACAACCTACTTTTTAACTTATAAGTAATATAACTAACTAATAAAATATTTGGTTTATTTATAGTCAATTTAAACTCTTGAAATAACCTAAATTTCCCTATAGGTTAATTTAGGTTATTTTAAGATGATCTCGCTACTATTTATGTAAAAAATCGCTATACAAGTATATAAACCAAATGGCGAGTTTCATAGTTCTTTTAAAGCTTATTGAAGTATATATTGATTACAAGTAATTAACGATTTTTAATTGATCTACCGATCAAAAATGACACGTGTATCTCAAGTTATTTATTCCAGACCATTAGCTGAACTCCCTACGTTCGTAATACCACCAGCTATCGTTCTTCTTTTTTATCTAAGAAGGAATCTAAATCTTCAGTTTTTTATAACCAATTCAGCATTACGTGTATCTCGTTGAAAAAACGGAGTTATAAGCAGTCAAAAGTTTGAAACACTGTATTTTGGCAAAATATCGATTTTAACGAATATGTGAGGGTATACCAAGGAAAAGGTGACCTTTTTAACAAAAAAGGTATAGAGATGTCATAATATAATATATACTTTGTTGCATATCTGTTTGGTCCATGTGGCGTTATAGAAAAATGTCCATAGCATTTTATCATTTTGAAAGCATTGGAGCGTCAAACTGAAACCCGTTCTACAGCTTAAACTAATTTATTTATACACCGCGCGTTTGGTCTCTTGCTTCGCTCTACGAACATTCATTACGAAGCAAACTGATTTATTTTCTATTTTTAATCGAACTTGTTTTTAATTAGATTTAAGAAAAATCTCCTCCAGATATGCTTGGATCTATTATTCGTAATTTATAAAGCTAGCCATGGGAAAGTTGTTTTTTGTTTCGTTCTTTAACATTTTATTTTAAAATAATTAATAGAGCAGCCTTCTTATGAATTCGGACATTTTATAGAAAAATCTATTTATTAAGTCTTACATCCACTTATTAATTCATTCGGTCTTTGTTCAACAATTTAAAAAAATCAAAGTTGGTCATGAATAGATTGTTAATAATCTGGGGAGGCTCAACGCAAAAAGGTTGGGTATCCCTGCTTTAGAGAGTTAAGTCATAGCGTAAAAAAATGGTTTTCTTTTTTAAGAATTTATTTCCTATTACTTAGACCTAATTTTACATGGCTCTGTACATAGTAAAACAATAATTGTTAATTTTAACCAGATTTTATGTTAATCCCTGGATAACTTTATGTTAAGTTTACAACCAACTGTAATCTGTTAACCCAAGCAGCATTTTAAGTAAATGCGTAGAGCTTTGAGGCAATATTACTTAATTTAAGTAAATATTTTGTTAAATTAACCATAAAAATTTACTTTGAAGTAAAACTTTTTTTATTTATGTTATTTTTACATATTTTAATAACCCTTAAGTTTCAACACTTTAAATTTTATGAGGAACGTAATTTTTACGAAAGATAATTACTTATAAGTGTATTTTACCTAAAGGAAAATTTAAAGGTAATTTTAACGTTAGAATTTTTACTTAATGGTAAATGTTACTCATAAGTCATAATTTTACGATATTAAGACCACTTTATAACCGTAAATAATTCCTATTCGCCTGGTATTTTTTAGGGTTATTTGTGGTAATAAATACTACTAATATTGACTAAAAAAGGAAAAATAAGCTTAAAGTGAAAAATAAAACTTTAAGGGTCGCCATAATGAGTTTTTTAAGATGGCATCCATTACTTATCTAAACATTTAAATAATATTTTTGTCATAAATATTTTTCTAAAATATAATAAGGAAAGTTTTAGTTTTTAAAAAATGATTAAAACTAAATGATTTTTAAAAGATTTTATAAAATTTTGTAGGTTTTAAGTTTTGTTGAATTTTTACCCAAGCAATAATTTTTTTTAAAACCTTAAAATATTTAGAGGGCATATAATTTTTAAGATGTATCATGCCTATTTTTATCAATAATAGTTATTTATGTATTAAGGGCATAATAAGGTTTTTATGGTCCGAGGCGCTATTTCGAGCCCGAGCGCGTTAGCGCGAGGGCTAGAAAAGCGTCGTAGGACCATAAAAACCAGTTATGCCAGCAATGCATACAAAACTTTATGCACGATTAATTTATTATTATTTTTAATATATTATTGTTTTTAAAGACGTTTACGTCAAAGAATTTTTGTTATAATTGTCATATTATAATGTCAACTGACATCAGTCAGTTTTAAAGTTTAAAGATAAATGAAATTGAGGAAGCAGCTGAAAAGGCGAAAAATTGCGGCCTGCTGCCGGTAAAATCAAAATCTTTATACGAAAAAACTTACTTAAAATATATCAAATGGTGTAACATTGTTGTTTTTAATTTTTGACGTTTCATTATAGCCCGCTGGGCCATAATAACGCCCGCGGGCTATAAAAAGACGTTTACGTCAAAGAATTTTTGTTATAATTGTCATATTATAATGTCATCGTGCATAAAATAATTTAAGTTATAATTTTTAATTTTACTCTAGGGTGGCCTTTATTACTTTGTATACTTATAAGTGTCATTTTGTAAAATATAAATTAAAAGAACAAAGAAATTACGAATGTCAATGTTTTAGAAAGAGAGAGCAAACAGTTAGTAATTATAGTGTTATTTTTACGTAAATTTGTGGTATTTATATTGTTTTTATTACGTGATTCTCTTAGTAGATCAAAAAGGTTATTATGTAGGTAAAATAACGAAATAAACCATTCCCCAAATTTGGTAATTTTTCGTATCTATACCGTTATAAAACCATTTTGGTTAACCGTAGTTGACTTGGTAGTAAATTTGTAGTTATTTAAACTTATTTAAAATGCTGCTTGGGAACTAATTGAATAAGCAATTTGTAACTATAACAGACATTTTGTAGATTTAATAACAAAATTCTATGTCAATAATTCAACCATAATTCTTGTAATTTTCAAAAAGGAACTTATTTTTACAAACCTTTTTGTAGACCCAGTAAAATAAGTATTTGTTGGAAACTTAAATGAAAAGAATTTTTATAAGAAATGTTGCTTTATTAATCAATTTCCTAAACAAAAAAATAATAAAAATAAAGTAAACAAACTACAAAATTATGTTAACAAATCTGATTTTTATACCAGTGTAACAAAAAACTCAACAAAAACTTTTTTTGCAGATACATTCACAGCAAGGAAAAACCGTTCAAATGTGGGGAGTGTGGAAAAGGTTTCTGCCAAAGCCGAACACTGGCAGTCCACAAAATCCTCCACATGGAGGAATCCCCCCACAAGTGCCCTGTGTGCTCTAGATCCTTCAACCAACGGTCGAATTTGAAGACCCACCTGTTAACACACACAGATCACAAACCGTACGAGTGCAACTCTTGCGGCAAGGTCTTCAGGAGGAATTGCGACTTGAGGAGGCACGCGTTGACGCACGCGGTAGGAGACGTACCGGAGGACGGTTTCGTACCTCGCGAAGACATGGAAGAGAGAGCTAGAAGCTCGTCCAGAGGCAGAAGCCCTTCTCTGGACTCCAGGGACGACGAGAGCGTTAGGGTTTGCTCGCCAACACCCGAGGTGACAAAGTGTCACGAACCGAGCAGCTCGTACACTATGAGACCCATGAGGCACCACAGCAGAATTGTGCGCGAGCTGGACGACGAAGACGAGCTAGATGAGGATCCGGAGATCGATCCAGGTAAAAACACCTTAAACGTAAAGCAAAGTTTTAAACGCGCCTACTTCTTTGCAGGTGTGGAGGATCAACCGGATGTGGAAGATAGATCCGAAGCGTCGGAAACGTCGGAGGTGGTTATACAACCCCCGGTACAGCATCCCCAGCTCCAAATACGTCGCGATTTGCACCCGACGACCTCCAAACCGTCCACAATGACCAGCGAATCCATGGATAATCACCCCTATTTGGGGCCGTTCAGAAAACGCACTCTGGATCAAGAAAGACCGTCCACATCGTATACAGGACCCTCCACGAGTTACAGTAGCACCCCACCGATGAATTTGCGCGTCCACAACTTCTATCAGCTCCCCCATACGCCCCAGCAGTTCATGGAGAATCAGATTTTGAAGCCTCCCGATATACCGAACAACATGCTTCCAATATTCATGAATCCGAACCATAAGATGAGCGATCCGGGGCCTTCGACTTCGTCATCCTCGATGGAGAGTCAGAGCATGCCAAGCGACCTCTCCATGAAGAAGGAGGAGGTGCATCCCCCCAGGCCGCCCCAGAACCCCCCTCCGAAGAAAACCGGGTTCACTATAGCGGATATAATGGGACGATAGTTTTCGGTGATATTTAAAGTGATGAAAGTGCAATTGGAATCAAAATTGAAGAAAAAAGTTTATTTATTGAATAACCCGTTTTTGATGATAATTTGACTGAATACTAATGTTCGGTTGCCATTAAATGAATTGTATATACAGTGCTCAATTATTAATTTATTGATAAAATTTTTAAATGTGCTGTACTATATTTATACATATAGTTTGACTGATTTTATCATAAACAGTTCCTTGTTTTTTTAGTACGTTTTGTGTGAATTTTATTTTGTAATTAGTGGGAACATTACTCGCGTTTCTAGGTACAAAACATTTTATTTGTGTTTTTAATAAACCTCTATTAGTTTATGTTTTATAAATATGGTTAACGGATTTTTTTATACAAATTTGTAATTTTAATTTTTTTTTATTGTTCCGTACTTGATATTTTTTGTAATTATTTTATTAGATCTCAGAATCTATTTTGATATTGTTGTTTTTTATTAGTTTAAAAATTATAAATCACTATTTTGATTATTATGTAAGATTATTTTATGATTTTAGTTATTTAAGTCGTGTATTATTTTTTGTGATTTTTTTGCAAAATAAATTAATAAAAAAAGGCAATTTTTTAAACATTATAAATTCCCTGCCTAACAACGGGAATAATGAACTCATTATTAACGTTGTTAGGCAACAGTGATTGGCCGATTTTAATATTCACTGTGATATGAACCAATCGGGTTTTAAATTGGGAGAAGACGACTATGATAATATTTAAAATTGGTAAAAAGTGAGGTTAACCATTTGACAGATGTCAGATTTTATTTAATTATTTTTGAGAATCATTTAATTATCTACTTATTGGAGTAGATAAAGTATAGTATTACACACGAGATTATGTGCATTATTCACTCGAATATGCTTGCCAATAGAAAAAACTTTTTTACGTTTTACGAAAAATTATGTTTGTTTAAAAACAGTTTCTGGTAAATAATTGAATTAAATGTGCAGGGTGCTTAGAAATTAATAAAAAATGTCGATGACAAATTAAATTCAAGTACCTGAAGGTAAAAACGAAATATTTTTTTTTATTTTACAATTTGTATAAGCAATAAATATGTGATAAATAAATAAATAAAATTAAATGTTTTATTTAGAATTTTGAATTTAATTTGAAATTAATATCCGGGACACTGTATCTTCAAGTAACTGCTATTTGGGGCCGTCCATAAATCTCGTGACGCTGGAGGAGGGGTTTGCTATGCCCGAAGGGGAGGGTTTATTAAAACATTACGTAATTTTTAAAATTTACCTTTATTAATGCAGTACTTGTTACATGACTTTTATTGGTTTTTAGAAACGCTAAAATAATCTCCTAAATTGTTTTTATCTATTTTACGTTCATAATTATAACACGCTTTCGGTGCTGTAATGAGATACTTTATGCCACCCAAAATTTTGAATTTATAGGTTGGCCATACTTTAAACAGCATAATATTTTGCATATTGGTTATAATATTTTTATAATTTTTCTAGTACCTACTTACGAGACTTTTCTGGCAAACAATTTTGTTTAACACAAAAGAAAATCCTTTTTTTCTTCTTTAACATTAACAGCCGCTTATTGTAAATAAGTAAATTAAGGACGGCATGGCGAATCGATTTTAACATTAACTGTCAAACCAATTACTGTGATACCAACTATCTAAAGTAAAATTCGACCAAATTTAATTTAAGGTATAAAATTAATTTTTTTTATAGAATTTTTGCAAAATAGAATAAAGAACTTATGCAGAACAATTAGTTAGACATTAGTTCTTTAATATACTATTATTAACCTCCAGGTGGTTATGGTACCTAGGCTATAACGAAATACATACAAAATTAAACTGTTACTGTAAAGGCAATTTAATATAAAACATACACCGTTTAAAAACCCATACAGGGTGCTTTTTTAAATTTATTGAACATATTTCATTTCAAGCGATTTTAAATCATCCTATGCAGAGCTTTTTAATTATATCAACATATCTCAAATATCTGCTTTCAATTATTGAAGAATGCGATCAAGCTAGCCGAGAACTGGCCTGCTTGGATTCTGCACTCACGGAGTACCAAGTTTAATGACGTCGCTGAAAATAAAAAATGGAACCGGTACCAAATGCGCTGTTGTCATATCTACGTGGATATATAGAGTAGAGTCGAGACAATGTATTTGTAGGTATTTTGTAACATCGGTTGTCAATTTATGTCATTTTTTGTATCAAAGTGATTTTTTCTTCCATTAATTAAGAACGCAATTGTTAAGGATTGTATGTCGTAGAAGCTTCAAAAATGGAACAAACGGAGCTTTTGTTCTTTAAAAAAAATGCAGTCGAAACTTTGGGTGTTCCTAAAATTTCAATTAATGAACTCTATGATTATTTCGATGGTTTTCAGACATTAGGGTTATAGAATTTATTGTCATTTAAAAAAATAGTAGACAAAAAAGATCCAGAGATTATTATTGGTTTTCGATAAATGTTTCGATTAAACTTTCGAGCCGCCTTATAATTTTCGAAGATTGTACGTTCTGGGGCGTTAAAAGGGGCGTGGTTACGGTGTACACAAACGGGTTGCCGAATTTTAGGTCCTTGGAAAAATGACACAAGTCAACAGCATAATATTTTATTCGATAAAAGTTTATTTATGGGTGATTCTACCATAAATTGTTTACCTAAATTTAATTAAAAAAAAATAGTTGTTTAATATTTTTTAATTTAGCAGATTTCCCTGTAGAAAAATTCAAGTAAAAAGTTTTAAAATTGGTCAAAATATGTTTTTATTAATACATATAATATGTAACATATTACACAGTACGACAAAATTTGATTTTTTTCCCTCCCATGAAAAATTTCTATAGATTTTGAAAATAGACTTAAAAAAATTCTACCCGTGTCTCGGCGTTTTTTCAGATCACGTCATTTTTTTTAAGTGCGATCCAATGAAATGTTGTCCACGGCATTGGCACAAAATATAACAGATTCGATAACAGCTAGACAGTATATTTTTATGAAAAATTTATTCACTGAATAAATGGACAACCATAAAGATTATTTTTTATTTTAAATTTTTTTAATTATATACAGGGTGTTGCACATTATCATAAAATGCCTATAGCCTATAACTTTCTTGCTATTAGGTTTGCAGAAATGGGGGTGGAATTTTTGGAATCTTAAAACATTGTTTAAAAGATTTTCTTAACATCCGGGTGTTACATTTAAAATAAAAAAGTTATTAACGTTTCAAGTTAGCCCAATTTTCCCTGGAGTTTCTCGGGTAATTTGTTGAAAAATGTTAAAGAATTGACATGGAATTTTTTAAACAATGTTTTAGGATTCCAAACATTTTACCCCCATATCCGTAAACCTAATAGCAAACATCTAGAAAACTATTCACTTTAGGTATAGGACATGGTATACCATACTATACTATACTATATATAGTAATATATCGTAATTTTACTCAGAATTTTATTTTTATTTGAAATAACAAAGTTGATGTCACTTCCGGTCAAACCGAAAGTTTCATTTTGTTCAAAATATTAAAAAAAAGACTTATAAACGCTTTTAAATTTCAAATGTATATTTCTTCCGTTCTCCAGAAACTTCCAATGGACCACGAATGTGAAACACCCTGTATAGTGCTATTTTTAGGTTGTGATACCATTATAGAGCAATGCATAATCGTCAAACTAAAAGATCAAGATTTGTTTCCAACATATACACTCACAGGCAAAATAATCGATCCACACAAATTTTCCATGAATTTCAATCGCAAATAACTTTTTTATTTGATGTCGGATTTAAACGAATATTAAAGAATATTGTAGATAACTAAATGAACAAGCGCTTACATTTTAAAAAATTACTAAAAAATAGACGTACGTTTATAATATACAGGTTTAAACACTCTGTAGAGTGGCAAAACCGTATATTATTCTAAATTAAGTTTTATTTATCTTTACAGTTTTGTTTTTGGTTCACCTCAATATATTTATTTTTGTGGAAAATATGGATTTTTTAAAAAAACATTGCAATTTCCAATATTTTTGCTATGGTCCATCCATAGGCTATGGAGAATGACATTGACAGTTTTGTTGAATCATCCCATACTTGGACATGTCATACACGGCTTTCAAAAGCTATCAAATTGTTTTTTGCAAATTAATGTTTAAATTTTGAGGTGCCTTCTTACTTTAAAAAATGGATATGTCTCCGACTGATGTTGCCAGAGCCATTAATTTAATCCAGGATGGACGGTCACAGTATTACGTGGCAAGTGTTTTAAACGTCACAAGAAGTAAAGTACAAAGGGCAACATCAGTCGGAGAAGAAAAAAATAATTTATAAGAAAATAGAGAATTAAAAATCTGTTTAGGTTAAAATAATAAGAATGGCTGTGTAAAAAAATTAAATGACGTGATTTCGTCATTAATGTTAGCTTAACTTGCTATATACAGCCTGTAGCATACAGATAAGTCAAGTTTTTCTTTTTAACCACAACGTTTTTAAATTTCCAAGTGAAGAATTAATGTTATGGTAGAATCACTCTTTTATACATTCATATATGTAAAAATATTTATTATTTATTGATGATTGTGATAATAATAATTAAAAACATATAGTACCTATATAATTAAATATAACCTTTATATAAATTTATTATTTATAGGCGTAAAAATACAAAAACGATTATTCTTATTATGTTTCAAAAGAATGGACAATTTTTCGACAAATTTTATTTTATTTTTATAGGATTTGAGACAGGTATAAAATTTTATGATTCTCTCAAAATGGTTAACTGCTTCTGTTTGACCATTTTGCGGCATAAAGAAGGGTTCTCATTTATAGCCCAAGGCGCCACTGTGGCAAAAAATGACAAATGACAAACGTGAACAAAAAAAACGATAAAAACAAAAAATTGCATCAGAAAAATGGCCAAAAATGATTAACTAGTCTGTTAACTGTTAAATTAATTCATTATTTAATTGTGTATATTTATTGATGTCCGTCGGCCTATATTATACCAAATTTATTTTACATATTTAAAGGCAAATTTTCCTGCCAATAAGCGTGACGTTGTAAATTTCATTTATTTGATCGTATAAAAACGTTATCTATATTTTTATCTTAAAAATTCCCAATACCTATTATGCAATATTATAAGCTACCTATAGGGACAAATATAACTATTATTTCAGTAGTGACGTGGAAAAATAAGCGAAGTGTGCAAAATTAAAAAAATTAAAAATTATGAATTGTGCAGTGCAAACAAACAAAAAATATTTATATAAAACTATAAGTAGGTATGTAGTTTAAATATTGACATTTATACAAAGTGATTTATTAATATTGCCAAGAAATTTAGAAATAATTTTTTTTATAAAAAAAAAATCAAAAATTAATTAGATTCCTTGGTCTATTTACTAAATTTTCGTCTTTTGTCTTTTTTTAATATCTTGCAACAATTAAAATATCGTATTTTGTACCTACATAAGCTATTAAAAATATTGACCCCTTTTTTAGTTGCATTTTGGATTTATGGTGTAAAATAGTTATTTTAGGAATTTCAAAAATTTATTTTCAAAAACCAAATAAAATATTAAAAATATTTTGCAAAAATAGCCAATATATTATTAATATTAATATATTAATTATAATTAAAAAAAATCAAATTCAGTCGTTTTCGATTTTGGGGTCACTTTTTACCCCCCTATAAATATGACCATACCAGTTAAGGATTTTCATCTAAAAACAAATTAATTACGGATTTCTATACCAGGTATTTATTTATAACATGGAGATTTAAACCAAAACAAAAAAATGATCGGGTTCTGAAAGTGGTTTTCGTTTCTCCTATCCAAAGAATGCCTTTTTGCGGTTACATAATGTTTAGATTGATTCAGATTTTTTTTAATATCGATTTTAAGTTTTATTAATTTTGGAACCCCAAAAACCGTTATTTATTAATTTAAACCAATTAACTGGTAGGAAATTGTTGTCATAACAATAAATTAAAAAGAAATAATAAAAAATAAAACTAAAAGTGCATTTGCTCCATGCACATCTTGACCTGTTCGAAAATCAGCTGTCCACCGAATCATAAGAGCATCAAACCATTGAGTAAAGAAGTGTTCTTTACTCAATGATCAAACAATAATGGAAATGGAAAATCCTTATAGAGGAAAGAGGTTTGATTCGATGTTGGCAGATTTTTGTTGGTCTATGGCAATGGAAATTTTGACATAAAATTATAAATAAAATTTGTTATATCTTTTATGTTGATTCATACTATTTGTTAAAAAGAATATGTTTTTAATAATTAATATAATAATAATTACCATAATTATTATTATGGTAGAAGCGAAAGAACTAAGAAATTGCACTACAACATATTAAATCCAGAAAAAGGTTCAATTATAAAAAAAAATGCATTTTATTGTTCTCATTATTTTTTTAATTAATTATTTTTTTCTTTATTTGATTGTTATTACTTTATAAAACAATATACAAAACCAATAATTATCTTTTATGTACTAATTATTTATTATTTTACGATATTTCGGGATTCAGAATTACTAAAACTTTAAATTGATATTAAAAAAAAACACACTCAATCTAAAAATTCTGTAAACGCTATAATTCATGATTTTGATTGAAGAAACCGAAAATACTTTCAGAACCCCATCATCTTAATTTTTTCCGAAAATGTTGCACAGTGTAATTAATTGGCCAACTTTTATTCTATGGTTGCCCGCTTGGCGTGAAATGACCCAAAAGCAAGTTATGTTGAATATTAGGGTCATTTTCAAGAAACACCCGCTTTTAGGAAAATAAAGATCAAATTTTTTTTTGCTTAAATTGACTTTTGGTTGGATTTTTATAAATGTTTAGAGTTTTGTTTACTTACATTTAAGACAGGCAGTGCACTTTTTAATTTTTTTTACCTTTTTTTCAGAAAAATGTTTTTAGCTAGCTTTATATATCTCCACTGTGTTACCAATTTGAAATCCAAAATTTAATTCAATAAAAAAAGTTGTTATAAAAATATTTTGAAATAAAATGTACTTAGTTCACAAACTTTTGACTCCAATTTTTTATTTTATTTTTTATTAAAAATTGTATGCTTTTTTTAAATATGTATGTTCGTTAAGTTACTTTTTAAAAGAAACCATTCCGATTCTTTGTTAAAAAAACAATACCATTAATATTTTCTTTTAGTCACTGAATTAGTGAGTTAAACTCTAATTTATAAACACGTATGTATTATCAAGTGATAGTGTATAAAAATCATTTTAAGTATTTTTTTTAACAAAAAAAAGTAACGAAATAGACATTGGTATCACAACGGACTGGGGTACACAAAGGACTTAATCAGATAACGTAACAAGAAACTATAAAGGGTGGTACGATTTTAGAGTAATGCATAAACAAAATCCCTTGTAGTGGTGCTCACTTGCAGAATAACTTAGATTTCTAAATTGTAGACACCCTTTTTCTTTGACTATAAGCTGGTGAAGGTCCCTTTTAGTACTTGTATATTGCGTGGAATTTTCCCTTGGATGTTATCTATATCATAAGTTTAATCACAAATAATTTTAAATTGGTTTATCATAAACTACTTTTAATAAAAGCGACGGTAAATATCCACTTTGTTGTCGAAAAATTCTATTGCGTTACCCTAAATTCCATTGAGTTACCATAAGGTAACATAATGGACTCGGTAACGCAGTGGAAAAAGTTTTGTGAAACCATATATGGTTAAATATATTTAAAAAATAATAATAAGACATTACAGTCATTAATTACTCTCAATGAGCTTTAGTGCCCTAAAATAAACATAAACATGAAAAATAGTATTTTTTCTTACCTTATTTTTATTATTTTTTTGAGTAACTTAGCGGACAAACAATTATTACATTCGCGTTACCCGCATGCACCTGTTTTAACCGATATCTTCTTCCTGGTTGAATAAATAAATTCAGCTGGGTAATGTGTACGTCAGAACATCATTTGTTGATCACGTGAGTGCCAAAAAAGTTGCCATATATATGTTTTTTTAATATTCTATCGGTAACGCGACGGACGTAACGCAACGGAAAAAATGTCTGGGACATGAGTCAAATTTAAAAAAAGTTTTTTTAAATTAAATATTTTATATATAAATTGTTTACTGTATTAACTAACGATGTTATGGATTGCTATAAAGCAACACAAAGTTCTGGTTATTTAATATTTAAAAAAAACATGTATGTAAGTTTTATAAAACGCTAATGGGACATGCGAAAATGTGTGTTTCACAAGTTTCAAAATTAAAAAAAAATTATTCTGAAATAACTAAAGAAACATTTTCTGAAAGAGGTTACTAAGGGCTTGTTAGGCTTTCACTTGGTTTTTAAATCAATAAGATCCGATAATTTTTAACAAAGTTATTGGAATTCAAACTTACGGACAGCGGAAGGCGGGTGTTTTTTAAAAACGACCCATGTAGTGCATCTCTTATTGGCTGTATCATTTATTGTAGGTCATACTAAGTATTTCTTTAATTTGTCGTATTTAGTTGGGCTATTGTTTAATAGAGGGCGCTGTTTTAAGTAACGTTACTTAAGTTGCATTTTTATTTTAAACTGAGCTAAATTGGTGGAGGAATGATTTTAGAGCGTGTAAATTCTTAAAATAACATTTTAAATATTAAAGTTAAATTAATTGTGTAATATTGAATGACGCCATTTTTATTTTAATTAATTAATTTCACGTGTGTGGCAATTAAAGTCAACTTTTCCCCCCTTTAATTAAAATATCCTCACGACGTTTTTACTTTCAAATTCATTTGTGCGGAATATAAAATCCTATCGTAGTGTGAATATTTATAAAAATATTTGCGTCATTCAAAAAATGCAAGGCAAGCTCAATTCGACGATTGTTAGTTGAAACAATAAGGTAATTGAACGGAAATTAGATAATACAGGGGGAAATACAAGTCACGTAGCCACTTGCAAGCGATTTTTCGAGCCTTCAAGATGTCCAGCGAAGAAGTGCACTGCCAGATACAATGCAGCGACCGCCTTCTGAAAATCGTGCACCTAAGAAGGATCTTCAAGGACTCCAAAACCGTGGTGGACATGAATTTGCTGAAGGATCGCCGCGAAACCTTCCAGGATTTTAATTTCTTGATGGAAAGCACGGAATGCGAACCCACCGACGAGATGCTCAGCAAATTTCTTGCGGACAACTTTGAAAACCTCGGCGAAATCGAAGACTGCACCCCGGAAGATTTCAAGGCCTGCCCGAAATTTCTCGACGGGATCACCGACAAGGATATGAAGGAGTTCGCGCAGGATTTGGTCGCGATTTGGCCGAAATTGGCGAGAAGAGTCAAGAGTGATGTTTTTAAACACCCCGACAAGTATACTTTGGTACCTGTGCCCAATCCCTTCATCATACCAGGTGGCCGGTTCAAGGAAATCTATTATTGGGATTCTTACTGGATAATCAAGGGGCTTCTATTGAGCGAAATGGTTGAAACGGCAAAAGGTATGCATACAGAATTTAATTTTTTATTATATCAATCTAAAAAAATTGTAATTATAACAAACATTTTGTATAATAACAAAATCCTACATCAATTAATTAAATTAAAATTAAAAAATGTACGAGGTGTGTTCAGAAAATAACGGGAATTGTTAAATTTCGCGGGTTCGGAGGGTCCGGTTGTCATAAAACTTTAGCTGTTTTCACTGTTTACTTTGTCTGTGGCAGCCCCTAAGGTTAGACGTGTTTTATGAGCTCGGCGATTTTTCGTTCATGAAAAGAAATGGATCAAAGAATTTGTATCCAATTTTGCTTAAAAAATGAAATAAATTCTGTGAAATATTAACAAAGGCCTATAGTGAGTCTGCTATAAGTAATACAAGAGTTTACAAGTGGTATAAGAGTTTCCAAGATGGCCGTGAAGACGTTGAAAATGACGAACGCCCCGAACGCACAAGCACATTAACAACCGATAAAAACATGGAAAAAGTGGAAGAAATGGTTATAAACCATCAGAGAAGTCGCTGATGATGTTGGTATATCGATTGGCTAACCCATGAAATTTTTTCGAATGTTTTCGGTATGAAACGCGTGGCAGCAAAATTTGTTCTAAAATTGTTGAACTTTGAACAAAATTTGCCCAAAAACAATACTGTAATGATGCCCCAGCCTCCATATTCGCCAGACATGCCTCTGTCTGACTTTTTCCTGTTCCCAAAAATAAAGAGAACCTTAAAGGAACGTCGTTTTGCAAGCATAGATGACATTAAAAGCGCATCGCTGAAAGAACTAAAGGCTATGCCAAAGATCGAGTTTTAGAAGTGTTTCGAGTATTGGAAGAAGAGCTGGCACATGTGCATAATATCCAATGGGGACTATTTTGAAAGCGAAAACATTAATGTAGACGAATAAATAAATATTTGTTTCAAAAAACGAAAATTCCCGATATTTTCTGAACACACCTCGTATATTCGATGCCACTATTTTTTTAAATGTATTTTGACCTGTTAAACTTGAAAATCAAATATAAAAATGGTTGATTTTAAGGTTATGTTTGTGAAAAAATTATGACTCGAATTATACTGTAAAACGTCAAAACGTCAATTGTCGGCGTTTTTTAGAGAACTCAAATCACAGATCACCACACTGTGACTCAAATATAAAAATGGTTGATTTTAAGGTTATGTTTGTGCAAAAATTATTTTTTACTAATTTCTTAAAAATGTCTAAACTTAAATACCTAATTATATTAGGTAAAGTTATCATTAGTTAATTCTGAACCAACAAATGTACTTACCGAATTGGTTCCTTTGGCAAAACATGAAAATGCAACGATTTAGTTCTTAAATTTTATTTACAATTAAAAACACAATAATTCACCATGATCCCTTAAATAAAATAAACACACTAACGTAACTATACAAGCATTTAAGCGTTGAGTTTCTTAATCAATGATATAAGGAATAATAAATTGAAATCGAGTACTAAAAAAGTTTTTTAATTTTTTCCTTGCAACGTAAAACACAAATAACTTGCGCGATTTAGCTGTGCAATTGAACAAAATTTGTCGAAAAAACTACCTATTTATTTAAAAATGATGTATAATCTGTGCTTTAAATGTATTGTTGACAATTCTTAAATTCACCCTATGCTATCGAAGCCCACCAGATGGCGCGCGGGTTGCGAAAACCCGATACTTCTTTAGCGTATTGGCAAAACCCTTTATACACCTAAAAACATTTTCAGGCATGCTGGAAAACTTCTTCCACTTGGTGAACAATTTCGGCTTTGTTCCAAACGGAAACAGAGTGTACTACTTGAACCGCTCTCAGCCTCCACTTTTGACGATGGCTGTATCGGAATACCTCAAAGTAACCAAGGACTACGATTGGCTGAAGTTGCACATCGACACCATAGAGAAGGAGCTGCTATACTGGGTGAACGAAAAAAGCGTGGAGGTCGAGAAGAATGGAAGAAAGTATACTGTTCTGAGATACGTGACGAGAAATTGTACTCCCAGACCGGAAAGTTATTTCGAGGATGTCCATACGAGTTCTGTGTTTCATTTGGACGTAGATAAAGTAACTAATTGGTTTCATAATTATAATTAAAGAGAAAATTTGTATTTATTTTTTATTTTTTAGGGCAAATGTTACTCAGAGATCAGGGCATCAGCCGAAAGCGGATGGGACTTCTCAAGTCGCTGGATTTTTGACTCAGACCAATACGATTTATGCCATCTTCAAGCTACCAGAGTTGCCCCAGTTGATCTAAATTCCTTCCTCTGCAAGTCGTTTTTGGAGATCAGCAAATTTTTCGAAATCCTAAGTAAAAAACAACATTTAACCAACAATTTTCTCATATTATATATCTTTGTAGATGATTTGGAGAAGGCCAAATTCTGGAACAACAAGTGGATGAATCTGGAAAAAGCCATCGAAGAAGTTTTCTACGATGATGAAGATGGAATTTGGTACGATTTTGACATTAAATTGGGGGTCAACCGTAAAGAATTTTACACAAGCAATTTTACCCCCCTGTGGACCGAATCTTACGACCCCAGTAGAGCTAAAGAGTATGGAAAACGAGCTGTTGAATACCTCAGAAACATGGATGTTCTGAAATACGAAGGTAAACATTGTTTATCAAATTGGTTTGAGCAATAATTAAAATAACCATTTCAGGAGGTATTCCAACTTCCCTTTACCCAACGGGCCAGCAATGGGACTTCCCCAACTCCTGGGCTCCGCTCCAGGACATCGTGATAATGGGCTTGGAAAAAAGTGGAGACCCGTGCGCTCAAAAAGTTGCCAAAGATTTGGCGACACGGTGGATCAAGGCTAACATGATTGGTTACGAGGAAACGAACGCGATGTTTGAAAAGTACGACGCCAGATTTTGCGGAAAATATGGAGGCGGCGGTGAATACGAAGTCCAGAGTGGTTTTGGTTGGACGAATGGCGTTGTTTTGATGTTCATCGATTATTTTTACAGTGACAATAAGAAAATGTTATAACCCATCCAAATATAACGAATTTTATTGAAAGGGTGTTTTGTTTTAACTTTAGTTATAAAATTAAACCTGATATTTAAGAACCTTCATTAAATACTAAATCTTCTGAAAAGTAAAATTATGAAAAATGTTCGACAAAAAAATGATACTGACAAATTGATTTTGTTGACTGGTAAATTAGATACGTAACCTACCATATGAACCGCAAAAAAATAATTTTTTTTATTGAATTGATAAAAAATTGTAACATAAACATTATAATATACAAATTTAAATATATTTTTCTACTCCCACCTTTAAAACGCCCTTTATCGTACATGTTTCCATGACACTAAGTGACCTTTTAAATACACATTGACAAGTTGTGGATTTATGGCTCTTTGGTCACAGGCTGAAGTTAGCAACAGGTTTTTAGTCACGGGCTGAAGTTAGTTTTATGTTAGTTGACAGTTGTCAAATGTCATACAATCGTTAAAAGAAATTGCCTTTCTTGTAAAATAATACTAAATGTGAAAATTATTTTATTATCTCAATACAAAAATACAAAAGTATTAAATAGTTTCTCAACGCCAATATTTGAAAAGTTTATATGAACATTGTACTGACCTTTTAATTTCCCCGGCAGTAAACTATAACTTAAATTCGGGCACGGACTCTACTGTAAAGTGCTCATAAAACATTTTCTTTACTTTCACTGTGAAAAACTGTCAATTTTCAAGATACATTTCGATTTATAACCTTTATAATTGTGTTTATAAAATGTAAAAATGTGACATTTGACAGTTTCCCCTGTTGTTTCATAGATGGCGCTCTATACAAATTTTTGATTTAAATCATTTTAAGATAATAATAAGTATTTGTCGTAGAAAAAGTATAGTATGCACCTCGTTTTTAATCTTTTCTATACACTTATTAATTTAAGAACTCGCTCGCAAGCTCGCTCGTGCCTAAATTAAATTCGTTTATAAAATGGCGTTTATCAAACTTGATACATAATATACTATTATAAATTAATATTGGATCATTAAAAACAAGTTTAAAATTAATAATAAAAATTATCAACTTTTATATTTTTACTTAAAATTAATTTTGCTAAAGAAAATAATAATTCATTAAGGCATATTATAATTTAGATATATAAATATAAAATGGAAAAAAATTTACAGTGGTCGCACTTTTGGGTTTAACGCATTTTCAACGTACCGTATATAGCTATATATATAGGTAATAATATATTTCCCATATAGGTAATGTTTTTTATGTGATATACTGTTTAATTGTCGTTAATTTTCTGTACCAATGCCCAAAAACAATTGACAATCACCGCGCTTGCTCCGATGGTACGCCTTGAATGTTTAAAAAGACATAATTTATATGACATTGTACTAGTTTTAGTTTTTACGTATAAAAAAACGAATATTAATAAAATAAATAATTGAATGTCACTTAACCACAGAGAGACAATTATTTAATAAACTACATAAAACATATTTACATAAAATGTCCAACAATGTGTGAAAATGTATTGATTGTTAAATTTTTGATAGAGGTCATACCTATTATTGAAATCCACGAAAATATTTACAATATACATACATAGGTAGTGAGTAAATAGGTCTGACTAAGGTGGGCGGGACTTTTAATTACGTTTTACTATTAGATCATAGTTATCTGTGATGGAACTCGCAACATAAAAAAAGGCTATTAAATGAATACTAATGTTATTCTTAGAAAATAGACACGCTGTCTTTAAATTACTATAATATCTAATCTTTAAAATATGACACATACAATTTTTTTACAATTTTAAAATACTACGTGTACTCTTGCGTTGTAAATGTGGCTCTCACAAGTAACACTTTACTCAATGCAAGTAACGTATCAATCAAATTGTCAAATCAAGTAGTCAAACTATATCTACATAGCTGTGTATGTTTACATGCAAAATTCCTAGGAATTACGAAACAATATCGAAAATTTAATCGGATCATTATACCTTGGCCGAAAAAAAAGCAAAAAAAAATGAATATAAAAAATAATAAATGAAAAAAAATTAGAAAATTCGGATTTCACGTGAAATACATTTATTATACGAGGTGTGTTCAGAAAATAACGGGAATTGTTAAATTTCGCGGGTTCGGAGGGTCCGGTTGTCAAAAAATTTTCTTTATTATGTTGGTATACATGCCCCCGAAGTATGATAAAAACTTTAGCTGTTTTCATTGTTTACTTTGTCTGTGGCAGCCGCTAAGGTTAGACGTGTTTTATGAGCTCGGCGATTTTTCGTTCGTTAAAAGAAATGGATCAAAGAATTTGTATCCAATTTTGCTTAAAAAATGAAATAAATTCTGTGAAATGTTAACAAAGGCCTATAGTGAGTCTGCTGTAAGTAAAACAAGAGTTTACAAGTGGTATAAGAGTTTCAAAGATGGCCGAGAAGACGTTGAAGATGACGAACGCCCCGAACGCACAAGCACATTAACAACCGATAAAAACATGGAAAAAGTGGAAGAAATGTTTATAGACCATCAGAGAAGTCGCTAATGATGTTGGTATATCGATTGGCTCATACCATGAAATTTTTTGGGTATGAAACGCGTGGCAGCAAAATTTGTTCTAAAATTGTTAAATTTTGAACAACATTTTTGGCCAAAAACAATACTGTAAGGATGCCCCAGCCTCCATATTCGCCAGACATGCCTCTGTCTGAGTTTTTCCTATTCCCAAAAATAAAGAGAATCTTAAAGGGTCGTCGTTTTGCAAGCATAGATGACATTAAAAGCGCATCGCTGAAAGAACTAAAGGCTATCCCAAAGATCGAGTTTTAGAAGTGTTTCGAGTATTGGAAGAAGAGCTGGCACATGTGCATAATATCCAATGGGGACTATTTTGAAGGCGACAACATTAATGTAAACGAATAAATAAACATTTGTTTCAAAAAACGAAAATTCCCGATATTTTCTGAACACACCTCGTATAATTATAATTATATACCAAATTTTTGCAGTGATAAAATAAAACTTTGAAGGTCCTCTTTGCAATTCAGTGCTAAAGTTGTCATCAAAAATAGCCTAATGGCTAAATTTTAAAAGTTTTTATTAAAGTTGGCATCATGGACATAAACTGAGCTATTGTAAGAACTGTACTTGAAATTTGTCTGTACTATTGTACAAAAAGCGATTTTCGGCCTTATGGACCAAAATAAAAAGCAATTGTTGACATTATAAACCATGTTGAGTAATAATACTTTGAAATTGACTTATCTTTACTTAATAATTATAAACCACAACTTCCAACACAAATTCTGAGAGAAAGTTTGCGTTTTTGTCAACTGAACACCCCCTGATTGCATATTTACACTTAGCTTGGCTATAACACTATAGTGTTATACTGTGTACCCCATACATTCCTATATTGTATGAAAGATGATTTAAAAACCTAAAACAATAAAAAACAAATTATTGGTTAAGGTGCGAAAGGTCTCAGTAATTAATTTTTCCTGAATAATCCGCAAAATCCTATTAGCATACGATGACTGATTTCCTCAAAAAATAAATATTGACTCATCGCTCATTATAATTAATATATATTCTAAAAAAATATTTTGATCGATGATACATATTATGTATCTTTTATTTTTACTTGTATCATCACCTTACGAAATATATTTACTTTATTTTTGGATACCCTGTATGCGGAATTCTACCAATATTGAAATGGCAAATAAGAATTAAATTTAAACAAATATTTCTTACGCAAAACTGTTGCGAAAGAATAACAACAAACAAAAAAACGAACCAAAATGTTTATTTGACATTCATTTTGTAGACCATTTAACACCCATCGACCATAAAAATAAATTGTTTATTACTTAAAAATAATGGTAAATTTTTATGTTTTTACGAAGTTTTTCAGCCGGACCTAAAACGGGTCAAATGCATTAACCTCTTCCTACTAATACTAGATTAGTCAATTAACCTCTAAATTATGTCTGTCTTTTTAACTAATTACTCACTCCAACTACATGTATAAGAGCCAAAACTTAAGGCCATTGTAAGGCCAATTTGTCAATTCGCCTTTTGTTACGTTATTTATGTAATGAATTGCACAATAATTATTATATCGACTGGACGGAAGACACATTTTGTATTTTGCGTATAATTATCGAATACTTTTAAGAAAATATTTAAATTTTATTTTTTTGGTTCTTTTGTGTGACCCATTTATTTGCGACACACCCCTGTAAAATCTTTATTGTGCGATTGCGGATTTGTTTTGTGGAGCAAAAAACGCCATATTTTTACAAAATACAAGGCCAGTTTTTTAGAGTAAATTTTAAAAATTCATATTAGCGATTACAAAAATGTATTCTGTCAAGTTATATTGAAATAAAATGAATTGGGCCCTGTGCCTGTTGGATTTAAATAAATAAACTAATAGTAACATAGTATAAATATTATAAGGGTCAAACAGTATATTGTATATTATGTATCAAGTTTGATAACGGCCATTTTAGTCACGAATTTCAATAGGGCAAGAGAAAGCTTGCGAGCGAGTGTTAAATAAAAATGAGTGTCTAGAAAAGTTTAAAACAAATAATTGTTTACTAATTAATTAAAATAATTGTTTAGAGCGACATCTTGTACAATAAACAAGTAAACAAAATTGGTGTTAGGAATCTGTTTTACCAGATTTTAAAATGTCAATGTCAGTTAGTCCTATAGTAGAAGTAGTTTTTTACAGTGAAAGTGAAAACGATGTTTTTATGGGTACTTATGGGCAAGGTGGGAGTAAAAAAAATCATAAAACTTTAGTTTAATAAAAGCTTGTTTTCAAAAATAATTTGTACGTTTATTTTATTTTATAATCTTAATTTTGAAATTTCAAGGTTATGTTGTTAAAAAGTTGGGTTAAACCGCATTGTCACCGTGACAGTTGCAACATATTTTATTTTGTGCTTTTTAGTTGGTGGGTATGTCTTAATCTATGCATTACCAAGATACATACACCTTGCATTTATGATAATTAGTAGCCCTACCATACTGTATTCAAAATAACGTTATTATCAAACTATCAAATTTAGGTTATGTTCTTTAAAAGAATAGTCAGGCAATATCTGACACTTGGACAGATACAAAGTTCAAGGTTGTTGTTAAAAATTGTAGTTATATAACAGTCACTGTGACAGTAGCAAAAAATGTTGACGTTTTTTCGTCATCTGTCAAATTGACACCCTTGATTTTTTGTTCGATGATTTGCCTTAAATTTTTGTAGTAAGTATACTTACTACATATATATAGCACCAAAAGTTTGTTATAAATGTTTTGTTCTCTCACCTTTAAAACGCCCATTATCGTACATGTTTCCATGACACTAAATGACCTTTTAAATACACATTGACAAGTTGTGGTTTTATGGCGCTTTAGTCGCGGGCTGAAGTTAGCAACAGGTTTTTAGTCACGGGCTAAAGTTAGCTTTAAGTTGTCAAATGTAATACAATCGTTAAAATAAAGTGCCTTTCTTGTAAAATAATACCAAATGTGAAAATTATTTTATTATCTTTATACAAAATACAGTGCCCATAAATCATTCTCTTCTCTTTTACTGTAAAAAACTACTTCTATATCGATTTTTAAGTGATACATTTTGAGATTTTAACGACGGTTGATTTCCAAGTTAAAAATTTTACAATTTTTAACATTTCCCGTGTAAGAATTTTTAATACTTTGTGATAATATTTTGCAATTATAGTTATAAAAAATAACATATTTTAAAGTATAATTGTTAAGTTTAATAAAAATAATAACGGGCAATGTAAATGGTGAAAATAACGTCAAAAAGGTTTATTGGGATGGTTACTTTATTTTTGTATATATGTTGCTTTATACAAATATTTTATTAAGTATTTGTCGTAGAAAAAGTATAGTTAATAATAAAGTCATCTTAACCCCTAGACTGGTTTTAACCCCTTAAAAATACAGCAAAACTAAAAACATTTGAACTAAAAAACAACAAAGAAACAAAAAAATTAAAAAAAAAACTACAAAACCTTAAAAACACAAGGGGAAAAATTAATCACAAATAGTAAAATAAGTGTTAAATCATGCTAAACAAAAAACATCTTCGAGAACCTAATCAACGTAGGTGTACCCGTATAAAATACAAAACTCATGAACTACCGACTAAAAGAGGAGAGGGGGCAATCCGAACGTTTTAATCTTAAGCTCTGAAAAGCGCGCAGAGCACGCATTTTATGAAATTTCATCGGCAAGATCAGAACCTGAAAAATTTGCACTATTAATTCATATTATACTTTAGAGGGTGGTCAAAGTTAGTGCAATAAAGATGAATAGTCAAGTTTTGGTGGCCTTTTTTGGAGTTATTTTGGCTTTGGTGAAAAATGGTGAGTTTTTGAAAATATTTTTGTGTGTATTAAAATTATTAAATACTAAAAAATATTAATTCATATATTACAGCAAAAAAATCATAAAAGATATTTATTTATTATTTATGTATTTTGTTTATTTATACACTCGGTTAGATCACCTTGTAATATGCTAATTCTGTGCACCGATTGTTGGTTATTTATAAAAATTAAATCATTAAATATTCCATGACATAACAACAAAACAACGTAAAATATACAGGGTGTATTAATTCCAGGTGACGCATTGCAATGTTGGAAATGCTCCTCAGAAATGGATGTCACTTGCAGGGATTATTTCAACGTAACAAAGATAATGCAAACCAGAAGGTATTTTGACAATATTAACTATGGCAACAGGCAACAACAACCAATCACCAATGATCCTCATCTGGAATTGTGCGATGACAGGTTCACCACTTCGTACGATAAGACAAACGTTTGTCTTAAGACTATACACACGAGTAAGTGACAATTTTAATGTTAATTTTATTGTTGATTTTAATGTTGATTTCCTCGCAACCCCTCATCCGATTTTGATGAATTTTTTTTTTTTTGGAAATGTACCTAGGTTGACTTCTATGCTAGACATTTTTATTTTGATTTTTATTTTAGCAAAAGTAAAACAAGTTTTTCGCATGAAATTTGTGACACCCTGTATGGTGCAGCAATAACAACTGATGTCAATTAAAATCATACTGTGCTCCGTCATATTGTTAACCTTTTTTTTTCTTCACAGTTATCTCCGTTATTAACGATAAGGTGTTCACAAAAAACTTCTTCTTACTTTTGCACCCTGTAAATGCTCAAATTAAAATCTATATAAAATTGTTTACCATAGCTTCTTAACTAAAAAGTCAAGCAACAATTTAAAAAAAAATCATCAAAATTAGATGAGTGATTCGCGAGGAAATCAACATTAAAATTGCTAATTTTCGCGCACACAGTACAAAACGATTTTCCTCCCATGAAAAATTTTAACAGATTTCAAAAATAAAGGTTAAAAAACGTACCCGTGTCTCACCTTTTCACGAAATCACGTCATTTAAATTTTTTACACAGCCATTCTTATTATTTTAACCTAAACATATTTTTAATTCTCTATTTTGTTATAAATTATTTTTAATCTTCAAATATTTTATGTTTTTACATAATACAAAAATTATACTTAAAGAAAATAACAATTTTATTTTTTTTAAGTAAAAAAAATATTTCTGGTTTTAATTTTTGATTTTTTTAAATAAAACAACAGATTTGTATTTATCTTATATTAAATATATGTTGGAAACAAATCTTGATCTTTTAGTTTGACGATTACACATTGCTTTCGAATCTATAGTGGTATCACAACCTAAAAACACCACTTGATATACAGGGTGTTTCACATTCGTGGTCCATTGGAAGTTTCTGGAGAACGGAAAAAATATAGATTTGAAATTTAAAAGCGTTTATAATCCATTAAGTCTATTTTTTTAATATTTTGAACAAAATGCAACTTCCGGTTTGACCGGAAGTGACATAAACTTTGTTATTTCAAATGAACCTTTTAAAAATAATGTTTTAAGATTCCAAAAATTCCACCCCCATTTCTGCAAACCTAATAGCAAGAAAGTTATAGGCTATTCTTGATTGACGCGCATTCTTCATATTTTAACGGAAAAAATTAATAACTCCAAAACTATTTACTCTAGGTATAGGACATGGTGCAGTAATTTTACTCAAAATTTTATGTAGAATTTAAAAATGTAAAAATATATAGGGTATTCTATTTGAAATAACAAAGTTGATGTAACTTCCGGTTAAACCGGAAGTGGCATTTTGTTCAAAATATTAAAAAAAAATAGACTTAAATGGATTATAAACGATTTTAAAATTCCAAATCTATAGAATAAAAAAAATATATATATATATTTTTATTCTCCAGAAACTTCTAATGGACCACGAATGTAAAACACCCTGTATTTGTTGTTTCATGTCGAAAAAAATGTCATTTTTGGACCTTATTACCCTAGAAAAGTGTTCCACACAATTTTTATTTTGTTTCACTGTATACAATATTAATTTTAATTGCGTGATTCATTCAATCTTTAATTTTACCCCACCTACATTTCCAATGTTAGTTGACTCATATAACAACACAGGTTTACAAAAATTAAACGGTGTTGAAATCGGATGCGGAGAATTCAAATTGGACCTCAGAAATGCTCCACCATGACATGTTTTTGAGAAATTCTGACCCAAAAGTAGTTTTGTTACATTACCAAATATTTTTCCTATGCACAAAACTCGTTATGCCTTTCCTAAAAATTGATCAAAACAAAAAACCTTGTGACGTAATATAATATAACTTCAAATTAGGGTTAGAATTTATCGAAAACCAGACGTGAGAGGTCAAAAACCTTCACTAAATAGAGTTGTGTCCAAAAATGTTGTGTAGTTAGAACTCTCTAAAAATGAATTACTCAAAAATGACTAATTGTCATAGCGAAAAAGCAGCCACTAATAATTCTCGTCAATAGCAATTTGTCTCCCGAACATTTAGCAGTCAATTTCCATGTAAAATTGTCCCCTGAATCCGAAAATGTCGTTAAAAGTTATAAAAGAACAGTTTTTGAGATTTAGTCAATTTTCCATATAATGTGGAATCGACTATATCTTAAAAACTTTCATAATTTTTTATTGGTATTTTCGGATTCAGGAGACAATTTTACCTAAGAATTGGCTGTTAAATGTTGGAGATACCATGGTTAACCATGGTATAAGTGAAAAAGCAGCCTCTAATAACTGTAGTATTTACTACTCTCTTAAAATGAATTAGAATTAAAAATAACTAATTATAAGTCATATTTGACTAATTGTCATAGCGAAAAAGCAGTCACTAATAAATAGTAGATTTAAATTTAAAAAAAAGTTTTGACCCAGCCAGGGATTGAACTCAGGTATGTCACTTGTCAAGCTTATCAAGCTGTTGTCATAACCCATTCGGCTATCAGCTGCTCTTATAAAAATCAATTTTATTTGTCAATAAATATTTTTCAAAGATTGTGACGAATCCTAGACTATTTTATTAGTAAAAATGCTGGTACTAATTCAAATAGTAGAATTTTGACTATTTCATTTTTAGAGAGTATATTAACATATATGTAACCATCTTTTTAGCTCCTAATGGAATGCAAGTGGTGAACAGAAAATGCATGTTGGTGAACAAGGACCTGAAGTCTGGAGCTTGCCCTCAAGAATTGACCCAAAGAGGTCAAAGTTTGGACTACTGTTTGACCTGCAACTACGACGGTTGTAACGCCGCTACGGGCTTGAAGACCACGTTACTTTCCAGTTTGATTCCTGTAGCCCTTATGCTGTTCTTCAGGAAATAATTTTCGACCATGTAAATACTTAATATTAATAATGTAAATATTCTATTTAAAGCTTTAACTATAAGTAAGGGTTATATTTGTAATTGTACTTCGTTTTATAGTGAATAAATTTGTTAAGGAAGGTAATTGTTGTATTGTTGGACCCCTATGTCAACTCGAGTTAAATTGTGCTACTCAATGTTGTATAATAGAAGCTATTATGTAATAATGGTACCAGCCAATAGGGGTGGGATTATTTTAATGAATGTGAAGTGATTGATTTTTTTTTATTAATTATATCGATTTTTTTATTACGATCTATTTACAATAGATTAGGTATGAATAATTTGATTTAATGTTTCTTTTTATTACACGTGCATAAAGCAAGACTAATAGAAATAATTGATAAATATTTTAAACTCACCAATAAATATGAACACAATTAAATAGTTAATTAATTTAACACGATTAATCAATAAAATTACCAACAAAATGCACAAGATAACATAGGGAAAACCGCGTGAATGGCATAAAGCATGAATTAAATTAAATGTCAAAAAATACATAAAGCATAAATGCATATATCTGACTACACAGACCACACAAAAGTTAAACAAAATAAAATGTTATATTAAAAAAACAAATACCGAAATATTACATGCATTTTGCTCCTAAAGAATGTAATCTTAAAGTAAATATTACCCAAACATAACCAAAAAAAAATAACAAAAAAAAATTTTAAAATAGAAAAACCATGTACGAGGTGTGTTCAGAAAATAACGGGAATTGTTAAATTTCGCGGGTTTGGAGGGTCCGGTTGTCATAAAATTTTCTTTATTATGTTGGTATACATGCCCCCGAAGTATGATAAAAACTTTAGCTGTTTTCATTGTTTACTTTATCTGTGGCAGCCGCTAAGGTTATAGACGTGTTTTATCAGCTCGGCGATTTTTCGTTCGTTAAAAGAAATGGATCAAAGAATTTGTATCCAATTTTGCTTAAAAAATAAAATAACTTCTGTGAAATGTTAACAAAGGCCTATAGTGAGCCTGCTATAAGTAAAACAAGAGTTTACAAGTGGTATAAGAGTTCCCAAGATGGCCGTGAAGACGTTGAAGATGACGAACGCCCCGAACGCACAAGCACATTAACAACCGATAAAAACATGGAAAAAGTGGAAGAAATGCCCAACCAGCAAAGTAATTTTATAATTTCATCGCACTGCGACTGTTTTATTTTATTCTTATTTTATTATTACTTCCAAAATACAAATTAATTTTATAAGAGAAGTGATGAACTCTATTCTGTTGTTAAAAATGAAATGTTTTATAAATTTATCGTAAAAACGTTTCTATGAGCAACACAATAAAACTAATACAAAAGTCAAACCTATAAAATAAAATTGTTTTATAATTGTTTTTAGTAAATTTCGGCAACATTATTAAGACTCTTATAAATATATTATAAAACTATTTTATAGTCGCGTTTTATAGCTTTAATAAAACAATTATATTAAAGTATCAATGAGAACTATTTCGTTTCTTCAAGTAAATTGTTTCTTTAGTAATCAATATAAAACTGCTTTATATTATGTTATTTGGGTTACAATATAAAAGCAATAACAAAGTTCTTATAAAACTAAATAGCTAATATCAAAATGATAACTAGTTATCATTTTGATATCGCTAATTACAATAAAACAAATTTATGTTGAATTAGCTGATGTGGAGTACATAATTTTCATTAGTTCAGTGTGTTCAATGTTTCATAAATAAAAATGTCGCAATTATCGCAGTAAAAAAAAATAAGAAAAGTGGCGCCTTCCGCAGAAGATTAAAAAGATGTTACGAAAAAATTATCAGTAGTGATAATAAGGATATCAGTTTCGACAATGATAAAACGGATCATTTAAACATAAAGCAGCAATCTACCAATTTTAACAACAGAGCTTCAGACCTCACAAGTGTCAGTACTAGTAACATTTTACTGTTTTATTAGAGTCGCCAAAAAGTCGCGAGTTAGCAAAAAAGTTGCCAGTTAGCAATATAGGCACTTTTATTTGCTCGGCAATGACCGTATAAAAATCGCCTGTGGTATTAAAATGTATGAATGGCAACAAATATGTTTTATTAGAGTTGCCAAAAAGTGTCAGTACTAATAACATTTTATTGTTTTATTAGAGTCGCCAAAAAGTCCCGAGTTCGCAAAAAAGTAGCCAGTTAGCAATATAGGCACTCTTATTTGCACCGCAATGATTGTATAAAAGTGGCGTGTGGTGTTTAAATGTATCAATGGCAACAAATATGTTTTATTAGAGTCGCTAAAAAGTCGCGAGGTAGCAAAAAAGTTGCCATTTAGCAATATAGGCTCTCTTATTACTATAAACAAGACACAGTTTTTTTCACCATGTTTCGGTTTTTTGAAATATTTTGGGAACAGGGCGGTATTATAACGTTTTTCGAATTTTTAAAAATAATTTTATTCTCGCTTATATAGCTATAAAGTATTGTATTATAATAACACAGTGCAAAAGGGAATGGTTTGAAACCAAAAGCAAATGAAATTTAATAGCTTCTACAACAAAACCCTGTCAGGGTTTTTTTGGATCACGCCTCAGTTGTTTATCATACATATTTAGAGTTGGTACCAAAAAATTATGTATAAATTTTATAAATACATGTTAATTTTTCCATTTTTGATGTTAATTTTTACCTAAGACCTACAGTAGAGGAGGGCGCGCACTCGCGGTGTCATACAATTTTTGCTATAGAAAGTATACTTTTTACGTATTTTTATTGTTAAATTTTTTTTTTCTATTTTTGATCAAATCGTAACCTCTTTTATAAAAAAGCTATAGCAAGAAAAGTAAATTCGGGAGTTAATTATAACTACTCTACAGGGTGAATTACATAAGTATATGTTCAAACTTCATCAGGCTAATTCTTTAGATGATTTTAAGATGAAAAATCAATGTAAACATGGGTTAGGATTCCTAAGATTCCTAACTTAGGAAATGTGCTTAGTTTTCAAGATACAGAGGGTGTTAAAAAAATTTTTCTATCTTAAATATATCTTGAATATCCTTTACTCAATTTTGATGAAATTTGTCGGCGTTATTTGTTTAGTAAAGGGCTAATTTATTGTTGAGCACTTTCGTTGATATAAAGTTTAGCGGAAGTTAAGTGGTACTTTATGTCAAGATAAAGTACCACTTTACCTCTTGAAGCTTCTTTTTTTACCTCTTAAAACTTTTTTCATGTTTTTTTAAATGTTTTTCTGGTCCACCCAATATTTAAATAAAATAAAATAAAATAAAAATTTTTGCCTATTTTTGAAGCCCTTAAACAGAAAAAAGTTTGAGAGTATTTTAAAAATTAATAATTTTCTAAAAATATTCGATTGCGAAAAGAAATTTCATAAACTCCGACCCTGTGACAATAGCCTACACAAAATATTTTATAAAGATTGCCTAGTAATTTAAATTGTTTTATAATGGTTGCGCCTAAAAGTAAATTATTTTATAGAAAAACGCCATTTTAAAATGGGTGTACCCCAAGGAATCGAAATAAGTTGAATTTAAAATACTAAATATCACACGTATAATGACACTTGCAGTAGGTAAAATACATAAAAATTATTATTAGTTACCTCTACAACCAATCGGTTTAAGTTTTTCTGTATAAAATTATCATAGCGAGGAAGCTAGTTTTTTTGTTATTTAAAAAAAATTCCTAAAACACTTGAAAATACGGGGCGCACTTAAATTTTGTTAGAAATATGCTATATATTTCTCAATAAAATTTCCCTGGTATCAAAAATGTCTATTCCTGTAGCACAAATAAAGTTTCCAAATAATAGATATAGTGTTTAAGGTAATATTAAAATGGCTTCTTTGCTAATGGCCTCAGCCTCAATTGCAGCATTCAGAACATCTTTAAAAAACATTTTTATTTTGTTACTGTAATTCCAATATGCATTTTTATTTTATATTGTTTTCATGAAGCTATTATAAAATTGTATAGTTGTTTTATAGAAATGTTTATACTTTTGTAAAGTATATTTTATAGCGGAGTATAAAAAGCTTTAACAAAACTGTTTTATAATGCTTTTGTAAAGTTTTTCTAAGACTTGCCGAAATGTTTATAAAATAATTTTATTATGTTTCCAAAAGCTTTTACAAAATACTAACCAAAACTGAAATGTTTTATAAAGTGGTGCCAATTTTACATTTATAGCTATCTTATAAACATTTTAAAAACGTTTCTGAGAGTAATGTTTGTTTTATAATTTTTGTGTAGGAAGCGTTTTGGCAAGTATTATAAAATATAAAAATGCTAGTTGGGTGGTTATAAACCATCAGAGAAGTCGCTGATGATGTTGGTATATCGATTGGCTCATCCCATGAAATTTTTTCGAATGTTTTGGGTATGAAACGCGTGGCAGAAAAATTTGTTCTAAAATTGTTAAATTTTGAAAAAAAATTTTGCCAAAAACAATACTGTAATGATGTCCCAGCCTCCATATTCGCCAGACATGCGTATGTCTGACTTTTTCCTATTCCCAAAAATAAAGAGAACCTTAAAGGGCCGTCGTTTTGCAATCATAGATGACATTAAAAGCGCATCGCTGAAAGAACTAAAGGCTATCTCAAAGATCGAGTTTTAGAAGTGTTTCGAATATTGGAAGAAGAGCTGACACATGTGCATAATATCCAATGGGGACTATTTTGAAGGCGACAACATTAATGTAGACGAATAAATAAATATTTGTTTCAAAAAACGAAAATTCCCGATATTTTCTGAACACACCTCGTAAAAATGCTTGTAAAATTCGACAAAAAATAAAGAAATATTTAAATTCTCAAAAATTACCGAAAATTGTTTCAATCAAAAAGTATAAACAAAAAAAATATTTTAAAACAACCATTACAAAGTTATTTGGTTTTGACAGGTTTTCAATTTTTCACAAATATTTTGAGAATTGCTGTTTTTTTTCAAATTTCATTTTAAAAGGAGACTTGATGCACCCTGTATAATATGCGAACAAAAATAGATAAATAAAGAACACGATAAATATGTAATACTACCGGATATGGAAATAGACAAATTATACCACCAATTAGGTAGATGCTTACCAAACCTAGCATATGTATGGAAAAATGCACTTCCAATGTCATTGTCAACAACAATAAAAAACTTAAATTTTGTGCACCCATAACATAACATACGTAGTAAACATATTTATCATGGTTTTAACATTCATAAATTAATCTATTATGTTATGAATCATATCTACCTATATTATAATTTTACATGTTGTATATTAATTCCAATGGAAATCCTTGAGAGAGTTAAGTTTCTATAAAATAAAATACAGTTAATGAATAGAAGGTAATGTGGGAAACATATTTTCATTTTTAATATGAATTTACCAAGTTTGTAAGTACTTATGTAAAATGTCAAGAACTGTCTGTATATTAAATAGAAAAACACTTTTAATATTTAGATTTTAATATGTTAGGTTAATGAAATAATAACGTTTTTTTATTGCCATTGCATAATATTGACTTTATTCCTGTTGATAGGCGTATTGGATTGGCCGATTTTATCGTTCATATCGTTATATACGAGGGGCGACTATAATGATCTTTAAAATCGGTAAAAAGTGAGGTTAGAACCGGCCGAAGGATGTTTTTACAAATTTTATTACTAGTGAAAATTACTTAATTGGAAAAAGCATTTGAAATAATGTCCTCTATTTCTTCTATAGAGTTAACTGTACCTACTTATAAGTAGACTAACTTGAACATTTGGAGTTATACAATGATATTTAAATTTTATGATTTAAAATTTCACATTTTTCGAACAGAAGTCATTTAACTTGAAATTTTGAAATATCTCAGTTAGTATGCATTTTACGAAAAAAATTTTAAAATAAAAATGTAATGATTCGAGGTGGGCAATCAATCAGTACTAAAATAAATAAATATATAAACAAATAAAAAACAGGGGGTAACTTTAAAATTTCCAATGGAACACCCTATATTTTATTGCAGATTCGGATCATTCGACTAAAAATAGGTAGATTTTGTCTAAAATTTTTTTTCATATTTGTAATAGATGGTGCTGTAATGAAAAAAAATCAATTTTGTTCGATGTTTCTTCTGTATACGATTCTCCAATAATTTTTTAATAAAATACTTGGTTTTATTTTTTAAATTCATTTATTTATTTTTTAAATTTTAATTAAAGTAGGTGCTCAAAATAACAATATTAAATATTTGCTCGACGAACTCTTTTAGAACTGTGTTAAAATCGTTTTTTAGTTACACCGATTTAAACTTACATAATTAAGCAACAACAATTAAGAGATGTGCCTACTTTATTATTCATTTTCCTTGAAGAATTGTATTATACATGGCACTTAAGCTCAAATATTCCAGAAATAATTGTCGACTTACACAATAACAAAAAACGCGTTACGCAAAAAAGTGTCAATCCACAATTAACCACAAAATAACCACCGACGCCAAAATTTGAAACCGCGAAAAATAAAACCCTCCATGTTAAAAAAAACAAATTTATTTGACACATTTCTGCAAAACACCGCATTTGAGTTAGCAGTGGGAGAAAATCACACAATCTTCGCGTAGTCGCTCGCAGTAGGCCAAGCATTATTTTGTTTCGCGTCCAGCGCGCACCTTGATTATTTTCTTCGATCGAGCGCTCAAATTTTGTTGTTGTTTACTTTGTTAAATATTCGGTGTTTTGCAGACTTTTTACGTTATGGCGTTCAGAAAATCGTTGGGATTTCTTGTGGTCGCTGCTTTCTACATTCAAAACGGTAAGTTTTATAATGTTTTTTAAAGTATAAACATTTTTAAAAGGATACACGCCATAGAAAGTAAAATTGTTGATAAACAAACATATTTAAAGAACTTTAAATGTTTAAAAATGCTTTATAACTCAAAATATGGTATGTAAAGGCTGTAAAACAGTTTTATAAAGGGTTTTAATTCATTTTCAATGCGTATTTTGATATAGGTATAAAGCTATTGCTATTTTTATATTAAATTAAATCTAAATAAGTATTAAAAGTTACTATAAAAGATGGTGGTGGTATCTCAAAACCTGATAGGCGAAAAAATTCGCTAATTGGATTTGGTTTTTAATTTTTAAACGCCATTTTAATAGACTTGTAATTACGCAACTTTTCTCTTATATAACCGACCTTGTAGATCTACAAATAAAAAAGATACTTACCTATACACAGAAGGATACCTGGTGCACCCTGTATAAAGGCTTTAAATCAGTTTTATAAAGGTTGTCGAAACTAATATGAAGTATATTTTTAACGTATTTCTGTTTTGACAGCAATAAAACATAATTTGTTATATTAAGGCTTTCAAACACTTCAAAATTTAACAGGCGTATGTTGGTATTTATACCAATTATAGGTACTGATAATTTATACTGATTAATAAAGAAAATAAAATGAGGTCAAATAATAAAAAAGCTTTTTAATTTTATCAAACTGTAATAATAATGTTATAAAACGGCCTTAAAACAGTTTTATAAAGGCTTTTAATAAATGTTGATATAAGAAATATTATTGATAATTTAAAATGTTTACTATTTTAATGATATACCTATAAGACTATAAAATCGCTATATGACTTTAAAAACATTAATATAAAGGCTTAGATCAGTTTTATGAAGGTTTTTAGTAGATTTAAACTAACTACTTACTGTTAAAGTTTATTCATTTTTGACCGCTTTCAGTTTTAAAAAGGCATTAAAAAATGTAACAGGCTTATTTTGGTATTTAAAGTTATATCCACTGAATAATAAATAAAATAAAGTCAAATAATAAACAAAAAAATTTTGTGGCTATATGAAACTCTAATAATAATGTTATAAAACGGCCTTGAAAAGGTTTTATAAAGGCTTTTGATAAATTTAAAGGGCATATTTCGATAAATAAAGAAATAATATTTATAAATTAAAATATTTAACGATTGACATGATTTTTAAGTCTTTTTAACACTATATACTAAAAATAAATCTGTAATAAAATGTATTATAAGAGCTTGATAGCAGTTTTATAAAGGTTTTTAAAGGATTTAAACTAAAAATATATGCATTTTTAACGGGTGACGTTTATAATATCGAAATTCACTTTATCGAATTCAAAATATCGAACACTTTTTATCGAAAATCAAAATATCGAAAATACAAAATGTCGAAAATCAAAATATCGAAAATTAAAATGTCGAAAATGATAATATCGAAATTTTATTTAATCGAATTTTCAATTTATCGAAAATAAAATATCGACGTTCATAATATCGAAATTCACTTTATCGAATTCAAAATATCGAACACTTTTTATCGAAAATCAAAATATCGAAAATACAAAATGTCGAAAATTAAAATGTCGAAAATACAAAATGTCGAAATATTTTCTTATTTTGAATTTGATATTTTGTTTAAATATTTCAATTAATCGACATATTATTTTAATCCGAAGTGTATATGTACAGAGGCGCCTCTGATATAGAAATGTACTCAAACTCAACAACACAACCCAACCGACCCCGCCCCATTGCCCCCCCCCCCCCGCCCCATTGAGCAAAAAACCCAACTAAAATGGGCTAATTTATGTAATTAAAAAGTGTTTTATTTTTATCGTAACATGAATTTGCCCATTTTAGTTGGGTTTTTTGCTCAATGGGGCGGGGGGGGGGGCCAATGGGGCGGGGTCGGTTGGGTTGTGTTGTTGAGTTTGAGTACATTTCTATAAAACGCGCATCTCTAGGAGCCAGGGAGCCAAGATAATTCGGTGCATAACCGTAACTTTATCTACAGAGGCGCCTCTGTATATACACTTCGATTTTAATCATACATTTTAATTTTCGATATTTTTAAATCGATATTTTAATTTTCGAAATTTTAATTATTCGACATTTTCAAATCGACATTTTAATTTTCGATATTATCATTTTCGACATTTTAATTTTCGAAATTTTAATTATTCGACATTTTCAAATCGACATTTTAATTTTCGATATTATCATTTTCGACATTTTAATTTTCGATATTTTGATTTTCGACATTTTGTATTTTCGATATTTTGATTTTCGATAAAAAGTGTTCGATATTTTGAATTCGATATAATGAATTTCGATATTGTGAACGTCACCCATTTTTAACGTCTTTACTTTTTTTGTTTTTAAGGCTTTGTTTACCATCTTAAATATCTCAGGGCCCATGCCGAAACCAGTTTTTTTTTAACCTGATACGAGCTAAATTTAAATCGCTGTTATGAATTTGTTTTTCTAATAAACTAAAACCCTAATAAATATTTTTTTGCAATGATAATTTATTTTTAAAATAAAGTTGATGGCCTTATATTGTGGGAATTTCAGAATGTATCGTACAATGGTACAAATTTTAATTTGAACTTGATTTCATTATATTTTTTCTCAGAGTTCTACAATGTCTAAAGTTCGATTTTAATTAAGTTTTTGTGATTTTTTCATATATTTTTATAATTTATTGTTTTAAGCACTTTGTACTTTACTTAGAATTACTCAACCATGTCTCCTCCCATGGCTATTTTGATATGCATTTTTCCGATAAAAAACTAGGTGAAATAAAAACCTGCATAAATTATTAATTTGTACTGTAATTTAAATCTTGCGTTTTGCAAAACAATGTCAAATTTTGTTTTAGAAAAGTGGTAAATTTTTTTAATAACAAACTCGTATGGGTATATTTCAAATAAGAAATAAAAAAATGATTTTCATCCCAACCCTATTACTGTAGTCCAAAAAACAAGTTTTTCTAGGAAAACTTAATTATTCTGCTTTATATTGTTATTGTAATTAGATCCATTAGCAATAAAAAATATTTTCATAAAATCGTGATGAATTTTAAACATGTTACACCTTAAAACATGTTTGTATCAATGGTTACATAATGAAAAACACATCTAAATTAACTAAAAATCACAATTTTCACTATTGCGATAATTTTTTCTAGTTTAACCACCAACCTTGAAAAGTTAAAACAATTTTAATGTCCCAAAAAATTTACACCCATTGTTTTGCCGGTGCGGGTAATAAAATTTGCAATTAGATTAGTTGTGCAATCTACAAGGATTCCAAGGATGCAATTCCTTATAAACCATAAAATAAAGCATATTTAAACTACGAATTGTTTTTATAATGCACACAGTGCATTTATTATAAACAAAATGCAAATATATTCTATATTAGGTCAAGAATAACATGATTATTGTAGTAAGTCTATTTTTTCAATAACTTGAAAGTTAAACAAGATAGAGATTAAAATGAAGATTGAGTATATTACTCTTTAAAACATACCAAAATTTCAATTCTGAATCTTTTATGTTTTTTGAGATATTAACGATTTAGTTGGTTGGGCCTGCAAAAGTTTTATATGGGCGATTCTACAAAAGTTGGGCAACTGATTTTGTTTATATAGTTTTCGGAGAAAACTAAACAGTATTTTGTTAGGAGAACATAGATAATATAATAAATATACTGTTCCAGACCGGGCCAGTCACTTTTTCAAACAGTTTCTGAAATATCTGTGTTTTCTAAATTTGAATGCAAGGGAAGTGGCGAGTATACCAGGGTACTAATTAAATACATAATTTATTGGAAAATTTAAAATTTATTGCAACTTTGAGCATATTATACATTAAATATCTTAAATTCAAATAATACCACACATCAGTGGCGGCTGGTGGATTTTGGTTATACCGATATTTCATTTATTAGATCTGGGACCCACACCAAATTTATATGAGTTTATAATGACATTAAATAAACAAGTTCTGCGCACGCAGAATTTAAATTGAAGTTTGCAAAAAAAGATAACCGAAACATCGAACATGGAACTGACGACACGGTACTGATGAATGGTATACAAATTTGAGATTATAATTCGGAATTAAGTATTTTACTGATATTTTTTATAAGTGGATGCTACTTATAAACAAATTACATATAGCCTTATATAAATTACAATATACTCACCACAGTACTGAAATTTTGACTAGAACTATACGTGCATTCACCACAACTTCGCCGCTTGCATTGTTTTCAACTGTCGTGCAAAGGGCGAGCTCTGTAGGTAATTTTTTACCAACACTTGAGTTAAAACGAGGACTTGACGTTTAAACTTCAATATTTCACAGGAATTTTGAATTTTAACATTGGGCACAGAACTGACGGGTAAAAGTGAGTACAAAGATTATCAATTTTTGTAAAAATTGCTATTATTCGAATCTATGATAAAATATGAAAAATACATTATTTAATGTTTTATAGTTTGTAGTGAAAGTGAAAAAATTTAAGATAAATTGAATAATTTTAAAATAAAATCACTCAAATATTTGATTCAGGAGTTGTCACACGACAAGGAACTGATGTTTTGAATATTTATTATGTTTTTCTATAATCGTGCTTTTATAAAAATGCATTAAAATTGGGTGGACAAGTTAAAAAAAACTGGATCTTTTGTAATAAACTAAAATATTTACAAAAAATATTAAAATACCTACCTACTCTATATGGACATCAAGTTGTCCAACTTTTGTAGAATTACCCATATCTCAAAAACTCTTTGAATATAAAAATTTTAAATTTGGCATAAAAAGAGAGTTTATTACTCTTTCAAGCATTCCTAAAATTTCAATTCTGTATCTTTTATGTTTTTTAGATATTAACGATTTAGTTAGTAAGTTCTATATCTCAAAAACATTCTTAAATTTAAACTTGTTATCTTTGCAAAATAGCCATGGTTATTTTTGAGATATTACCATTTAAAATTAAGTATAATGTCCCAAATGTCTCAAAAACTATTTAAGATACAAAGTTAAAATTTAGTACATACTTTGAGATAATCAAACCTAATAACACACCCAAATTTTAATTATTAATCTCTTGTACTTTTGGAGATATTGTTTGAAATCAAGTTTAACTTTAGGTTAAAACGTTAAAAGGTCTTTGTCCTAACTCCTTTAGACGTAAAGTTAAAATTTAGTACACATTATGAGATAATAATACTTAATAATATTTTCAAATTTTAACTCTTAATCTTTCGAACTTTTTGAGATTTTGCTAGTTTAAATTACGTATAAACTTAGGCCACAAATGTCAAAGTTCTTTATCTCAAAAACTGTTTTAGATAAAAAGTTCAAATTTAGTGCATACTTTAAGATAATGATACTAATAAAATTTCCAAATTTAAACTGTGTAACCCTTGTACTTTTCGAGATATTGTTATTGGAAATTTTGTGTAATTCTAGGCCAAAATGTCAAAAATTTTATATCTCAAAATCTCTTTAAGATATAAAGTAAAATTTAAGTATACATTTTAAAATAACCATACTTAATAACATTTTCAAATTTCAACCCTTAATCTTTTGTACTTTTTGAGATATTGCCAGTTACGTATAAACTTGGGCCACAGATGTCAAAGTTCTTTTTCTCAAAAACACTTTTAGATAAAAAGTTCAAATTTAGTACACATTTTGAGATAATGATACTTAATAATATTTCCAATTATAAAGTGTGTAACCCTTGTACTTTTCAAGATATTGTTATTGGAAATTTTATGTAATTTTACGACAAAATATAAAAACTTCTATATCTCAAAAGCTCTTTAAGATAAAATTAGGTATATATTTTAAAACAATTATAATTGAGATATTGCTAGTATAAATTACGTATAACATTACGCCAAAATGTTAAAAGTTTTAAAAATTTATTCCAAAAACTCTTTTAGATAAAATTTGTTACACATTTAGAGATAACTATACTTAATATTATTTCCAAATTTAAACTCTGTTCCATGTAATTTTCGAGATATTGTTATTAGAAATAATGTAGTTCCAAATCTCAAAAACTCTTTAAGATAAAAAGTTAAAATTTAGTACACGTTTTAAGATAATCATATTTAATAACATTTCCAACCCTTTACCCGTTGTAGTTTTCGAGATATTGCGATTTAAATTACCAAACACTCAAGTAACATTTTTATTTTCAGGTTTTGGTCTGCAATGTTGGCAGTGCTCTAGCGACATAGAGCCCGAATGCCGCGACCAGTTCAACTACTCAAACTACGTGGGAGGAGGCTCCAACTATCTCTACAGCGGAAACCAGGGTCAGTACGGAGGTCAATACGACCAGGGCGGCAGGCAGTACGATCAAGGTCGCGGGTACGACAGACCCTACGACCGTTTCGACCAGAACTCTCAGAGAGGGTACAACAGACCCGTGCAGCAGTTCTCGTCGAGGCAGTATCCGCAGTTGGTGAATTGCGATGACCAGGGCGCCAACTTGAGGAGAATGAAGAATGTTTGCTATAAGAGGAAGCAAACCAGTGAGTTATTTGTGATATTCTAGAGATCGAGTATAAAACATTAGACTGGGCCAAAAAAATAGACTATTTTTTTTTAAAGTATATCGAAAATATTGTTTGGGGTGACAAAAAAAAATGTGGTGAAAGTTTGAGTCCATAATATTAATATTAAGAGGTCTACCATGGCAATTTTAGATTGTTTTTTCCTGAGCGAGTTTTTGTCTTAGAACTCCCAAACCATTGAGTTTAACAAAATTGACTTAAGAATATTTTTTGAAGAAAATTGAATGTTCTACAAAAAAGGTTAAATTGAAATTTCCCGTCAGATGAACCGTTTTCTTACAATCATGCCTTATAAATTGGTATAGTTTTACATGTTGATCTTTTAACTTTGGAATTTTCTAATTCATGTAAAACTCAGTACCCGGAAAAAACCGATAGATATTCTTATGGGAAATCAAATGCTCTACAAAAAAGTCTACAGAGGAAAAAACAAGAATTTCGTTTTGACTTCAACTTTAACCTTGAATAACTTTTGATTGGGTGAATTTAGCCAAAAATGTTAAGAGGCTTTTTTGTAAAGCATTTGATTTGCCATAAGAATATTTATCGGTTTTTTTATGGGTACTGATTTTTACATGAATTCCAAAGTTAAAAGATCAAAATGTAAAACTATACCAATTTTTAAGGCATGATTTTAAGGAAACGGTTCATCTGACGGAAAATTTCATTATAACCTTTTTTGTAGAGTAAATTTTGTTAAACTCAATAGTTTGGGAGTTCTGAGACAAAAACTTGCTGAGGAAAAAAATTTAAAATTGCGATGATAGACCTCTTAATATTAATATAGTGGACTCAAACTTTCGCAATAATTTTTTTTGTCACCCCAAACCATATTTTCGATATACTTAAAAAAAAATAGTTGATTTTTTTGGCCCAGTCTAATAAAACATACCCTGTATAATATTTTGAGAAAAATTCAGTTATTTTTCTCACTGAATCCATCAAAACTTTGGAATAATATGGTAACCCCCAGGTAATTTAAATAATACCATAATATTAAAATATAAAAACAAAGATAAACAAAATTGCTTTATAATAATCTTCTGATAACCAATTTTACGGTTTCGTAGTTTTACCTTCTTTTGTTTTATTTAATAAACACGTATTTTATAAAATTTTATTTTTAGGTCAATTAAAAGTGCTGAAATAGTATATTAAAGAACTAATGTCATAAGACGTCATTTTGTCGCACGCGGACAATTTATAAAACGAGCGACGAAGGAGCGAGTTTTATAATGGACAAGTGCGACAAAAGGTCTTATGACATGAGTTCTTTATGCTATTTTATCTATTTTGCAAACATTTCATAAAACAAATTAATTTTATACCTTATATTTAATTTGGTTAAATTTTACTTTACATAGTTGGTATCATAGATAACAAAGTTTGAAGTTTGAAAGGTCATTAACCTTTTAAACATTATCACATTCTTTCGCTATGGCGTCGTTAATTTACAATAAGTATTTACAATAAGCGGCTGTTAAAGAAGAAAAAAGGATTTTCTTTGGTGTTAAACAAAATTTATTACACGAAAAGTCTCGTAAGTACTAGAAAACAAATCATAAAAATATTATAACCTATAGGTATTCAAAATTGTATTTTACCAGTAGCCAACCTATAAAATCAAAATTTTGGGTGGAATAAAGTACCTCATTAAAGAACCAAAAGCGGTGTTATAATGAAGTCATTATGAAACCAAAATAGATAAAATATTCTTTCAGCACTCTAAAGTACGCCTAAAATTACTTTAAAATATTATTAACCTACTTAACTTAAGGCACGTGTGTGTGCACTTTCACTTCGCTAAGAACGCTTGTAATGCCTTTTAAACGGATTTGCCATTTTAGGTCAACTCAAAATAATTCAAATCTATTGAATTTCCACTGATAAAAATATAGAAAAATAATCGTAAAATCAGTTTTATTGCTTTAACAACAATGTGACCTTCATATTTTGCGGCTTTTAATGAACTTAAATTATTAATAATTACATAAAAAACTACGTGTTTACAAACAACCTTATGACCACTCGTTTTTTTATTGTCTAGTTACTTGACTTTAATTTTTTCCTCGAAATTTAGCGAAGCATTTAATGAAACCGCCCAGTTTAACAAAAAACAACTCATATTATTATAAAAACACTTATATTTGCTTAATTTATATTAAACCACAAAAATCACATCACCTTAGCATCATTCTGTCATATTCTGACAATTACCTAACCTTAAACTCATCGTCTGTCAAACTTTGACACTTATCTTACTTTCAGGTACCAACGGATACACCACCATAATCAGGCGTTGCGAGACCGTGCCATTGGACACCTACGCCGGAACCTGCTACGATCCAGTCCAACGCGGCATCTCCGTCAATTTCTGCGAATATTGCGACTACGATGGCTGTAACGGCGCCACCTCTGTCAAAATCAACGTTCTGACAGCTCTCGTGCCATTGTTAGCTTTCTTGATTTACAAGGGACTAATGCTGTAATTTTAGGTTATGCGTCGTGAGATATGTGTAGTGTCACTTAATTTGTTTTTTAATAACATATTGTATTGTACAGGGTGTCCCAAATTGGTTGTCCGTATAGGCTATCTCAGTAAATATAAATGCTAGAAAAAATTCGACCACGCATCCCCGTCGTCTTTTTTAAAGATACATCGAATGATGTCTTTGAATTTTCTCGATTCGCATTTGTTTAGGAGATATACCTATTTTTCAATTTTTCCCAATTTTGACAAATGCTTGTAGCTTCGTTAATATTTGAGTTACGAATACAGGTTTAAAATGTTATGTAGACACTTTTTATCACAGAATTCATTAGTGCCGACATATTTTTTTAGCTCTTTTAGGTTAAGAGATATGACCCTATACGGACAACCAATTTGGGACACCCTGTACAAGCTAAAAATACCCCTGTATATTAACGTTAAATGTAATTTTTATAGTTTATTGTTCAATTTCAGGCATACAATGTTTAATGGTTTTTTAACCACCAAAGAAAGTTGTCGAAACTAAATTAGTAAAATAGACAGTTTATTTTTTAAATACCATGCATTTTTATTAAGAATAACCTTAAAAACACTGTTTCACACAATTTCAATATGGGAAATTTTGTACCATCTGGCTTCGTCGCATACGTGCACAATCTGGCTACGTTGGTTTATTTGAACTACTTGCATTGGTACATCACCCCTACTCGGCGTTTATATACAGGGTGTCCCAAAATTGGCTATATCGGACCATCCGATTTCCGATTTCGAAAAATTAATAATTCACCTTTAACCTTTGGGCTGTCAATTTTGGCTCACCCTGTATATGAATCATACTTTTGCATTTCAAGCAATAAAACACATTTTTGTTTAAAAAAATTTTAACACCTATAAAAATACAAACAATATTTAAGTTTTATAAATATTTTGGACGGAATTAAGTTTGTTTTGGACGTTTTTTAAAACCTAATAAATACTATTTGAACACATAAAAACATACAATTATTTAAAGAGATTCAAAAATTGTCAAACCTATTTACATACATAAAAGTTCGTTCGTAATATAGTCATGATTTACAAAATTAAACCCAAAAAGTTGGTTTAAACAAATACTTTTAAAATTAAAATTAAGATAGTTGTAAAACCTAATATATTAAGCGATGTTATTTTGTTGGCTGAATTACATTCATCCTCGGAGCAATAACATTCCTCCCAGTAGACAGCGTTTTCATAAACACCCCAGTTACAAACCCCTGTAACGGCAGTGTCAGCAACTGAAGCACATCGTCTAATAACTTGTCTCCAACGACCATCCCCTTAAAAAAAAATATTTAATTGTATTTTTGAGTTGTATACACTATACTTACAAATAAAGCCTTTGGGACTCTGCTGTACCACTTTCACACAAAAAGTACCAGGCATATGACTTTCCTCGCTATTACACTCAATAGCTATATGATTTCTCTTGTCAAACTTTTTATATGCTGCACAGTTATCAAAACCTTTAGGATCCTCATTGGAACTACACTGATAGCATCTAACAGCCTCACCTTTAAATATAATTAATATTAATCAATTAATTACCCCAAACATGATTCATTTTTCACATAAACATTCAAAATGTTTTACCACTTCAACTTACCAAATGCTATAAAACTAAGCACTACCAAGACACTGGATAGCGCATAAAATAATTTATGCGACATTTTTGTAATAATACTAAAGAAAACTTAAAAATTAGGCGTTGTTTATCAACACTGTCAAAAATTGACGGACATGACTAACCTAAAAGTGGGTTTGGTCATTTGACAGTACTGCCAACATCACATAAATGACAGAAACATGGGTACACTGATTTTCGTAGCAGATTGACTTGAAATATGCGAAAAAAAGACAATACCAACCATAAAAATAAAGTTAAGTTTTGTTTTAGATCGTTTCATAATAAAACAATACAATATTGTGGGTAAATTAATTTCAATTTAGTCATTTTTTGTATATTTTTTGATTTCATGAAACTCAGTGTATTCGAAATTTACCTGGTTTGGTTGGTACCTCTGCGTGTTTTTAAGGACGTAACCACTTGTTTGATGTTTGTATTCAAATAAAAATTAATGTTTTGGCGTTAAAAAATCGTACGAAAAGGCGCTAATAAGTTGAAATATTGAAATGACGAGCACCACATTTAAAGTTGTGTGCGTTACAAGCGTTATATTGCTGTTTTTTGTGGTTAAAGAATGTAAGTAAATTATGGGTTAAAATGTGTTTTTATGGTTTTTCGGGCGTTTTAACGTTTAATTAATTTATTGTTATATTTTTTTAACAGGTGTCTTGGTTATAATTGTTCAATATATGCATGTGGCAACACCCAATTAAATTAATTAAAAAATTATGTCATCAATTGTTTATGTTTTAGCCAACTCTATAAAATGCTGGGACTGCAGATCAGATATTGACCCAAAGTGTTCAGATCCGTTTGAAAATAAGTCGTTTGCCATTACGGATTGCAATACTTTGGGTAACTTAGATACTTACCCTAATGTAAGACCAACGTTGTGCAGAAAAATAAGGCAAAAAGGTAGTGACACAATTGTTTTATGTTGTTTATTTTACATTATTTATGTTTTTTGTAGTGCATGGGGTTTGGAAATATGTCAGAAGTTGTGCTTATTTGGGAGAGCCAGGAATACAAGGCGATGAAAGGTTTTGTTTAATGAGAACAGGGACATACAACATCTTTATGGAATATTGTACGTGTAATACTAAAGATGGGTGCAATACATCATCACAAATGTTTGTTTCACACAAATTATTAATTTCCAGCATATTTGTTGTTTTATTTTTGTACAAAAAATTAAGCTAGGTGGTTTACAAAATTACAAATATTAATAATGGATCTGACACCTTACATAGCAATTCTTAATTTTAGACTGATTTTTACAATAATTCCGTCCACTTTTAAGGCCTTATTAGATTATAAGAGCACAATTTTGTTGTAAATACTCTCTACATTAAATTATTAATATTTTTTTAAAAAGCTTTTTTATATTTGTGCATTTTTTTAAATAAAATTTATAAAAAAACAGTATTACCAATGAGACTTGTGTTTTTCCACCACCTTCTCAATAAATTGCAAATGGCTTGCATATAAATCCAAATTTTTGTCAATATCAATCCAAGTTACATTCTTAGCATCATCACCTGCTTTTAGATTAAATTTGTCCAAAATTTCGCCTGTATTGTCATGAAAATTGACAGCCACAGTCTCCATCCAGGCATTATCAGTATTTCTGGGGTCATCCACATAACCTTTGTATATTTCTACACCATTTTTGAAGAAATTTTCCACAATTTCACTGTCAACTTTTCTTTGCTCTTAAAATAATAAACATGTATACTTAAACTAAATAAGTAAGTAAATACCTTCTGTTGCCTCCAAAGAGTTCATTGCTTCCTCCAAAAATTCCCTCTTTAAAGTCTCACTTACTTTCTCACCAGGGTCCACCATACCCCCCGGCAAGGCCCATTGACCATTATCTCTCCTTTGTACACCACAAAATTGCAAAATAGGCCTAAAAAATCTCAAATTTATTATAAAAATTCCATGATAACCTTACTTTACATACAAATTTGTCATCTCATTTAAAACTTTGTCTCCCCCCATTAACTTCCATCTAGTTACAATGGGGTCTGCTGCGTGATTGGGGCCCCATCTACCCAAGCGCCCTCTACCTTTTATACCAGTTCTACCCATGGGATTTAAAGGTGTTTTGTTTTTTACGTTATAGACTCCATTGTGGCTTTTTCTGTTGATTTTTCCGTCTATTTCATTATATTTTGGGTTGAAATTTACATCATCTAAAAATTATTAAATTAAAGTGTATTAAAATTGTTTATATGCATTTTTTTACCTATTTTTGGATCAGCCCATGGTTGATTGAAAATACTCTTCGCATTATACTCTGGGGGGTCATAAGAGGGTAAATTATAATCCCAGGGTACCTCATTATCCATTAAAATGAATCTAGGTACTTCACTCAAAGGATATATTGCATTTCTACTCTTTGTATGAACCATTCTCAACAAAAACATTAAACTAATAAATAGATACTTAATATTAGCCATATTTAAAAAAATATCAACATACTGAATATAACATCATAAATATAAATAATCTCACCCTAAAAACTGGTTCTTATCTTAAAAAAAATACAACAAAATTTAAATTTTTGTAATGCTTAGTAAATAGAGGGCGCTTCTTTGACATAAGTTAGGCAATTTCTGTAACCTAGGTTGCATACTTGTCGGAGAAAATATTTTTATATTTTTCTTTAATTTTACCCTGATTTTACCCTTCGAAGAAAAACTTCTAAGATTTTACTTATAAAATTATTATTATTATTGACTTTATGTATCTTTTCATTGCTTTTGGGTATCTTTTGTTTAATTTTAGTTATGGTTCATTTGAACTACTGCCTATAAAAATGCCGTTATATTTGATTAATTTTAGCTTTATATCCTATTTTATTTTTAGTTTAGACCACATAGATATTGTTAAATAATAGAAAGGGATTAATTTTGAACTTTTTAAGTTAAAAAAACTTTTGACGTTTTGTTATTTATTTAGGTTAACTGTAAACGTCAACATAATTTTATTTTTATTTGTTTGTTGAACTTTAGACCCTAGCTTAACAAGTAAGTGTAAAGTTTACCTCCGATTAATTTGTGTTTAAAACAATTATATTAACAAACAGAAAGTCACAGAACAATGATAAATACAGGGTGAGTTGAGAATACTGATAAATAAACTATGTTTTAAATGGTTTTATGATATTTTCAGTAAACTAGCAGGACTAACTGTTTTTGTAACGGGAGGCAGTCGAGGTATTGGTAAAGCAATCGCTCTGAAATGTGCTAAAGATGGGGCCAATGTGGTTATTGCAGCGAAAACTGCAGAACCACATCCTAAACTTCCCGGAACAATTTATTCTGCTAGTAAAGAAGGTATAATTGTTTATTTTTTTATATTGTATTAACCGGTTTCTCCTTTTGAAGAATTTTTTATTACTCTAAAATATATCTAAATTAATGTGAAATTAAAAGTTTTCAGTTTTTCCAAATCTGGTTTGACAGTTTTTAAAAATTTTTGCAAGGTTTGTAATTTGTAAAATGAAAGGGGTTAAAATTTTAATAATTTTAAGTTAACAGATTAAATTAATAATTGTGTTTTGATTCCATATAATATAGTATTGGGTTTTTAGAAAATACATTTTTGAAATGTATCCTAATTAATTATTTTATATTAATAATAATTTTGTAGGTAATCAATTATTTGTATTATAATAGTACTATTAACGTTAATTAAAAAAAAAAATTAATTTAATCATACTTATTTAAAATAAAGGCAGGTATCTATATAAAATAAATATATATGAATGATTTCTTATCTCTTTTGAAAAATGATGATAATGAAGTTTTAATAAAAATAAAATTATTATTATATTTAATTAAATGAAAATAAACTTTTTTATTTGGTATATTTGAAGATCTGAAAGAAATGTTATTTTTAGTTGTCATATGACAATTTTTTTTTCTAAAAGTAATTACTTTTAATTACTATTATAGTAATTATAATAAGTAGGCAATATCTTTGAACAAAGTTTTGAATTAAACAACATAAAGTATACCTACTTATTATAATTATACTACTTAAAACTCACATGCTGAATGATGATGAGATAAGAAAAATATTATTGTATATTAATAGTATATTTTAAGTTGCTTTTTTGAACTGATACGCGGACACATCCGTCAAAACAAAATATTTCAACCATGAAATATAAAAATATTAATTATTATATTTTAAAACATTACATACCTACATTTTAGAAATTATTTTTTTTCTTTTAGATCCATTTAGTTTTCTATATGAATATAATATATTACCTATGTATGCATATAAAATATACATGTTAACTAGGGTGTTTGTTATTTCCAAAGTTGTTTTTTTTAATTAGGTTATTTGTTTACAGTCTAAAACAATTTTAAAAAGTTGCAAAGTTGTTTTTTTTTTAAATTGGATATCTAAAATATTTGTTTACAGTCTAAACAAATTTTTTTAGTTGTTGTTTAACCCTGTCCAAATTATGATAATTTTAATTTTTAATTATTTTATATTTTTAGAGTTTGACCTCTGATATCATTTAAATTTTAATTTTAATTATCTAAATGGATGGTTTTATGAAAAAACGCAAAATACTCTTTTTTAAGAGTGTACCTACAATTTCTCACAAAAATTTATCTTGTGTATTTTGACATTTCTATTAATAAGCAAGTTATGATGTTTTTATTATGTAAAAAAATTAAAATACAAATTTAAAGGACAACTTTTTTTTTTAATTGCTAACAATAATTGTAAACAATTATTGTAAACAAATAATTTAAATGATACTCAAGTAAAAAGACAAATCAAAGTCAACTTAGAAAAACAAATATTTTTTTTATTTATTGTCTATTAATTAGCGAGTTATAAATACCTATTTTCTTGTCATTAAAATGTCATATACTCTAAAGAAGTTTCGCTGGAAGCGCTACCACTCGGCTGTACGCTTATGTTACAAACGAGTGTTTTTGAGAATAAAGCCGTAAAATGTTAAAAAAGTCGAAAAAAAAACCGTGGCTCGATTTGTTGTGTTGTTGGGTGTATTTCGAGAGGAAATCCTGGGTTGAGTTTTTACCGGTTTTCCAATAAACAGTGTTAATCTCAATGAAGAAATAAATTACATACACTATCTGTAAATATAAATTGTACCTATTAGATACAATAAATATACATTTTAGTAGTGATTAACGTGAAAAGTGTAAACATTTCAATTCAGTAAAAATCGTCAAAAAAATAAGTCGTCTAAATTTAAACAGCATTTAGCATTATTAAAAGCGTTGATTAAGAAAGTCTCCACTCAACGGTAAAATACCATTATATTATGTATTATATATAATATTATGCTTCCATGAATTCGTAGGTATATTTTGTCGTTTAAAATGCAGTTGTCGGCGTTTTTTAGAGAACAAACATAAAAATGGTTCATTTTAAGGTTTATGTTTGTGCAAACATAATTTTTTACTAACTTTTTAAAAATATAAAATATATTAGGTAAAGTTATCATTAATTAATTCTGCACCAACAAATGTAGGTACTTACCGAATTGGATCCTTTGGCAAAACATGAAAATGCAACGATTTAGTTCTAGAATTTTATTTACAATTAAAAACACAATAATTCACCATGATCCCTTAGATAAAATGCACACACTAACGTAACTATATAAGCATTTAAGCGTTGAGTTTCTTAATTAATGATATAAAGAATAATCAATCGAAATCGAGTACTAAAACTTTTTTATTTTTTTCTTTGCAACGTAAAACACAAATAACGTGCTCGATTTAGCTGTGCAATTGAACAAAATTTGTCGAGTAAAAAAACTACCTATGTATTTATTTAAAAATGATGTATAATCTGTGCTTTAAATGTATTGTTGACAATTCTTAAATTTGAAGTCCACCAGATGGCGCGCGCATTGCGAAAACCCGATACTTAGCGTATAGCATAGTATATTGACCCAAATATAAACTAAAATGTTGCCATTTTTAGTGGAAGAGGCAGGCGGCAAAAGTCTTCCATGCATCGTGGACGTGAGGGATGAAAAACAGGTCCGTACCGCGGTCGAAGAGGCCGTCAAAAAATTCGGCGGCATCGATATTTTGATCAACAACGCATCCGCCATCTCTCTGACCGGCACCGAGGACACAGACATGAAAAGATACGACTTGATGCACCATATCAACACTAGGGGAACTTTCTTGGTGTAAGATGTAGAAAAAAATATTTCTGTATGTTTTTTGTTTTTCACTTTGTAGATCCAAAGAGTGCATTCCTTATTTGAAGAAAAGTAACCATGCACACATCATTAATCTGTCACCACCTTTGAGTATGAAACCAATTTGGTTTAAAAACCATGTCGCTTATACCATGGCCAAATTTGGTATGTCGATGTGTGTGCTTGGAATGCATGAAGAGTTAAGGCCATATAACATTGGGGTCAACGCTCTATGGCCCAGGACAGGTAACAAATCAACATAACTCAAGTAGCACAACTGGTTAAATTAACGTTAAATTTACGTCAAGTCTGGTTAATTAATTTAAGTTATATTGTGCTACAACGTTAAATTAACCGTTGTTTTTTAATAATTTGGGAATTTAATTGTAGTAAATTAACGTTATGTTAAATTAAACTTCTTGTTTAATGAACCTTTTGGTTAAAAAGAAGTTAATATTTGGTAGTTTTTGGTTATTAACTACTTTTTTACTCTTAAGTCAACTTAACTATAATAAATAAATTAACTATAATACCGGTTTAAGTTTATTTTAACTGTATATAATTATAATTTTCCACATAATACCTTAAAATATAATGTCGGCCCTGAATATTAATACATATATGTATATACAGTGTATTTAAGATTGACATCCAGGAGATTGCCCACATTCTGGGACACCCTGTATATCCATTAATATCTTAAAGAAATTGTTCTAAGGGAAAAAACTAATGGGACATTTTTTTTTATTGATGAAGTAGTACAAAATACTTCCATATTTTAAATGCGCTTTGAAAAAAAATAAGAACCCATTGAGCTTTTTTGGGTTTTATAAGTGGGTTTTATTGTGGTTTTCTATACAGAGTTTGGTAAAAAAACAAAATTTAAAAAAAATACTGTTGATAAGAAAAATATATTTACTACCTTCTCCTTTACGACATATTTTCGCAGTCTTTCGTCAACTATAAAATGCATAAGTGGAATATAGACAGGGGAACCCCCCAATTTTTAAATTATGTTTTGTTTGGTCAATGGTTTGATCGTTTCTCAGTTTTAGAGTGTACTGCTTTTGATTAAATACTAATTTTTTTTTAAATAAAAATATACAAATATATCGAAAAGTTAACTCTTTAATTAAAGTTATTATCGAAGAGTTAGCCAACCCTGCGGGGTTCTACCCAAAAAAAACCCACTGGGTATTTTTGGGCTGTCAACCCTGGTTTAATTTAACTACATTATTTACCTATCGGTAATTTATAACTCTTTGGTTTTGGTTAAAATTCGGTTAATGTAACACATTAATAGTTACCAAAATTAGTTAAATTAAACTAACTTAAAAAAATTCCCGCCGATCTTACGTTCTGATTTAAGTTGCAGCCCTGCTTTATTTTTATAAAACTCATCTGTCCTGTGATAAAACCTATAGATGCTTACCAAATAAATTAAATGTGAGGGAACTGTTTTAAGATTTGTAGATAAATAATTATTTACAACTTTATTAAGTATTCTATTTTTTAAATAATTTCCTTTATAAAGTTTTGTGTGATAATAAAGCCTATAGGCTTTATTATCACACAAAACTCACAACCTATAGGTTTATATATAAAGCTGTTTTAATACTAATTTTTCTATGCAGGTAACAATAAAAACTGCAAAACCATCTATTTTTTATTTTATTAATTAACGTTAATTTACCAGCGATTTTAAATATATTTGGTAAAATATATCCAAATTAACCAAGTTGTGGTTAATTTACCAAAAAGTTATAAAAGTTAAACCAAAGACAAATTTTTAAAGGTTAAAGAAGATAATATAACGTTATGTAACTTTTAAAATTACCTACTTTTTAAGTTAAATATTTAGTTTATTTATAGTCAATTAAAACTCTTGAAATTACCTTAATTTATCTATAGGTAAACTTGGGTTATTTCAAGAGTTTAAATTGACTATAAATAAACCAAATTTTTAACTACCCTCACAGGCAAAATAATCGATCTACACAAATTTTCGATTAACTTCAATCGAAAATAACTTTTTTATTTGATGTCGGATTTAAACGAATATTAAAGAATATTTTAGATAAATTAATGGACAATCGCTCACATTTTAAAAAATTACTTAAAAATAGACGTACGTTTATAATATAGGTACAGGTTTAAACAAAAATATGTTTTTTACCATAAGTTTAAGACACTCTGTAGAGTGGCAAAACCGTATATTGTTCTAAATTAAGTTTTATTTATCAAGTCACATCTATTCTTGGTTCACCTCGATATATTTATTTTTGTGGAAAATATATGGATTTTTTTAAAAAAACATTTCAATTTCCAATATTTTTCTGTATGAAGAACTAATTAGTACCTTAAGTTGCTATGGTCCATTTTTTTTAAAAATTCATATTTTCCACAAAAATAACTATATCGAGGTGAACCAAAAACAAAACTGTTAAAAATAGATGTGACTTGATAATTAAAACTTAATTTAGAACAATATACAGTTATGGTAAAAAAACATCTTTTTGTTTAAACCTGTATATTATAAACGTACGTGTATTTTTTAGTAATTTTTAAAATGTAAGCGATTCTCGATTAATGTATCTACAATATTCTTTAATATTTGTTTAAATCCGAAATCAAATAAAAAAGTTATTTGCGATTGAAATTCATCGAAAATTTGTGTGGATCGATTATTTTGCCTGTGAGTGTAGTTAAATATTTAGTTTATTTATAGTCTATCTTGAAATTACCTTAATTTATCTATAGGTAAACTTGGGTTATTTCAAAGAGTTTAAATTGACTATAAATAAACCAAATTTTTAACTAAAGGGTGTCCCATTAAGACCGCCTATTTTAAAATTTAAAAAAAATGCCGTGTTTATTTAAAAAGTTAAGATATTTTTATTGCAATAAAGAGGGAAGACATGGAGGTTAAATATGGAACACAATATCCGATAAATGGCCGCCTCGTGACTGACGGCACACGTTGATTCTTTTGACAAAATTTTCGATTAAATTTTGGCATAGTGCCGGCTCAATTTCATCAATGACCCGTCGAATCTCATGTTTTAGTTTAGAAACTGTTCTTGGGTTATTAGCATATACCTTTTCCTTCAAAAAAACTCAAAAAAAAAAATCTAACGCCGTCAAATCGAATGATCGGCCTGGCCACATCACATCCTCGCGGCGCGAGATAACTCTGCCTTCAAATTTTGTCCTCAATAATTCCATGGTTGCGTTGCTGTGCATGGTCTGCTGTCTTTAAATATTGTTTCAACCGAATCTTGTACGCATGAAAATGTAGGTCTTTGGCCAAAATTCGCTGTAAACTGCTTCGAGATAGTCTCAATTGCTGGGAACGGTGGCGAATCGAGGTGGAAGAATTATGTTCAACACTTTCACTAACTGCTGCAATATTTTCAGCAGACCGAGCTGCACGAACATGGATATGTCTCTTTTTGGTTTGAATTGACCCAATCGTTTCAAATTGCACGATTATAATCGGACCACAGTACGGCGAGAAGGTGCGTTATGGTGACCAAAAAATCCACGATATCCTCAAACCGTTTCCGAAAAATTCTCACCATTTCGATAGTGGATTTTTACAATTTCTATGCGTTGTGCGTCCGTGTAAATCTCCATGACTTAACCTCAATGTTCACACATGACCACTGTCCAACAACAACGCTGTACGATTGACACAAAAAAAATGACACTAAATTTAAAATAGGCGGTCTTAATGGGACACCCTTTAGTTAGTAATATTACCAATAGGTTTCTTTAATTAGTTAAATTATACTAAAATATTTACCTTATGGCTGTAGCAATCAGTTGGTAAATTTTTTAGTTTATAGTAACCTTAAAAAAAATAATGGTTGAATACAACTAATTGGTTAAAAAACAAGTTTAAAAAATGTTATTTTACTTAAAATGCTAGTTATTTAACACCTAAATAAGTATTTTTTGTATAGCTATACACACCGCAGCCATAGAGATGTTATCCGGCGCGGAATCGGCGAAAACTAGCCGGAAACCGGAAATAATGGCAGACGCAGCCTACTACATTCTCTCGCAAGACCCGAAAACCACGACCGGTAACTTTTTCATCGACGACGAGGTGCTTAAAAAGGCCGGCGTGACAGACTTCAAGCAGTACGCGTGCTACCCGGAAAACGCCGACAATCTCATGCCGGATTTCTTCGTCGACGACAACATCGCGATCATAGAGGCCGGGCAAGATTTGACGCAGTCGTCCGCCAAGAAGGAGGAGCCGCAAGGCGAGGTTGCCAAGTTGTTCAAGGCCATAGAGAACAGCATTTCGCAGGACACGGTGTCCGGCACGCAGGCCATCTTCCAGTTCGTCGTTACCGGCGACGAGGCCGGTAAATGGTACGTGGACTTGAAGAACGGCAAGGGTTCGTGCGGGCAAGGCGAGCCCAAGTCGGCGCCCGACGCCACCCTGACCATGGACAGCAAAAATTTCTTCAACATGTTCAGCGGAAAGTTGAAGCCTGCCACCGCCTACATGATGGGGAAGTTGAAGATCAGCGGTAACTTGCAGAAGGCCTTGAAATTGGAGAAGTTGATGTCCGGTCTCAAATCGAAACTATAAGACTGTCAGCATTTTTTAACAATGAAGTTACACATTTGTTGTATTATATTTTATATGAAGTTTACAAATCAATTATTAAATTTTTATATGGATTGTCAAATAAAAGACTTTAATTGTATAAAATATTTTTTCATTGGAAAATTTACCTCCAGTTTACATCTATACAAAAGTTGATTAATTTTATTAAATAACTGTAAAAAACAATCATTTTGCACGAAATTTGATATTCGGGAGTTTTTCAGAATGAGAAAATTAAATTTCATAAAAAGTACACCTTGTAAATGTACTTTGCTTTTTTTTACCTTTTGTTTTTTGACAGACCAAAAAGTGTTATGAAATCCTAACTGAGAAGTGTCCGGTCAAAACCAAATAGGTCCCTGTAATCAGATTTTTCAGTAGTCCTAATAAACTTTAAATTAAGTAAATTAAATTTTTGCAATACAAAGCGTATTTCTATATCCTCTTGTGCTCACTAGCACGCCTAAATAAGCCACTGTGATCAAATTACTTTCAGATTTCAAAAAATCAACTTTTATGAATAGATCCTACCAAGACCTATTTGTTTTTTATCAGTTTTACCCTCCAAATTTTGAATATTTGTTTTTTCACCTTACCTATGTATGCAAGATTAGATAAACGTATCAATTTTTAATAATGCAATAAATAAATCCTGTTTCTTTTTTCAATAAAAAAATTGAAAAATTAAAAAAAATGAGAAAAAAGACAAGAAAAGTAAAAAAAAGACAAAAGAAGTAAAAATAGTCAAACGGAAAATAAAAATAAGTAAAAAAAAAAGAATTTAAAAAGACGAAAAAGTCGAATTAGTAAAAAAAGTCAAAATAATTAAAAAAAGAGAAAAAATTGATTAGTCAAAATCGGTCAAAATAAGTAAAAAAAAAGTAAAATAAAAAAAAAATAGGCAAAGAGAATTAAAAAAAGACAAAATAGTAAAAAAAACAAATCAAACAAGTTGAACAAAAAATGCGTATCGGTATCAACGATACGCGTATGCATCCTAATGTTTCTGTAAAGTTTTCTATATCAATATTTACTTGCGCTAAACTCCCTCTATATTTTTTGTTTTCGACAAATCAAGTAATTTGACTCCATTATTCATTATTATGACAATAAGGTTTTAAATTTTCGGGAAAAATTGAGCCGGCGGAAAAAACCGTATTTTCCGGGAAAAAACGGAAAAATTAGGAAATTTTCAGAAAAATTGACTTTTGGATTTTATATGAACAAAATGCAAAAGTCAATTTTTATGAAAATTTTCCAAATTTTTATGATTATAATAATTATTCCTTTTATTTTATATTTTAATTAATTCAGTATATATTCTACCGGGCCGCAAAAAAAAACATATTTGGTGCTGTATTAACATACAAACTTTAGTTTTATTTGACACTTCGATTTATAAAATTATAATTTTGTAATTTAAATAATGTTAAGTTGTTGATTGCTATTTTTTTCAAATGTGTATTTTTTCAAAAAAAAATATTTTTTCACAAAAAAAAAAACAATTTTTCCAAGACCTGGAAAAAACGGAAAAACAGGATTTCCCCCCAAAATTTCCGTTTTTTTTTAACTTTAAAACCCTGGAGTACACTAAAATATTACTAACCTTGTATATTAAACTTGTAAAAACACTTTAAAGTTGCAAATTTTACTTATTTTACACACTAAAATCCTTATTTCAACACATTTTTTTACAAAAACAAAAAGCGTAATTTTTTTAGTTTTTCAGTTTTTCGTTTTTTAGTTTTTCTGAAGAACTCTTGTTTTTGGGTCTCATTTTAAATAGGAAATATTCTTTCAAAATGTACAATGTACAAATGGAAAAACAAAAGAATATGATGTCAACAGCTTGGTTGATAATGTTGAGATTTAATGAAATAAAACAGCTGTTAAACTAGTTTAATAGTATAAAATATTTATTTATTAATTTAAATATTATTTTTCTTTACAATAAAATATCTGTCCAATAACATATAAGTATATAAACACATAGGAAAGCCTACAATAACTTGATATATAATTTTGTATGTAAACTTTCAAATTTAAATATTTTGGACCCTGTATTAAGTAGAATAATAATTTAAAAGTAGTTCCAAAATTTGGAATGTACCAAATAAAACCTATAAAATGCTTTGACTTACACAAAATCACAACTTTTAAAAAGTAAAACAAAACGTTTTGTTTTGATACCAAAAACAACAAATACTGTGCACTACTAGCAATAATTTCCACCTTATAAGCCTATTTTTTTCTTCTGAGAATTACCTAAGTACAAAACTAAAAAACCGAACTTTGGTTAAAAAAATAAATTAGGAAAAACACTAAAACCAACAGAGCGTTAATTTCAACATTTTTCCGGAACACAGTCATCATCACACATCACAAATAGTCTTTTAATTAATTTACAGTGGCGCCCTCTACGCGTGCACTATAGCATCGTAACTGGTGCGCGAAGTGGAAGGCAACAGTGGCGACACAACCGTGTCCTCTTCCTCAACTTCTCCTCGACTAAACTGTTGGTTTGCGATGTCTTCTGATGATGATGGACGGTTATATTGGCGGTTACGTCTGTTCTGCATCACGCCTGCAAAACAACAACGTCAAAACGCCGCTTTGCGAGCGAAAAAAATCACTGATAACATATTTCGCAGATGGTACACCCGTCGATTTAAATTAGATGGCCACAGATGGCGCTGAGGTCTAATCATAGAAAAATGTTATCAGAGCAGAGCGAAAGCGTAAAATGATGTTCGAGGTACTGTTAAGAAATGTGTTTAGTATCGAAACTGCAAAGGTTAATTAATCTAGGCTACGACATAAAATCCTTACTCTGCTGAACTCTGTCTCCTGTATACGATCTCCGTTTATATCCCGGTGCTGGGCCAGTTTTTCCTTATTCATTGGCGAGCCTGCGTATAAAAAATATTCATGCAAATTTTGTCGACATTTTTTGTACATGTAATTAAGCAAACACCAAATTAAGTCTAATACAAGAATATATAAAATATGAATATGTAAAATAATTCTTTAACCACTGAAAAATGTCAAATGAGTTATTTAACATAAAATTATTAAATCGGCAAGGATAGCCAATTTTAGATTTTGCTTAAACCATTTGGGATATGGAAATCTGCGGTTTAGCTCTAGAATTTTTTTATTAGAGATATCTACTCGTTTAAATAAGGATTTTAAACCTAAAAGATAGTAGATTCTCTAAAAAAATAACATAACTCATATAGACCAGTTAGGCAACCCACTGCACAGACTCTAACGGCGGCCATTTTATGTTGTTTACAATTCTTCTGCTTCGGATTTGTGCTGTTTATACAGATTAATAATTGTTTTAAACTTTTTTTTCTTATAGAGGCACTTGTGAGCCTTAAAGTGTTAAGGGCAACCATTTTACTACTCTTTTGTAAAAAAAATAAACCTTATTCTATTAGGGCTGTCATCAAACTGTCAAATGTCAATTTTAAGGTTAATTTGTGGGTTATGGTAAATTAATCTTAAATTGACATTTTACAGTTTAATAAAAATGTAGCTTGTGTGAAAAAAAACATCCGTTTTTGTTTTTTTATCAGTTTTTTCTTTCAAATGTTTTTTTACATTCGGTTTTTTTTAAACTTTCTTTTTTTAATCCAATCAAGCATTTTTTAATGCGACACTAATAGTATATCATGTATCAAGTTTGATAAACAAGGTGCATATCATACTTTTTCTACGACAAATACTTATTATTATCTTAAAATGATTTAAATCAAAAATTTGCATAGAACGCCCTCTATGAAACAATAGGGGAATCTGTGTGTCACCGTCAAATGTCACATTTTTGTATTTTATAAACACGGATTATAAAGGTTATAAATCGAAATGTATTTCTTGAAAATGGACAGTTTTTTACAGTGAAAGTAAAGAAAATGTTTTATGAGCACTTTACAGTGGAGTCCGTGCCCGAATTTAAGTTATAGTTTACTGCCGGCGAAATTAAAAGGTCAGTACAATGTTCATATAAACTTTTCAAATATTGGCGTTGAGAAACTATTTAATACTTTTGTATTTTTGTATTGAGATAATAAAATAATTTTCACATTTAGTATTATTTTACAAGAAAGGCACTTTGTTTTAACGATTGTATGACATTTGACAACTGTCAACTAACTTAAAACTAACTTCAGCCCGTGACTAAAAACCTGTTGCTAACTTCAACTTGTCAATGTGTATTTAAAAGGTCACTTATTGTCATAGAAACATACGATAAAGGGCGTTTTAAAGGTGGGAGTGGAAAAATAAATTTATTTAACATTTTTAATTGACTCCGGTATTTTTAACTGTTGACTGTTTGTCCCATTCAGCCCACTGTTTATAGGAAAATTCTTTGCTTGTTTTTTTTTAAATTTGCATGCTCTATAGAGCCTATAGGCTTAAAGATGAACGTGTGGGGTAAGATATAAAAATCTGCGATTGGTTTTAGCAAAATCTAAAATAGTATGACAACAATTATTTTAATTATATTTGAAATGACCCAAAATGAGAGTGTAGAAGGAAAAATGTAAAGCATAATTCAGTGGTTCAAGATTGTGTTTAGGCCTGTAATATCGATTTTTCATGTTCCAATGTCTAATAAACACTATAAATAAAGCAGAGTAAAAAAATTGTGTCCCATAATGATAAGTTGGTTACTAGAGTGGTCCAAAAAAAAATTTTTTTGCTTATCATCTCAAAACCTTCTTTTAGGTATAAAAAAAATTCCCTCCAAAGCGCAGCTTAATATCTCAATTCTCCACTAAGCTCAATGAATTTTTATTTTCCCATTTAAATAACACGTAAAAAATTTTTTTTTTTCGTTTTTATCCGGTAAAACGAGGAAAAATTTAATTTTTTACAAAAAAGTCCTGAAATAGTTTTTTCGTAATCCTAACGGGTAAAAAGTTATTAAGCTTCAAATACTTGCTACTTAGTAAATTTGAAGGAAGATCGTTTCAAAGCAACTTCAAAAAGTTGCTTTGAAACGATCTTCCTTCAAATTAACTAAAAAAAAAATTTTACGTGTTATTTAAATGGGAAAATAAAAATTCATTGAGCTTAGTGGAGAATTTTAGATATTAAGCTGCGCTTTGGAGGGAATTTTTTTTATACCTAAAAGGTTTTGAGATGATAAGCAAAAAAAATTTTGGTTACAGTGCTACCAACACCATGAAAAAATGCAAATCACTTACCGATGTAACTCAGAAGTACGGGAAGGAATATGAGTCCGTGCGTGGCGCCCATTATCACGATGCCGAGGTACATCCTGAAGTAGAAAACCTGAAAGATCTGCGACTTGGCGAAGTACAAGACCAAAATGCCGCCGAACTTCGTGAGCGTGATGCCGGAGAAAACGGAACTTCCCATGCGAGTGAGAGAATCGGCCGCCCTCTCGACCCTCGTCGGCTTTATCGACACCGAGAACGAGTGCACCAAGTGCGAGCAAAACTCCACCGAGATGCCGACCGCCATCACCAAGTTCACCAGCGATATCGCGTTCAGCGATATGTCCCACCAGTACATCAGGCCGCCCAGATTCACGAGGATCATGCTTATAGTGATGATAACGACGACGCTCGAGAACAAGTCCAAGCCCATGAACAAAAACGTCACGACGAAGATGGCCAGCAGACTGATGCCCAGGGACTTCAGCGTGTCCGGCCACATCGTCAGGTACTGCTCGTAGAACACGTAGAACACGGAGTAGGGGAACACCTCCGTGCCCAGCGTCTTCGTCAAGTTGGCGCCTATGGTTCGCGCCGAACGCATGCTCTCGTAGTAATCCTCCGAAGTCTTCAGAATCGTGTGGTAGGCCATGAAGTAGTTGGCGCCCACAGTGCTGAGTTTCGTCGTTCCGTTGGTCGCGTAGTTGACGCCTTGGCCGTAAGCGGCCTTGCCGCCTTTGGCGCACGTGTCGTCCGGTACGTCCCTCAGGAAGAACGACACGTACCTTTCGAAGTCGTCGGCTGTGGGGCGGTGGGTTTTGTTTGCGTAATGAATGGTGCACGCGTCGCAATCTAAGAATAAACAGTTCAGTCAAACGCTCAAAAGTCCCACCACGCGACTTTGATACAAATACAGGGGTCATATTTTATGCAAAACTTCATATTTTCACCCTTGTTCATAAAATGTTCATAAATTACGAAAAATGATTAAAATATTCATATTTTTCAATTTTCTAACAAAGATTAATTGGACGGCTTTCTGCAGAATGGGACCAACCCACACCATGATGAAACTGAGAAAAAAGCTATCAAAGATTTTAATAATTTTAAAATTACCTGTTAATTTTATGCCGATTTTGGACTTACGGAGGTTTAAGGGATATAATTTAATAATTTCATCAGGTGGATTTTGTGATGTTATGTGTAAGGGTGACGAAAAAAATGGGCTTTTGTTGGTTGGTTCCTTTCTGCAATTTATGAAAACTATTATCTGATGTATGTATGTATTTAAAAAAAAGCGACAATTATTTATTTCCAAACAAAATACAACTGATATTACTATTATAATGGTAATATGAATTAATTTTGATTCTATTTGAAATTCGTCCACATCATCTTCCAACCCCACCTCATCTTGTAAGCTACCAAAAAAATGCATCAAGACTTTATATTTTGCAGAAGCAGGAAATCTTTAAAAACTTTGGTAGTGGGTCTACCAGCCTGCTTTTTTACAAAAAAGATCCAACCTACTTGCAGATATTCTACAGATTCTAATTCTGGATTAGTAATCCACACTATTATTGAATGTTGGTTGGTTCAATGATAATTTCACTACACTTGCATTTTGGCTATGACCTATTTTGCAGATAAATTATACATACTTAATTAGTTCATAGGCTAAATATCTCGATTTTTTTGGTTTTGTGGGTTGGTTCCTTTCTGCAGAAAGGCGTCCAATTGAGGCCTGTCATAGCAAAACCGACAATCTCCACTTTTGGTCAAAAATTGGAGTTTTGGCGGAGACTGTACTTCAACTAATTATCTATAAGATGATAAAGTTTATGTGCTGCAAAAGGAGCTAAATCCTGCCTAAAATCCTATTTTAAAAATGGCATTTAGTGCAAAGTCGACAATCTCCACTGATAGATTTGCAGCAAAGTATACAATCTCCAATTCCACCATTAGAAATTAGTAATTTGTGTCACCTGATATCCTAACATTTGATGTTATAACGTATTTTAGAGATTTAATTTTGTGAATTTTTACTGGTACATACTGTTAAGTTCTATTGCAGTAAATTGCACTAAAAAATATATTTAAAATAGGTATGGCGATTTGTTGAAAAAGTCCTTTTGTACAAAAATCGAGGTAGAAAATTTACATATCTTTCTGGGAAAGATAAAAATCTTAAAGATAAGTACAGTTTGATTTATTTTACGTATAGATTATACTTAAAGGAAAAAAAAATAAGCTGCTGTTGATAAAAATCCATAGATAAATGGCAAAGTTATGAATTTTTCAGGGAAAGACCAAAATTCAGTTTTTTAAAGAATTTTTACGTTTTTTTCATTTTATTGAGTTATATAAAGTTTAATATTGAACATTGAAGATATTGAAAGTTTTATATTGTTGTAATAAGCATAGGTTTAAAAAAATCGGGCTCCTTTTTTGTTGCTTTTGTATTTCGTCGCCCAGATTGTCCGGGTTTTTTACGCACTCGAACTCTCTACTTCTTTTACTCATATTACACTTTTTATTAACTAAATAAAACCATGATAAAAATACTCTGTTAAAATATCAAAAAATAGCAGTAAAATGTCACACGAGAAACAAAAGAATTCACGTTTGCGAAGTCATGTCAAATTTAAATTTTATATAATGTTTTTGGTGAAAAAATTACGTAAAAACTTAAAAAATTCTAATCATGCACTTTAATTAGGTTTTCATTAAAAAATAAACATATTACGAAATAAAAGAAAAAAGATAAAATAAAAATAGTCAAAACGCTGAATTTTGGTCTTCCACTAAAAAATTCATAACTTCGCCATTTTTTCATGTATTTTTATCAACATTAGCTTGTTTTTTTTGTAAAAATGTCAGCTTCACAAAAAAAAATTCAAACTGGATTGTATTGTTCATCTTCTACGGGAGGAAGGAAGGAAGGCAATCTATAAATCAGGCTTAACAGTTAACCTCACCACAAAAGCCGGAAAGCCGGAATTTAAAAATTTTTCCCTTAAAAATTAAAAAAAATTTTTTTTAATTTTCGAATTAACTTAGTACAGTAGGCACTAAACATGTTATTCTATTATTAAATTTATTTAATAAAGAAACATTTCAATAAGATAATTTCTAAAACGCGTCAAATGTTTATGGAGCAAGCACGATTTGGCAACACTGCGGATCAAACTGGCTGCATCGTGGCTCCGATCCCAGACTGCCTTCTACTAAAGCTACGTTTACACTTTGTAATTTAAAAATTATCGACTTACATTTAAATGTAAAGTTATAAATTTTGTCTTCAAAATAAAATTGTTAAAAATAAAAAAAATTGGTTTAAATTTGTAAAGAGTCATTTAAATGATAGTCGATAAATTTTTAATCCAAAAATTACTACTTTAAAATTTAAAACTTACAGTTAATGTAATGTGAGAATTTTTGTATTAAAAATTTATCAACTATCATTTAAATGACTCTTTAAAAATTGAAACCAATAATTTTGTAGAATAAAATATTAAAACCAACACTTTTAAAAATCAATATTTTTAAACATAAAATTTTACTGTTGCACTTTATATTTAAAAGATTTTTATATTTCGATGCAAGATTGCTGCTGATTTCCCGAATTTCGTAACTTTGTAAAAACTCACCGTCGTTTTGGTGAGGACAGAACTGGCCGTTCGTTTCGTTGACTCTGCAGCAGGCTTCCGAGCTGGCCGACCAATCGAAGTAGTCGTCCAACCAGTTCGAGGCCGGCCTCGATATGTGAGAGTATTCGGGTATGCGAGACGCGCCGAAGATTTGCGAAGCCAAGGAATCCGCGTTGCAGAACTGACCGCCGCAGATCAGGTTCTGATCTTCGGCAGTGCTCAGGTTTAAGCCGGCTGAAAGGAAATTATTATTACACAGTGCAACAGTGCAAAAGGGAACGGGATGAAACCAAAAGCAAATGAAATGTAATAGCTTCTACAACAAAACCCTATCAGGTTTTTTTAGATTATTTATTTATTTTTAGTTGGTAGATTTTTGGACCCCTTATAGTAGGAAAAAAATAAGTAAAACAATTTTAATTTTTTAAAATTATTCTGGAAGTATAGTCGAGGAATCCATTCCAGAGCATTTTTACTTTAGAAAATTTGGCATTTTTATAAAAAAATATTCTCTTTAATGTTTTAATCAAAAAACATGCTATTATTTTTAAATACGTAAATTTATTTATACTTAAAAACAATACTTGTATACAAAAACTACAATTTTTTGTGGTAATATATTGTAATATATCGATGGTATTTTTGCAAAAGGGCGAATATGCCATTTTCCTGTTTTGAGAAAAACAACAAAAAGTATTTCTGCATGACCTAAAAAATAAAAATGAATATAGATAAATAATATATACGAGGTGTGTTCAGAAAATAACGGGAATTGTTAAATTTCGCGGGTTCGGATGGTCCCGTTGTCATAAAATTTTCTTTATTATGTTGGTATACATGCCCCCGAAGATGATAAAAACTTTAGCTGTTTTCATTGTTTACTTTTTCTGTGGTAGCCGCTAAGGTTAGACGTGTTTTATGAGCTCGGCGATTTTTCGTTCGTTAAAAAAAATGGATCAAAGAATTTGTATCCAATTTTGCTTAAAAAATTAAATAAATTCTTTGAGATGTTAACAAAGGCCTATAGTGAGTCTGCTATAAGTAAAACGAGAGTTTACAAGTGGTATAAGAGTTTCCAAGATGGCCGTGAAGACGTTGAAGATGACGAACGCCCCGAACGCACAAGCACATTACCAACCGATATAAACATGGAAAAAGTGGAAGAAATGGTTATAAACCATCAGAGAAGTTGCTGATGATGTTGGTATATCGATTGGCTCACCCCATGAAATTTTTTCGAATGTTTTGGGTATAAAACGCGTGGCAGCAAAATTTGTTCCAAAATTGTTAAATTTTGAACACAATTTTTAGCCAAAAACAATACTGTCATGATGCCCCAGCCTCTATATTCGCCAGACATGCCTCTGTCTGACTTTTTCCTATTCCCAAAAATTAAGAGAACCCTAAAGGGCCGTCGTTTTGCAAGCATAGATGACATTAAAAGCGCATCGCTGAAAGAACTAAAGGCTATCCCAAAGATAGAGTTTTAGAAGTGTTTCGAGTATTGGAAAAAGAGCTGGCACATGTGCATAAAATCCAATGGGGACTATTTTGAAGGCGACTACATTAATGTAGACGAATAAATAAATATTTGTTTCAAAAAACGAAAATTCCCGATATTTTCTGAACACACCTCGTATAATATATAATCCATTATAAACATTTGTCCTTTTGCCAGAATGATCCCACAGCATGTACGTATTGTTTTGTGCATATATAGCTTTATAAAGCTCAAAATAGTAAATTAGGCGTATTTGCAAAAATATTATAACTACAAAAAATTGTAGTTTTTGTGGCAAAAATGGTCCCAAAAGAAAAAGAAGTCAATGAAATTTGGTGTTCCAATGTTGTGGTATTCTTTTATTTTTATATTAAAACATGGATTCTCTGTTCGTATTTCTGATAATAATCAATATAATATTTTGCATTTTTATCAATTTTTAGATGAACAGCTGGAACTTCTGGTACTTCAACTCGTGTTACTGCCGGTTACAGCAGTGATAGTTTTTAAATAAAAATAAAATAGCGAATTTAATCATGTTTAGTTTAAGAAGTAAAAATGCTTCTTTTTCTATACTAATAAATCAAAAATATTAAAAATTGCTTTCAAATATCACCTAGGGTATATTTTACAACTAACGGATGACAAAAATGGATTTCTCACCTTCAAAAATAGTAAAAATACCATTTTACCAACAAAAATACGTAAAAAGTAGCGTCCTCTTCTGAGGGTCTTTGGTAAAAATTAACATCTCAAAACATAGTTTTACTTATGTTTTTCCTACTATAGGGTGTCAAAAAATTTACCATCTTTAAATGCGTATAAAAAATAACTAAGACGTGATATAAAAAAACCCTGATAGGGTTTTCCAAGTGTCTAGTCATGGTCAAGGAAAATATTGACAAGTTTCATACAAATTTGGATTTTCACAACTATAATACAAGACATCAAGATAATATTAGACTTAGATATACACGATTGCAAGCGAGTAGAAATGCTAATAATTATTATGGGCCAATATTTTTTAATAAAATTGACAGCTCATTGAAACCTTTACCTTTAAAAAAATTTAAACTAAAAATTAAAGAAAAACTAATTTCTAAAGCTTTCTATTCGTTTGAAGAGTTTTTAGAATGTGGATTGTAGTTTTTATGTTAGATATAGTTTTTGTGTTGAATCTTTGTTCATATTTTGTACTTGTTTACCTATTGTTTTATGTATTTCAAAACTTGACTTGTGTAAAAAAACTTTGTTTTTATCACCAATAAAAAAAATTATTATTATTGTGGAAACTATTAACTTTCATTTGCTTTTGGTGTTATTCCATTCCCTTTCGCAAACCTTAATTTTGTATCACAGTGTTATTATAACAAAAAATAATGTTTGTATTTGTACTCACATTTTACCACAAAGTAGACCGGCGGTCCGATAGAGAGGTAATCCTTAAGGAACTTGAAGTACTTCGAGACGAAACTGTCGGCGGACATTGACAACTCCTGCTCCAATCCGACCTCTATGCTGGGCACCACGGCGATGGAGGAGCAAACCCACCCGAAGAATACGATCATCACAACGGCGCGCGCAAATTTGTTCATGAGAAAAGGCACGTAGATGCTCTTGAAAAACGAGTACAATAGACCTTCTTGATTGACCAATGCGGACGGTGATGGACCGTCTTTCTTGGACCGCCTTATAAAGCAGAAGACGTCGAACCTGGCGGAGAAAAAACATGTTTTAAATGTAAAAGAAAATTGTAGGTTTTTAAAATTATGGAATTTATAATTTTTTATAATTTTAATTATGTTCAGATGTGAAAAAAACATGTTTTTTTAAATCCGCTGCAATAAAGCATATTCTGTCAATAAATAACATTAATCTTAAAAAATGGATTTTTTCATTATTGAAAATTTTGACAGAGACTAAAAAATCTGATTTCTTATTATTTGGCAGTTTCCACATAAGAAACCAATAGCAATGCAAAACTTCTACACTAATAGAAAAAATTAAAGGATAAAAAAATTCCAAATTTTTTGCGATTTTTTGGATAGCTGTATCTTCGTTAAAAATGGTCGTATTGGAGTAATGAAGTTTCTATTTTTGAGATTTTTAGATGAAAAACGTGCAACCCTTAATCCTAACGAATAACGTAATAAAAAAATTCAAAATTTTTTTGGCTTTCTTTTTTGGTCCACAGAAAGTTCTGACTTAACCACCAATGAATAAATGTTCTACAAGAATTTGCTATTGTTTTTTTTTTAATCCATACTCTACATGAATTTTTAAAATCATGAAAAAAAGTGCTTTTTGAAAAATCAAGCGCTGAATCAAAAATATTATAGGTAGTTACATTTTTTAGGACTAAATCAAAACAAGCGCGGCCCTTATTGGTCAATTCGGTGGTGGTGGCGCGTGCAAAGCGCGAGACTGCATTTACATTTACTAAATGTCATTTAGTGCATTAATTTTATGTGTACACATAAAATTAATTGTTACAATGTTACAATGTATCATTTTTTATTAGAATTAAAATTAGGTATATGTGCACATAAAATTAATTATGGCACGCCGTTTTACTTTTTAATTGTATAAGAAATATTAAGTTAAATAATGTGTCACAAAAATATTTAACGCAGAAAAATTCCATTAAATAAATAATTTAAAATCTATAACATCGCTTTTAAAAATTTCGCCAATTACACTCGCAACGCTTGGCAACGTCGTATTCGCTGTCTCTTTCACATTTACGCTTGCTACACAAAGATAATGTATTATCTTTGTTGCTACATACGTTCACTCACACCTATACAGGGTGTCCCGAAATTAGGGGGCCAAACTTAAACAGTGCATTCTTCATAGAAAAGTAACACTTTTTTGTTAAATAAATATGTATCAAAAAATGCCCCCTAACGGAGCTACGGCCCCCTGAATAGGAGCCTAAGAGAATAGTTTTTTTAAAACTATTCCTAGAGAGTTAAACATGAAGAAATAAAATTTTGGCACTTTGGTAATTTTTAGATGCTGAATCAAGATCTAAGATCAAAACTGTTAAAATTTAATCATAGGCGTAACATTTGGGGGGGGGGAAAGTTATAAAAATAGCCCCAACTTTTTTCCGAGATAATATTTTAATTTTTTTTCATGAAATTATGAAAACTTATAGTTTTTTACGAAAAATAGGTAGTCTTGATTTGAATCGCTCAGATGCACCATTTTCGAGAAAAATGCATTTATAAATTACTGTGCATAGCATACACATCTCGAGATGTGTATTTTAACACAAAATTTTAACGAAAATATGATCATATTTTCGTTAAAATTTTGTGTTAAAATTTGGAAAATCGCTCCATAATAAAAAATAACAAAAATCGAGCCAAAAAATATTAATTAAACTATAAAAATAAATGTAAAGTCAGCAAATAACCCAAACGTCACTTTTGTCCCAATTTGGGACTCCCAAAGCTTTTTAATGAAAATATTAGAAATTATGCTAAGCATAGTAATTTAAATTGCAATTTTCTCAAAAATGGTGCATCTGAGCGATTCAAAGCAAGAGTACCTATTTTTCGTGAAAAACTATACATTTACATAATTTTATAACAAAACATTAAAATACTCACTCTGCAAAAAGTTGAGACCGTTTTTGTAAATCTGCCCCCTCAAATGTTACACCTATGATTAAATTTTAACAGTTTTGATTATAGATCCAGATTCAGAATGTCAAAATTACCAAAGTCCCAAAAATTCAGGTCTTCATGTTCAACCCTCTAGGAATAGTTTAAAAAAAATGATGCTCTTAAGCTCCTATTTAGGGGGGCGTAGCTCCGTTAGGGGGCAATTTTTGATATATGTTTATTAAACAAAAAAGTGTTATTTTTCTATAAAGAATGCACTGTTTAAGTTTGGCCCCCTAATTTCGGGACACCCTGTATAGCACCGGGCGAGAGCGTTCCTATCTGACGTCAGCGACGTTGCCACAAATCTTCAGTGCAAGCGTCAAATTTCGTGAATTCGCCGATTTAATCCAATAGAATTTTCCTACCGACTTAATCATTACGAAACTTCGCGTATCATTTTTTGAAATTACACTCCACGATATTTGACTCATTTTTCATTGCAATCCTATCATTACCAATAATTATTTCGGAGGAGAAAAGAGTAACAAGAACCCGTGTATTTTTACCACAGACCACCAAAACAAATGGACGGCGCATTGCCATTCAATAACAATGATTTGTTTGCGGTCAACAAACGGTCACAGTCTAAGCGTCAAATTGGAGATAGAATTTTATGTTTTCTTCCAGTGACGTCATCAAAGGTCACAGTCTAAGCGTTAAATTGGCGATAGAATTTTATGTTTTCTTCCAGTGACGTATTGGGATTAAAAAAATAAGTAGGTAGGTACTTACAAACGATATTTCCATGTATTGTTATTTTTAGTAAAAAATTATGTATTTAAACTCCATAATTAACTTAAACACGATAGAAATACACAAACGAAAACACAAAACAACAAGCTGTCAACCTTTTTCTATGCTGTCAAATATGACGAATTTACCAACGTTGTTAATATTTAATTTTAATAATTATTAAATGATTTACTTTCTTTAAATAGAGAAAAATATCTAAAGAAAATGATAAACAAATCCTTTTTACAATTTTTTTTATTATTTAAACGAATTTCTGGTAATTATTAATGTTCATTATGTTATGATGAACGTCCAAAAAGGCGTGTAATCTATACTTCTGACAACGTTGGAAGCCGTGTTTCTTTCGACGGTGTTTAGAATGTGAAACTATGCTTTACTCGCTTTTTAAACGTAAACAAATCCGTCCATTTGTTTTGGTGGTCTGTGATTTTTACTCAACTTTGAAATGTATTTACTCGGCTCCCAACGACAAGAATTTTTATTATATTAAACAGGATGATGTGAAGCATCATAAAGAATTTATTTGTAAATTTTTTGACACTCACTCCTTAAGAAGCGAGTTGCAATTTTGTGAGAAAATATCGACTATATTACAACGTGCTACGTTACTAGACATAATCAACTTAAAACCATCTTACCTGTTGTCGGCTTGCCTGAGCGTGTCCAAATACAGCAAGCTGACGAAACAGGTGATCTGCAGCAGGAAATCGATCAGCAAGGCCATGCCGGCGTAGAGGGCGAACGCCCTGATGGCCGGCATGTCGCTGAGGCCGCCCAGGAAGAAGCAGCAGCTCTCGGAGACGCTGGTCAGCAGCATGGAGGGCCCCACGTGCCCCAGCGTGCGGCCGATGTGCTGCGCGTGCGTCTCGGTGGGGCGGCGCGCCTCGCGATGGTGCGTCTGCACCAGGATGAAGATGTTGTCGACCCCGACGGCCAGCACCAGGAACGGTATCACCTCGATGATGATCAGAGTGGCAGGTGTGCCTGTAATTATAACACCTGACTGAAGACAATTCATACAGAAAAGAACCTCAACTCTCAATATCATCTTTAGATGTGACCGGTCATAGGAGAAGAGCGTTTTTTCGAAAGAGGTTCTTTTTTCAAATTTTGCTTTATGAGTTATTGACCCCATCAGATTTGTAGACCCATAGCAAAAAAATGGATTGGATATATTCCTAGAACGGCAACAATACACGTTTAAACTACTCGAAAACGCGTTTTTCTTAAAATCAACTTTTCAGAAACCCAAAATTAAAAAAATCATATCTTTGGATGTAATTAAATTAGAACTATTCTATAAAAACCAAAAAAAATTCATAGTTTCAAAAATGAGAAAAACTAATTTTGTCATTAAGTTAAGGTCCCTTCTGAGAAGTTCTCCCATGACAATTTGTCTTACATTTTTAATTTTTGAATCCATTTGGATTTGACATTAATACTTTTTACTGATAAAAAAGATCTAGATCAATAGCTATTGAAAAAAACAATTTATATCTGGCCACTGTGCAATTATAATAATAAATTCTTTATTTGCCCAACAGATAACCATTTACAGGACTAAATACAATAGTATAAACAAAATAAACTATTTTTCACTCAAATACAAACATTAATGTTTTGAAAAATGTGTTAAATTTAGCCTTTTTAAGTTTTTTCCCGTTTATTTCCTTGGACCTTGAAAAAATTGTTTAAAAAAAAATATTTTTTTTTTAACTTTAAAATTCATACCTTTAAAAGTAATTAAGATACAGAACAAATCTGTAAAATGAGAAAAACTTATTTTTGACCCTAACTAGAATTCTCACATAAGAATTTTTCCTACATTTACAATTTTTGAATCCATTAAATTAAATTTTGGGTTTGACATTAATAGTTTTTACTGATAAAAAAGTTATTTCTGTAAATTTTTTTGAAAAAAATAATTTTTAACTGGTCTCTTTGAAAGTTCTTAAGATAGAACAATTCTGTCAAAACCAAACTAGTCCAAAAGCATTTTTAGTTTTAAAAAATGCCAAAAATTCATTTTTGACTCTAATTAAGTTAAGGTCTCTTTTCCCCTAAAATTTTATCTTAATTTTTTTATTTTTGAATCCATTTGGATTTGACATTAATAGTTTTTACTGATAAAAAAGATCTTTTCTCCAATTTATTTGAAAAAAAAATTTTATCTGGCTTCTACTGTGCAGTGTTTTGAAACATGTGTTTTTAGGTTTTGTTTTTTTTTTTGGTTTTTGCTAGACCTGGAAAAATTGTTTTTTTTGGGGGAAAAATTAAATTTTTTTGAATTTTAAAAAATTATATCTTAAGATTATTATTAAGATAGAACTCTGTGAAAACCAACAGGTCGTAAAAGAATTTCTAGTTTCAAAAAATGACAAAAACTTATTTTGTCATGATAATTTTTCTGACATTTTCAATTCTTGAATCCATTAAATTAAATTTTGGATTTGACATTTATAGTTTTTGCTGATAAAAAAGATCTTTTCACAAACTTTTTTGAAAAAAAATAATTTGTATCTGGCCACTGTGCAATGTTAAATTAAGGTTTTTTTCCGTTTTCCCCTGGACCTTGGGAAAACGCGTTTTTTATTTGGAAAAAATTGAATTTCTTTTCTTAAAAAATCAAATCTTAAAGTAATTAAAAAAATAGTTTCTAGTGTCAAGAACTTTTTGACCCTAATTAAGTTAAGGCAAGGTCTCCCATTAAGTTAAGGTAGGGTCTCCCATGAAATTTTTTCTTGCATTTTCAATTTGTTAAATTTAGCCTTTTAAAGGGTCTAACAAAACCTGTTTTTGGCTTTTAAGAAAGCAATTTATTTTTTTAACTTTGAAAGTAATAATGATAGAACAATTCTGTAAAAACAAGCTGATCCAAAAGGATTTTTAGTTTGAAAAAATGACCATATATCATTTTTGATACTAATTAAGTTAGGGTCCCTTGTCCCATAAGAATTTTGCTTACATTTTTAATTTTTTAATCCATTTGGATTTGAAATATAATAGATTCTTTTTAATTTTAAAAAATCATATCTTTGAAAGTAGTTCAAATAGAACAATTCTGTAAAAACCAGCTAGTCAAAATGAATTTAAAGTTTTAAAAATGCCAAAAACTCATTTCCGACCCTAATAGTTTTTCCCATGATATTTTTTTTTACATTTTCAATTTTTGAATCCATTTTGGATTAATAGTTATACTGATGCAGCGTTTTGAAAAATGAGGTGTATAGAGTAGGCTGGTTCAAAATAATCAACTATTTTTTTTCTGAAATTTCGTACTGAAATATGTTCACGATACCAAAAAAAGACACCTGTAAAAACCGGAGCTCTTAATTTTAATATTTAGAGGTCGCGCATCAAGAATTTCTATTTAAATGGGAAATTTTGTTTTGTTTCTTTATAATTTTCTAGCTCACAAACTAATTAAGCGCGATATTCTTGTGGGAAATTGAAAGCTCTACAAAAAATGTCTCTTATTATTTTTCGATAAACCAACGAGTTCAAAAGTTATTTAAAGTCGAAGTTAAATTTATATCATAATTCTTTTTGATTAATTAAAATCCTTTTTAATGAATTATTTCCAAAAATAGTAGGTGTTTCATTGGAATTAATTTAAAAGGCTTATTGAACATAGTAATTTTGATTTTTTTAATGATTTTTTTTATATTTGATAAAAACTAACTAATGAATTTGCCTAAAATTGAAGTAAAAAATGCAATTATGACAAATTTAACTTGAATAATAATAATAACTTGAATAACTTTTAACCTCGTTGGTTTATCGAAAAATGATGAGAGACATTTTTTGTAGAGCGTTCAATTTCCCACAAGAATATATATCGCGCATAAAAATCTGTTAATTAGTTTGTGAGCTGGAAAATTATAAAGAAACAAAACAAAATTTCTCATGTTATTTAAATGGGAAATAGGAATTCTCGATGCGCGACCTCTAAATATTAAAATTAAGAGCTTCGGTTTTTACAGGTGTCTTTTTTTTTGGTATCGTGAACATATTTTAGTGCGAAATTTCAGAAAAAAAATAGTTGATTATTTTGAACCAGCCTAGTGTATAGAGTTATACAGACTGAATAAAATCAAGTAAGTAAGGCTGGAGACAACGATGACAAATTATATTCTGATTAGAGAAAAAGAAACAAACTTTAATTGGGCGTGGTTTAAACCAAGCCATTCGTAATTACGAACCATAGTTGCCAGGTTGTTTTAAATCAGAAGAGAACGATTATAATTATTTAATTAATAGTTCAATTTTATTTGTTTGAAACTTTTAAAATAACAAAAAAATTAATAATATGTCAAAAATAATTTGATTTAGTTAATTTTCTTACTTTTAATATTAAAAAATAAGAAAAACAACCCTTTTAGGAAACAATAATAGCATATGGAAACAGCGCGGCATGCATGCAGCCAGATACAAGGGCATGCAGTTTGATTTGTTCAGTAGCTCCGACGCTGTCGTAGGGGAATGTGTATAGTTTTTAAGAAATACATTTTCGCCATTAACTGGAATTTAATGGATTTTAAACAATACTTAGTTTTTATTTGCAGAAATGCATTAAAACAAAACAAACGAATTCGATAAAAATAAAACATATAAATTCTCAAACAAAAATAATTCTAAAATAACGAAAATAACTTTTTTTCTAAATTAAATGTTCAAATAGACCACCAGCAGCAGTTAAACAATACCCTACCCTACCACAGTGGGCGGGGTTTGGCACTTGTTTTATTTAAGAGTATCTATTCGATTTAATACACCCTATAATAGATTCTTTTTAACTTTAAAAAATTATATCTTTGAAAGTAGTTCAGATAGAACAATTCTGTAAAAACCAGCTAGTCCAAATGAATTTAAAGTTTTAAAAATGTCAAAAACTCATTTCCGACCCTAATTAAGTTTTTCCCATGAGATTTTTTTTACATTTTCAATCTTTGAATCCATTTAGGATTAAGTTTTACTGATGTAGCGTTTTGAAAAATGGAGTGTATAGAGTATATGTTATTATTTAGAGTAAAACTTACCTATGAAACCAAAGATGCCAACTGAAGATACGACACTGGCCAGCACGATGAAAACACCGCCCAAACCGAGCGTGATTTTGCTGTCGATCAGGAGTCGGCTGCACTCGTTGACCTGCCCCAGCGAAACGGCGATGTAAGCGAACATGATCAAGTAGGAGCCCAGGATGGTCATCACGTCCGATTGGCTCTCCCTGTCCAGCTCGTCCTCGATCGACCTCTCCGACGAGTAGGCCACGTCCATGAACTCCGGCATCTCGTTCTCCGTGTAGTTCCGCATGAACGCCACGAACTCCCTCTCCCACGCCATGGCGGCCGTCAATTTCGTCTTGTTGTGGTGATTGTTGACCAGGAAGGTCAAGATGACGGCGGTGGCGGCGTCGTAGTCGGGGTCCTTGGAGAGGCTCTCGCCGGGTTTCAGAAAACCGCCGAGCGCTATGGCCGGCTCGATCGGGCCCTTGTACGGCGCCATGCACGCCTCGAAGAACGGGAACTTCGTGCACTTGCTGATCACGTCCAGGTAGTTGGTCTCGTTGCCGTTCGGATCCACGCCTTTGTGGTCGAATTTCTCGAGGTCGTCTTGAAAGTAACCCCAGACGGATTGAACGACGCACTCGCTGGTGCTCGTCTCGACTTGTCCGTCCTGGCGTAGAGGCGCGAAGCAGATTTTATCGAAGCTGTGATCGGTTCCCGCGCCGATGCTTTTGATTCTCTCCTGCAGATCGAGCACGGCCTTGAGGAAAGTGTCGTTCATGGCTGGCCCGTATCGCACGATGCCGTCTGCCGTAAAGTGCTCGATCCAGGACAGGTTCACGGCTCGTATTATGACCTGCTCGTTCCTGTAGAAGGGCTCGAAGTGACTGTCGAAGTACTCCTTCTCCACGCGGCTTTGGGATAGGGGGGAAGCCCACAACTCCACCGGGTCGGTGGTCACCTTCAGGTACTTGATGCCGTGTCCGCAGGCTGTGACCAAGAAAGCGCCCAGCAGCAGGATCAACCAGGGTCGTTCGGCGCAGAAAACGCCCCACCTTTCGAAGAACTTCTGGAGTAAGGAGTCCGTGTTGGCGCCCAACCTCTCGATGAACGACGACGTGGTGTGTTCCCCTGGAGCTTTGTTTATCGAATGCGTGTCCATCTCGTGGCCGAGTTCAGATGTTACACCTATTTAAACGCAGAAAATTATGTTTTTTATCGGACATCTGTCCAGTCCAGTCCAGTCCAGTCTAACCCAAAAGTAGGTATGCGTTAAATCGTTCAGTTCATTTTAACGAGGTAGTTGATGTTTAGTTTAAAAAGTGACAAAAAGTTACAACGTTCGGTTCTGCACCAGTAAAAAATTACAATACCTTTGGTAAACATATTTTGTCTAGATATTGATAAAGAGCATTTTTAGACAAATATCCATACAATTTTTTGTTACAATTTTTTTATGCATTAAGTTTGGACAAGCATTTTCTTTAAAACCTTGTATTCATATACAGTGCGGATGAAAAAACTATGTTAAAGCAGCCTAGTTTAAAATTTCTAATCACTATAGACAATACTACTTTTTGACATGGACAATTTTTTAAAAATTTCAAAATGTCAAATTTTTTTAATCGGAAGTGCAGTTACAAATCGTTGTAAAAGTCTTTGCAACTTATTTTTTAGATTCTTTATAGGGTATATCCGAAATTATAACAAACAAAAATTGCATTTTATTACGACAATTTTCAATATTAAATTTTATATTGGAAATTTGGAATTCTATTATTTTAAACCTAACCATAGGTAAAACTTTTTGACATGTATGTATAAAAAAAACAAGAGGCGCCATACTTTCAAAAGGTCAAAGGGTCAAAGTTAAAAAAATCCAACTCTAAAACGCCTTTACCAATCTTTATAAAATTTTGGATAAAAATACTTTAACTTATATCTTAGTTTACGTGTTCAAGGGTTTTTCGAGAAAATATCCTTAAAGCCCTTTTATTTAATAATAAAAAACGCTCGAAAAAAAACTTTTATAGGAAATTTTTTTAAGTAAATTATAAATATGCTATAAAAGACCGTATTTTTGTTAGTATACCCTGAAAATTTTGTACAAATCAAACAAACAGTAATAAAAATACAGCGCTTCAAAGTCGTCAAAAATGACCACTTTTCAGCAAAATAATCAAAAAGGGGTCATTTTTACCGACTTTGAAGCGATGTATCTTCGTTACTGTTCGTTTGATTTGTACAAAATTTTCAGGGTATACTAACAAAAATACAGCATAGTTTTTATTTAGTTAAAAGAAGATTCCCTAAAAGTTATTTTTCTAAAGTTTTATTATTATTAAATAAAAGGGCTTTAAACATATTTTAACGAAAAACCCTTGAACACGTAAACTGAGATATAAGTTGAAGTATTTTTTATACAAAATTTCATAAAGAATGGTAAATGCGTTTTAGAGTTAGAATTTTTTGACTTATTATGCGTTAATTTTGACGCGCAGTATACTATACTATACTATATCTATAGATAAACATACTAAAGTTTGAGAATTCCAAATAGTTATGTTAAATGTAAATCTTGCATTGCTAATTTCCTACAAACCTTGTAAAGATTCTTAAAAATTTGTTGGTTAATTATAGTTTTAAAAGATTTTTTTAATGATGTGTCACATAACCTCACTTACCATTGGAAAAAGTACCCTTTTGACAGTAAGACGACATTTTGAATTATTTTAAAATTTTTGTTATGTCAAAAAGCAGTATATATATGTTTGTAATAATATTTAAGAATGTTACCTTCTTACCTCCCTAAAATTTGGATTTAACGCAAGTTAAAGTATACAAATTAGACTGGACATATTCTGCCGTGCTTAATGAAAACGCCGTAACCAACAATTGTGCGATTTTTGTTTTACGGCATTTTCTACTAGAAAAACTCATCCTGCGTCTATCCCCGGTACTCAAAAAACCGTATCTATATATATACGGTTTTTTGAGTACCGGGGATAGACGCAGGATGAATTGTTCTAGTAGAAAATGCCGTAAAACAAAAATCGCACAATTGTTGGTTACGGCGTTTTCATTAAGCACGGCAGTATTATGGTCTAAGGACTGGACCAATCTTAATAAGAACCTACAGTATGTATATTTTAAGTTTAATAAAATTATAAAAGCGCGATATATGCCATACATACAGGGTGTATTTTTGCCATCACCTTAGTTTTTTTTAAATGTATATGTACTATGCCAAATCCCACCTTGACATTTGAATACAAATAATTGAGGTTATCTATTTGTGAATGTAATGCTAATTTTCTGAAAATAATACAATAGATGAATTTTTTGTGTGTAAAGGCCTTAATTTAGACGAAATTAGGATTAAACTGACACATAAATAACCTCAATTATTTGTATTCAAATATGAAAAAGGGACCTTTTTGATGGGCAGCATAGTACTTATAATATAATACAAGGTGACAAAATAAATAACAGTTTAAATGTATATTATAAGTATAGAAAAAGTATAGAAAAAGGAGATTCCTCCGCAAACAATATTTTATTCAACTACCGCAAATAATTTAAACTCAATTTTATTTGATATTTTATCTGACTTGTAATGACGACTGTTAAACTGTTTTAAACTCGCTTTTTTAAATTATAACCTATTTTCAGACCGTGGGCGAAATGCTATTTTGCCCATGAGTTAAAGTCATGCTTTTGCCAATCTCAGCAGGTGTTGAATAAAATATTTTGTATTTCCTGGATTATGGATTATCTAAAAACGGTTGTAATGGAAACAAAATATACATTGCATCTACAGCGACTAAGTTAACATGGCCACCATTGTTTGTATAAATGTGTTATTTATTCTGACACTTTGTATAATGAAAGATCCTCCACCAAAAATAATTTAAGCATAACCAACACCTCAACTTAAAAATATACATGCAGATTCCAAGCATAGGCAGATACATGCAAAAAACAAAGAACAAAAATATTTTTCTGAAAAAAACCTTTTTGTTTGTGTTTCCATCTACTTAATTAAATTTTTATTTTTTGCATTTGCAAAAAATAAAAACGTTGATATAAATTTTTTAACTTAATTTAGTCAACAAATGCACCAAAAAAAGTTGTAATTTTGCTTAAAACTCATGAATGACGTAGTGAACCTTGGGCCAAAAAGAAGGAAGAGATTGCTCCAACTCTATTTAGTCCAAGGTCACAGACGTCAAAACCAAGAAATACGCAAAAAAAAAAACGAATTTTGACGGGCTTTGTGGTGTTGTGTTTTGTCGTCTAGACGGAAAAACGTACTCGATCTTTTCGAATCCTGTTGCAGAGGGCTGTGCTCGCTGGCGTCGTTCAAGGTCGTGTGGTGTTGCCGTCCCTCGGCCACGTCGGCCAATCGTCTGCCGACAGCCGCGCGCATCTCGTCTGCCCCCCTCAAACCCTCGGCTGCAAAGCAAATCAACTTTTTTCTCTTTCTCTTTTCTCTTCATAATTTTTACCTTCTTACTATCTCTATTATTTACAATGCCGTACTCTACTCAAATAGGGTTGGGATTCCTTTAAAAATAACTTTGAAAATCTCAGTATCGTGACTTCACAAAACTATTAGTTACACCGCCGTGTCAAGACTTACGAATGAAGTATATGCAACAGTCGTGATAAGACTCACGAACGAAGTATTTTAAGTTACGAATGAATTATGTAATTAAATAGAGTTAACACGATTTGAGAAATACCTACATAACGTCATCACATAGCTCATCCTTAAAAATTGTTTGAAAAACGTAGAAAAAAATGTTTAATGACAAAACTGTATGTGTAGATTCCAAATATGCAATAAAAAAATTGCATGTCCCAACCCCATTTACATTGTAAAAATGCATTCAATAAAGCCTTAATTATAGATTGCCTTCCTTCCTTCCTTCCTCCCGTAGAAGATGAACAATACGAAATTTCGTATAATAAACATTTTTGACGTAATTGTCACCATTAACATTTCCCGTGTAAGAATTTTTAATACTTTGTGATAATATTTTGCAATTATAGTAATAAAAAAAATCAAAGGATAAAATATTTTCTTAACAAAATCATATTTTGAAGTTATTTTAATATTTTAAAGTATCAATAATTGTTAACTTTAATTAAAATTAATAACGGGCAATGTTAATGGTGAAAATTACGTCAAAAATGTTTATTTAAATCGTAGTGCCATTTATAGACACCCGTACTGTAAGGACGGCATTCCTTCCTCCCGTAGAAATTTTTAAATTTTATATTTCACCGTAAAGGTCTTTGACATGACCAATCACAGTGCGTAGGCACAAAATATTTAAAAACATGATTGTTTAGTATTATTTAAGATAGGTGTTTAGTTTATTAAATAATTAAGAGGATATTTAGATATTGTTTATGATCAATGTTTTTCATTTTTAGAAACGTTGCTTTGTAAAACCCCGTAGTTTCCCGGTCTTGGTAAAGTGGGCGAGTCTTGTTCGATGTTTTTTTTTTCATTATTATAATACAACAAGCTGCCTGGGCAATGAAAATTGTGATCACTGCACTAATATATAAATGTTTATCTTTCATATTTACACACAATGGGTAAAACGCAAAATATAAACAAAAACAAATGTCAACCATTTTAGGTGTCATCGCGCATGGTTACGGAATTTTACACGGAAATCTATAAATTGACTTTTTACAAGACGCACAAATCGTACGGGCACGACTACGGGAGGAAGGAAGGAAGGCAATCTAAAATTCAGGCTTAATTCCTCAAAATAAAATATACCGGGTGTAACAAGACTATAACAGCGGATGTAGTTTTTTTAACCAAAGAACCTATGTCCAAATATGGCTTGTTTATGAGATACAGGGTGTTAAAATTTTTATTATTTATCTTCCCCATTCTTTATTCCAACCTTTTTTCTCGTACTCTAAATTTGAAAAAAATAGATTCCTTAGACTATTTACTAAATTATTCCGTTTTTTTTGTTGATAAATTTCTTTGTTTAAAAAATGTTAGGGAAAATAGGTATGCCAATATTTACAGCAATTAAACCAAGTAACTAAAAAACATGATATGATTTCATAAAATAATAACTCTATGTGAAGTTAAACTTAATTTTTAACAATGCAAGATTGAAAAAAACAAAGACAAAAATTTAGTAAATAGACCAAGAAATTTAATTAACAATTTTGACCAGCGGCGTTCGAAAAAAGTTTGTGAATGAAAAAAGTCTACCTATATGATGAAAACTGGTCACCACATATAATATTATAAACAAAAGTAGATTGTTTTATAAGTAAAGAAAAGTGATGGTTTTCTCACGCATTGAACACGCTGTTTTTCGTATTTTTCATAAAAAGGCATTAGTTTAATCTGATATCTGACAACTGTCAAGTGCTTTTAACCTTACTTTTTACCAATATGACATTTGTGAGACGGTTTAACCTCACTTTTGGGCAATCTGACATCTGTCAACAAGTTTTAACCTCACATTTTCTCAATTTATTCCACTATAGTGTATATTGGAAACATTTGTAGACGTAAGGATCTTTTCAGTTCAAATAACTTTCTACATCTACCAAAGTTTGCGACTCCCTGTATAATATAAAAAAATAACTTTATCATAAAACTATTTAACTCTTAAAGGTTTAAACAAAAAAAACGTAAGTTTTCATATCAGAAACAATTTTTTTAAATGCCACGTTTTAAAATACATTAAAAGCACTTAGTTTATGTTTTAAAGCATATTTATAAATATGTACATGCGTTGTTTACCTATGTATTCATAAAACTCATCAATTATAAACTATTTACAAGTATTGAAGTAAATATTTAAAATGTTCAAATATTTTAAAAGTTTACGTTTTCGGGTGCCAAATACCTCATTAGTGTGTAAATAAATAAAAACAGGGACATTCAAGTAAATAAAGTTTAGCAAATATGTTGTTTAAATTATTTGGAAAATTTGTAAACCCCATTAAGATTGAATAACCCTGAATATAGAAAATGTTAGCAAAGTTAGTTTTTTTATTGAACTTTGATATAACGTTTTTTCATTATACAGGTTCTTTGGAACAACAAGTTGTTGATGTAAATTAGCATAGACCATTACCTTTTCCTTGTCTATGTAAATACCATTACTATATTTTGGTCCAAAGAATATGTAGTAGGTTTTTGTGAAGTCACTTAGTGCCATTATTTTTTAATATAGCTCGACTACTTTAATTAAATGTCAAAGTTCAATTGAAAAAAACTAACTTTAATTAATAAAACGTTCTATTTTAATTTATCTGCGATATCTAAACCATGCAAAAAAATAATACTAGTGTTATTGTAATAATAGATGGGTTTAATGCATTAGCCTTAAAAATCCACATCTAAAAGTAAACCCTTGATAAAAATAAATAAAATAACCAAAAACCAAAAATAGTACTAATCAAAAACACTCTAAAATAGTGCTATATAAAAATAAAACAATCCCAAATTGATTTACCGATCCTCCCATTAAGTTCCGCACAAACTATAAAATTTAAGATGGCGGCATTATAGTTTACACCAACTTAACAGAAATGAAAGAAAACTCACCGAAATTCATCTTCGGTTGGCAGACAAACACGAGCAGTATAAATAGAAGAGATCCCACGAAGAAGGCGACGACAAGGCAGAATTTCAGACCGTCCACGCCGGCCACTTTGAAAGGGGCGGGTTTCGGCGGCGGGGTGGGTGGCACCGGACAACTCTCCTCGCAGTCCACGCAACTGCAGGCCATTGAATTTTCCTAAAAAAATGTTCATCTTTAAGCGTTCTATACGTTAAGCTTTATTACTGTCAACGCTCAATACCAAAGTATTCGATTATCTCCTAGGCTGTAAAAATAATTTAGACCAATCAGGTGAAGTTTTTTGCATCCTAGTCTGTAAAAAAATACGATAGGTTTAAGCCAAGATACATACACCTTAAGATAGGATGGTGCGCATGTTGGGCGGGGCTTAAATACGTCACTTGATGAGTGTTTTTAAATCTTTAACGTGCTTTTTAATTATCTGCTGCTAAAATTTTTGTTTTTGCGATGCTGTTGGATGTTAACTTGCTCTATTTTTTGTTTAACTTGTTGTTTTTGCGTTCGGTAAGGTTCGAATTACTTTTCAGTGTTCAAATTATTGTTATTGCGTTGTGTTGACCTGTTCTGTTTGTTTATTATTGTTTTTGTGCTGCGTTAAGTTGTTTTGTTTGTGTTTTAGTTTTTATCGTGCCATTTGAATTTATTAAAATGCGGTGTGGCATATTTGGATGCAATTCGGACAACCAGTCCAAGAAAAATCCTTTAAATAAAAACATTTAATTTAATCGATTCCCGAAAAACTTTGATTTGTGGAAACAGTGGTTAAATGCCACAAAAAGAATAGACAATATTAACGTTAAGACCGCTTCTGTTTTCTATAAACATTTTCTGGACAGTGACTATAAGTTTAATTTAAAACACCAACGCTTAAACTACAGCCCTAAATGTTATCAAGGACTGAAAGCATCTATTATCCATATTATAACACTTTCTTCAATATGCAATATAAGTTAAATAAAAACGCACTATGTCCAGATATTTCTCTATTTTCTTTGATAATATTACTATTATTCGTGTATTCGCACGGCAACTACTCATCAAGTGACGTCATGCGCGGCATGAACCAAAACTCGTACACGGGAGCATCCAGCCCTGGGTTTAAGCTTTCTAACCTCACTTTATATTTTTAATAATTGTTATTATAATTGTAAGGACATTTTAGGTATCTTTAAACAAACAAACTATAAAATGTTGTATGCCATTCGGATGAGACGTGTTTTGTGCCTTGCTCACACTTGTGTTAAAGTGTTATTTCCCATAGATTATTTGAAAAATTTGTTTACACTGTTTAGCTTAAATAAAACAAAAATTTGTTTGACTTGATACTTGACAACTGGATATAGAATTACACTGCGCGTCAAAATTAAGGCATAACAAGTTAAAAAATCCAACTCTAAAACGCCTTTACCAATATTTATAAAATTTTGGATAAAAATACTTTAACTTATATCTCAGTTTACGTGTTCAAGGGTTTTTCGAAAAAATTTCCTTATAGCCCTTTTATTTAATAATAAAAAACGCTCGAAAAAAACTTTTATAGGAAATTTTTTTAAGTAAATAATAAATCTGCTGTGAAAGACCGTATTTTTGTTAGTAAACCCTGAAAATTTTTTACAAATCAAACAAGCAATAACAAAAATACAGCGCTTCAAAGTCGTCAAAAATGACCACTTTTCAGCAAAATAATCAAAATTGGGTCATTTTTACCGACTTTGAAGCGATGTATCTTCGTTACTGTTCGTTTGATTTGTACAAAATTTTCAGGGTATACTAACAAAAATACGGTCTTTAACAGCATATTTTTTATTTAGTTAAAATTCCCTAAAAGTTATTTTTCGTACGTTTTTTGATTATTAAATAAAACGGCTTTAAAAATATTTTCTCGAAAAACCCTCGAACCCGTAAACTGAGATATAAGTTAAAGTATTTTTATACAAAATTTCATAAAGATTGGTAAAGGCGTTTTAGAGTTAGGATTTTTTTACTTATTATGCTTTAATTTTGACGCGCAGTGTATATGGGTCTAAATAATTTAATTTAAGTAATATTGGGCCACAAACTATGCACCTAATATTATTATATAGTTTTATCTCGCGGAGCCAAAACGACCACATAAAACTGAAAATTTTTTAGAACCAAAAAGCGAAGTGTGGACTTAAACACTTTCATATCAAAAACTAAGGAAGCCAAAAGAGCGAAAAATTGTAGGGGGGAAACATGTAATATGTCAAATGATGATACTATCATAAATTAAAAAAAAACAGTAAAGTTCACTTTTTTTCCTTTAATAAATATATCAAACAATAAAAATGTACGCAATGTATAAAAATAACATGTTATCTAGAAAAATTATCTAACAAAGTAAAAATGTTTATAAAACCAAGTATTAGCGACATAGGTACTTAGATTTCATGATAAATAATTAGTAATTAGTAATAATATAAAACAATAGATTTTCGAAATGTTTATATACCCACGCAATAGACTATACAAACAAATTAATCACATTTTTGCTATTTAACCCTATTATTGACCTCATTTTAATAAAATTAGTGTTTTAAATTTATTATTATTTTATACACGCTATTACGTACATATATAATTATAGAACTTTCATTTTTTGATAACATTAAATAATTTTTTGCGTAACTAATATTATAAAAATTACGGATAGGTATTTGCTTGCATACATTACAATAAAATTTAATAACCGATGCTCAATTTTTGCTCCCCTTTAAGGTTTACAACATGCGCAGTCTCTTTTACCACCACTACTGCTCAATTTCGTATCTTTGTTTTATAGTTATACAAATAAAAACTTACGTTTACGGCTTCATTGCAGGGTTTAGCAGCTGGGTTGATTGGAGTAAAACCGTTAACGGGTTCTGTAATGTTCTTATAATTTATTTGGAATGGCGCGAAAGGATTTAGTTTGATTGATCCCATGTACCCAAACCATCTAAAAATAAAAGACACATTTAAGAATAAGAATTGTCATAACATTTTTTGTTGCTTTTTTCTAGGATCTACCTAATGCATTAATTTTTACTTTAGTTAAAATATAATTATACCTAATAGTTATATGGAACGCCGTTTTACTATTTAATATACATTTACACCAATGTTTCATTTAAATGATAGATGAAAAAACAGAAATTCAATAATAGAAATAAAATGAATTTCGTTGACCCAACTGTCTTTTAAATTAAACTTAAGAATTAGTAGACGGATTTCGACGAAAGTTGAATTTATCATACCTACTCTTATGAAGTCTCCAATGTAAATTTAAGTCATAAAAATGACCTACATCTGATTAATATGAGCTGGAAACCATTTAAATGATACATAGAAACATACAGATGAATTTAACTTATAGTTTTAAAGTTATAGTTGTATTTATATGATAGTTGGATTATTCTCTCCATTGCATTTATAACGACAAATAAAGTTAAACATGATTTTAATGAAAAATAAACTTATGCAGTTGTATTTCAAACATAGTTTATTCTAAATGAATATTGGCCCTTATATAACATTTAAATGAATGTTGGATCAGTCAAAATTACATTAAATTTTTAAAATAGTAAGAAAAGTTCACATTTTAACAACAAAATATTTTTTTTGTATTTAGATTTAAATGATACTCGAATTTTTGAGACATGTAGAGATCTAGCGAATCATTTAAAACATAGTTGAATTTTTCTTACACATGAGTTTAAATAACATCTGAATTTATCTGGTAGATAAGCAGCTTGTGTATAATTCGAATGAAACTTGCATTTTACTTTCATTTAAATTTAAATGGCACTTTAATTTTTACAATAGTTGGATTTAACAGATATAAAATATATATATTTTTTCATTTTCATTTTAATGGAATCTGCATTTAACTAAAAGTTGAATTTAAATGACATTTGAATTCAAACGACACTTGAATTAAATTGACACTTGAATTCAAACGACACTTGAATTAAAACGTCACTTGAATTTAAACGACACTTGCATTTAAATGGTACTTGAATTTAAATGAAACTTGAATTTAAATGACCCAGATGTCTATTTCTTTGACCTAAGCAGCTGCCATCTATCGACAGGTAGTTGAAACATTTTCAAATTGCAGTTTAGGGAGAAAATTAGCGGCATCTTTTTCGCTAACTTGCAAAAACAAGAAGATCAGTCACACCAAAAAAGAATCACACATGATCTTAATCCATGATACATAATCTTAATCTAAGTCTTTAATCCTTATATAGAAACCGCACAAAACTCTTTATCGTTAAGTAATAAATAAAACTTAAATCCAGGAGAAAAATTGTGGGGATTCGTACACTATACCATTGTTTTTAAAAACAATGGTAAACCATGTAGATAAATACAAGCAGGCGCATAGACCGACATTTGGTTTGAATGCATTGTTGTAACCATAGATGGCGCTGTAAAATCAACTATTTCAACTACCTGCCGATAGATGGCAGCTGCGAAAGTCAAAGAAATAGACATCTGGGTCATTTAAGTTCAAGTTTCATTTAAATTCAACTACCATTTAAATGCAAGTGTCGTTTAAATTCAAGCTTAGTTTAAATTCAAGTGACTTTTTAATTTAAGTGTCGTTTTAATTCAAGTGTCAATTTAATTCAAGGGTCGTTTGAATTCAAATGTCATTTAAATTCAACTTTTAGTTAAATGCAGATTCCATTTAAATAAAAATGAAAAAATATATTTTTTTTATCTGTTATTTCCAAAATTAAAGTGCTATTTAAATTCAAATGAAAGTAAAATGCAAGTATCATTTAAATGATACCCAGCTGCTTATGTACTTGATAAATTCACATGTTATTTAAATTCATGTGTAAGAAAAATTCAATTTTGTTTTAAAAGATTCCTTAGATATTTTACATGTCTTAAAAATTTGAGTGTCTTTTAAATTCAAATACAAGTTTATTACAATTTTCATTGAAATTGTTTCACCGCATGCATATATAAGAAAAATAGGAAAGAAATTTCTAGTTAGCATTAAAATGATACTTGGGTCAACAAAATGCATTTGATTTCTATTATCGAATTTCTTTTTTTTTCATCCATCATTTAAATGAAACATTGGTATAAATGTATAATAAATAGTAAAACGGCGTTCCATATAGTTATTAGACTGGCCCAAAAAAATCGACTATTTTTTTTGTAAAGTATATCGAAAATAATGTTTGGGGGTGACAAAAAATTATGGTGAAAGTTTGAGTCCACAATATTAATATTAAGAGGTCCATCATCGCAATTTTAGATTTTTTTTTTCCTGAGCGAGTTTTTGTCTCAGAACTCCCAAACCATTGAGTTTAACTAAATTGACTAAATATTTTTTAAAGAAAATTGAATGCTCTACAAAAAAGGTTTGATTGGAATCTCCCGTCAGATGAACCGTTTTCTTACAATCATGCCTTAAAAATTGGTATAGTTTTACAATTTGATCTTTTAACTTTGGAATATTGTAATTCATGTAAAAATCAGTACCCGGAAAAAAACCGATAGATATTCTTATGGGAAATCAAATGCTCTACAAAAAAGCCTTTTATAATTTTTGGCTAAATTCACTCCATCAAACGTTATTCAAGGTTAAATTTGAAGTCAAAACGAAATTCTTGTTTTTTCAACTTTAACCTTGAATAACTTTTGATTGAGTGAATTTAGCAAAAAATGTTAAGAGGCTTTTTTGTAGAGCATTTGATTTCCCATAAGAATATTTATCGGTTTTTTATGGGTACTGATTTTTACATGAATTACAAAATTCCAGTTAAAAGATCATGATTTTAAGGAAACGGTTCATCTGACGGAAAATTTTATTTTAACCATTTTTGTAGAGCATTTAATTTTCTTAAATAAATATTTCTGAGTCAATTTTGTTAAACTCAATGGTTTGGGAGTTCTGAGACAAAAACTTGCTGAGGAAAAAAATTAAAATTGCGATGATAGACCTCTTAATATTAATATTATGGACTTAAACTTTCAAAATATTTTTTTTTTGTCACCCCAAACCATATTTTCGATATACTTTTCAAAAAAAATAGTTGATTTTTTTGACCCAGTCTAATAGTTATATTATTATTATTTTCCTAATTTTTGAACTTTTTTATGTTAATTTTATTTATTCGACGATCAAAAGTTTAAGAACTAGTTTTTTCTTAAAAAAAAACAAAAATAAAAAATTGTCCCCTCTTCTAAAATCAATCCTGTATACATGTATATGGGTGATTCCAGCAAAAAGTTAAAAATTACATATGAATTAAATATTAAAACAAGTTTTTCTTTTTTTAAAAATTATTTCACTGGTCAAGTCTAATAATATTTTTTTTTTTACATTTTAACCAAAACTGTTAATTAAATCACATTTAATAATACCAATAATTAATATTGATGATCAAATCAAATGTCATTTGAACGTAGGAAGTGTCTACGTATACTGTTTGTTGCGACGTTTATGATATATTTGCCCGCCGCGGCGATTTTTTAATCTAATTAATAAAATTAACTTATTATTTTTATTAAACAACATTTTATGGAAGGGTGCAATCGACCTACGCGATGGTGCTTTTTTTTAATATTATTAAGTTGCTGCTGAGTAGATACATCTTAAAATGTATAATGGGTTGCATACAATACTCGTATTAAATCGGTAGTAAAGTTCTACTTTACTGCCGATTTCTTTTACTTTACTGTCGATTTAGGAAGTTTATTTCTCTACGACTACTTAAGAATAGTAACATTCTAGTGTAATTTTTGATCATAGAAAGGATGTTTTTCTGCAATACTGTTCGAGAATATTCCTACTCTTGTTTAAGAATGGTCACAAGTAACGACATCTCCTGGCTGTTTACTAAACGTAAAAAATTTAAAAATATTTAAATATTTCTGTATTATTTATTAATTAAAAAATAATAGCTGTTGTATAATTAAGGTTTAGGCACAAAAAATTAGTTATATTTATTGATTTTCAAATATACAAATCAAAATTATAATAAATTTGATATTAAAATGATAAACCAGTTACCTACTATACCGGCTTTGAAGTTTTGACAGATTCAAAAAGTTTAAAAAAAGACCTTTAAAATGTAGAAAAAGAATAGATGTTGACCTAGATTACTTGTAAAATTAGTTTTGTATTTGTTACAATGTTATTTTTTTATTAGTTAGTGTAAATAACTATTTTTAATTATAATAAAGATTTAGGCATACCATTTGTTTAAATTTATTATAATTTACATTATAAAATTGTGACGGCACAAAATGGTTTGACAATACAAAAAACTTAAATGTCAAAAACTGCTTGGTTTCTTTTCTCTGTTTACAATTATATAAGCGTTACTATTCTTAGAGAAAATAATGTCTGAAACACGTTTAGAATAGCATATTCCACTCTCGTAAAACCGTCACACTGGCCTTCGGCTCGTGTGTCAAATTTTTCCTCGAGCGGAATATGCTGTATTCCAAACTTGTTACAGAATGTACTATTTACTTCTTTCCCTATATAGCTATGTTAACACTAAACAAAAATAACAAAAATATATACAGTGGGCCCTTACCTGGTGGGATTGCACTTGTCGGCCCCCCATTCGCCGCACATGAACTCTATGGCCAACTTTCCGGCCGAGGGCATGCTGACGGATTTGCAGGATTCGAACGATTTTTGCATGTAAGCGTTGGAAAGGTAAACGTCCAACTCGGCGATGTAGGTTTTGTTCGTTTTAGGATTGACGCTGGTTTTTACGGCTTGCATGTGCTTCGATTGGTCCACGCCGCAACTCATACGGCAGATGTGTGCCACCATATTCGACAAGCAAGTCGGACATCTGAAAAAATTAAATTTATTTTTAATCATTTAAATATAACCCTCGATGTTAGTTCGATTCGATGTCTAAAACTAAATCTAAGTTAGGAAAATTCAAATACAAAAAATAGTTGGACAACCCACCGCCAGAGGGCCAAGTTGACATTTTAAAAGTTTCTTTTTTTCTCTAAAATGTGCTCAAATTTGACCTTCTTAAATAAATCAATTAGTACATTATAGCACATAGCTATTATAAAGACTTTTTTCTACTCCCACCTTTAAAACGCCCTTTATCGTACATGTTTCCATGACACTAAGTGACCTTTTAAATACACATTGACAAGTTGTGGGTTTATGGCGCTTTAGTCACGGGCTGAAGTTAGCAACAGGTTTTTAGTCACGGGCTAAAGTTAGTTTTAAGTTAGTTGACAGTTGTCAAATGTCATACAATCGTTAAAATAAAGTGCCTTTTTTGTAAAATAATACTAAATGTGAAAATTATTTTATTATCTCAATACAAAAATACTAAAGTATTAAATAGTTTCTCAACGCCAATATTTGAAAAGTTTATATGAACATTGTACTGACCTTTTAATTTCGCCGGCAGTAAACCATAACTTAAATTCGGACACGGACTCCACTGTAAAGTCCTCATACAACATTTTCTTTACTTTCACTGTGAAAAACTCTCAATTTTCAAGAAAAACATTTCGATTTTTAACCTTTATAATCTGTGTTTATAAAATAATAAAAATGTGACATTTGACGGTGACACACAGATTGTTTCATAGGTGGCGCTCTATACAAATTTTTTATTTAAATCATTTTAAGATAATAATAAGTATTTGTCATAGAAAAAGTATAGTATGCACCTCGTTTATAAACTATTCTATACACTCATTAATTTAAGCACTCGCTCGCAAGCTCGCTCGTGCCTAAATTATATTCGTGTATAAAATGGCTTTATCAAACTTGATACATAATATACTATTTTTAAGGGTACAATTTTTTTTATAAGTCTATATAGAATAGTATATTCTGTAAAAAGTTTGAAATATGCAATTTCAAACGTGTTTCAGACTGTACTTTTTCTACGTTTTCAAAAAATACCATAGAAAAGTAAATTAATTGCAAGAAAGTCTAAATGTGTTAGAAATTAAACAAAGAGATCTCACCTCCAGTGTTTAATGAATTATTCTATCATACGATGCCGGAATAAACACTGGTGGCAACATATCTGTGTTTAATATTTAACAAATTTTAGACCGATCCAACCCAACCCGACCCAACCCAATTAAACTATTTTTTTTTCTATGGTATTTTAAGGAAACGTAGAAAAAGTAGTCTAAAATACGTACGTTTGGAATTGCATATTCGTCATATTCCAAACTTGTTACAGAATAAACTATATATTAATACTACAAAAGTCAAATTATTATAATTATTAAACTCCGTACAGAAATAAAGCTAAAATGTCATCATGTCAGTTGAACATAACCTAACAATGATGTGACAAAATCTTAACTTAAGTTATGCAATCGTTAAAATAAAGTGAAATAATAAATTTATTTCACTTTATTTTAACGATTGCATGACATTTGACAACTGTCAACTAACTTCAGCCCGCGAGTAAAAACCTGTTGCTAACTTCAGCCCATGACTAAAACGCCATAAAGCCACAACTTGTCAATGTGTATTTAAAAGGTCACTTGGTGTCATGAAAACATGTGCGATAATGGTCGTTTAAAAGGTGGAGTATACAAAAATATGTTTATCATATTTATTTATTTATTTATTTATAAAGGTGTTTATGGCATTCTTAATTGTTTTGTACATATATTAAAAATTGTTTTATTTTTTATTTTAATTGTGTTTTCGACTTTTTTAAATAACCTTTTATCTTTAAAAATTCTGTTGTTTTTTTAATTTATTTTTCCATTCAAATGATTAAAAACACATTATCGAATATATCTTTTACATACACATTGACAAGCTGGGACTTTGTACGTTTTAGTCACGGTATGAACCAGTGGCGGATCGTAAAAATCTAAGAAGGTAGTGCCAGAATGTTGGCAGATGGTGCAAAATCAAAAGTTTTTCGCAACCGCACAGGCAATTATTTTTATCATAAATAGTTTGATAAAAATAAACGACGCCTAATTTTTTAATTTAATTTAACATTTTTCAGTGTCACGTTGTAGTTAATTTGACAATGAAATTTTTTGTTTCTAACATTGAGAATTTTTAAGAGAGCAAAAGTATTTCTGTAATATAATGTTATTCATATAATTCATATTTCAAGTAGGTATTTTACGTTAAACAAAAAACAAGAAAATAAGCTAAGTTAACTCACAGGAAAATATGGCAACAATGAATCTTAAGGCAAGTAGTATCGATGATGGCGCCGCCTGGTGGCGCAAGTTAGGGATGGTAAATACACTCACGTGCAAAATAATCCATCCACACAAATTTTCGATGAATTTCAATCGCAAATAAATTTTTTATTTGATGTCGGATTTAAAGAATATTTTAGATAAATTAATGGACAATCGCTTACATTTAAAAAAAATACTAAAAAATAGACGTACGTTTATAATATACAAGTTTAAACAAAAAGATGTTTTTTACCATAAGTTTAAGACACGCTGTAGAGTGGCAACACCGTATATTGTTTTAAATTAAGTTTTATTTATCAAGTCACATCTATTCTTAACAGTTTTGTTTTTGGTTCACCTCGATATATTTATTTTTGTGGAAAATATTGCAATTTCCAATATTTTTCCTGTATGAAAAACTAAGGTTGCTATGGTCCATCCATAGCCTATGGAGAATGACAGTGACAGTTTTGTTGAATCATCCCATACTTGGACATGTCATATACAGCTTTCAAAAGCTATCAAATTGTTTTTTGTAAATTAATGTGTTAATTTTGAGGTGTCTTCTTACTTTTAAAAATGTCTCCGACTGATGTTACCCTTTGTACTTTAATTCTTATGACGTTTAAAACACTTGCCACGTAATACTGGATTAAATTAATAGCTCTGGCAACATCAGTCGGAGACATTTTATAAAGTAAGAAGACACCTCAAAATTTAAACATTAATTTGCAAAAAACAATTTGATAGCTTTTGAAAGCCGTGTATGACATGTCCAAGTATGGGATGATTCAACAAAACTGTCACTGTCATTCTCCATAGCCTATGGATGGACAATAGCAACCTTAGTTCTTCATACAGAAAAATATTGGAAATTGCAATGTTTTTTTAAAAAAATCCATATTTTCCACAATAATAAATATATCGAGGTGAACCAAAAACAAAACTGTTAAGAATAGATGTGACTTGATAAATAAAACTTAATTTAGAACAATATACGGTTTTGCCACTCTACAGAGTGTCTTAAACTTATGGTAAAAAACATCTTTTTGTTTAAACCTGTATATTATAAACGTACGTCTATTTTTTAGTATTTTTTTAAAATGTGAGCGATTGTCCATTAATTTATCTACAATATTCTTTAATATTCGTTTAAATCCGACATCAAATAAAAAAGTTATTTGCGATTGAAATTCATCGAAAATTTGTGTGGATCGAATATTTTGCACGTGAGTGTAGATGAGAAAGCTTGTCAATGAACCACACACGTTAGAATGAAAATTAAAACTTCACAAATAAAATATTTACCTTCCCACGATGGAATTAAGCAACGTGAGACTGGTATCCATGGTTTTTAGCTGCTGCGAGTCGCAACAGGTGGCCGTCGCATCCAAATCGGGGCACCATTTTTTCAGTATGTCAGCGCCCTCTTTCGGCAGCGGCTTGCCTGGACCGTCGTACGCGCAATTTTGCTTTTTGGCACCCGACGTACACTCGCCGTACCACACGCAGTGCGGCTGCTCCGTCGAGGCGTTAGAATCCGCGCAGCTCGACTGAAAATTAAAATAACACTGTGTTAATGCGTTAATTACTAGAGATGGGAATCGGAAAGTTTCCATTTTAAGGAAACTTTCCGTTTTGGAAAGTTTCCAATTGGGAATTTATTTTCATTTTGAAAGTTTCTTTTAAGCTACCGGAAACATTCCTTGGAAACATTCCTTGGAAACTTTCCTTGTTTTTTTCATTTAAATGTCAATTGTTTAACCGCTGATTTTCGTTAAGGCCATGATACAAGGCCAAGAAACTTTGAATAAGAATTTAATGTGTGTTAATTTAAAGCAGAAGAAGTATAAATAATGTAAGTTATGTTACATAACCTTATTGACGCCGGATTATTCAGCATCATCACAAAAAAGGTAAACAAAATAAAAACAATAAACAAAGTTAAAATCATTCTTACATTTTTGTTGTTTACTTAAAGGCATAGCACAATGCCAAGAAAAAAATCTAGTGTTTGGAATTATTTTTTACTTTACTTTTAACTTTTTAATATTCATATATATTAGTTACTTTGTCCCTTTTAATTTTTTTTACGTAATATCTAGGATTTACTAGCAGTGAATTTCTAATAGTAAACATATTATTTTTATTTTGTAGGTTTCAGTATACAATAGAAATATTCCAAAGTAAAAGATACTAAAAATAGTATTGCAGTTACATTCTTATAAACATTTTTTTTATTTTTTTTCTTAATAAAATTTGACAAAAAGTTAATGTGTTATATATTTTTGCAAATCCCTGGCATAAAAAAAATATTTTCGCAATAAAAAAATTTTGTTTGAAACTTTCGGAAAATTTCGGGAATTTTCGATGGAAAGATTCCGGGAATTTTCGTCAAATGGGAATTTTCCCATCTCTATTAATTACTACAAAATAAACATCGAACCATTTGATTCTGTTCAACGGTCTAATTACGCCTCCACTCTATTCCCTACTCTAAGGTTTTACCTCGGGTTAGACGTTGCCAACCCATGGTAAATTTACCAATTTATGGGAATCAAACATTAACTATTATGAAATGTGGAATAAAGTTGTTCTAATTACAATAAAAATTACTGTTAAAAAAGTTGGAAAAATTGTATTTTGTAAAAAGCTAATATTTTTTATAAAAACGATTGTTGGGCTAAAACAAAATAAATCAAAGAATATCAAAAACGAGTTTTTTAAAATGTAAATTTACTTGTAAATTGTTTTTTTCTGTATAACCTTTAAACAATTGCTAAACATGTTTTAGCCAACAATCCACACAACAAGGTCTGTTCTATCTCATGCTAAAAATACAAAAAATCACTGCAACACTTCACAGAGTTTAACGGCGGCCATTTTTGTTGTTTCAATTCTTGTGCTTTGGGTTTGTGCTGTTTAATAATTGTTTTAAACGTTGGGCTTCTTACAGAGGCACTTGTAAGCCTCAAATAAGGCCTTTAAGTGCTAAGGACGACCATTTTACTTCTCTTTTATAATAAATATACCTTATTCTATCAGGGCTGTCAAATGACAATTTGAAGGTTAATTTGTGGGTTATAATTTAACCTTAAAATTGACATTTGAGTTTTATGACAGCCCTGATAGAATAAAGTTTATTTTTTACAATAGAGGAGTAAAATGGTTTAAAACGATTATTAATCTGTATAAACAGAGCACAAACCCAAAGCACAAAAATTGTAAACAACAAAAATGGCCGCCGTTAAACTGTGCAGTGTTGCAGTGAGCTAGAACAGACCTTGTTGTGTGGATTGTGTTTTAGACCACAATCTACACAACAATTTTTTTGCTTCGGGTTTGTGGGTATGGTAAATTAACCTTAAAATTTACATTTGACAGTTTGATGACAGCCCTGATAGAATAAAGTTTTTCTACTCCTATTAAGGAATTTGACCCTTCTAATATCACTTTTATCTATGGAATGACATATATTCCGTAAAGTGTTACAGAATTAAATATTCTATCATCTGATGATAGAATGAACACTCGTGGCGACATCTCTGTTTTTAATATCTAACAAATTTTAGACCGATCCAACCTCACTTTCTTCCAATTAAATTATTTTTCTATGGTATTTTTTGGAATGAACACTCGTGGCGACATCTCTGTTTTTAATATCTAACAAATTTTAGACCGATCCAACCTCACTTTCTTCCAATTAAATTATTTTTCTATGGTATTTTTTGGAAACGTAGAAAAAGTATAGTCTGAAACACGTTTGAAATTGCATATTCCGCTCTCGTGAAACCGTCAAACTCGCCTTCGGCTCGTGTGACAAACTCTTCACTCGAGCGGAATATGCTGTATTCCAAACTTGTTACAGAATATACTATTTTCTACTTCTATTACGGAATTTGACCGTTCTAATATCACTTTTATCTATGGAATTACATAAATTCCGTAAAGTGTTACAGAATGAAATATTCTATCATCGGATGACAGAATAATCACTCGTGGCGACATCTCTGTTTTTAATATCTAACAAATTTTAGACCGATCCAACCTCACTTTCTTCCAATTAAAGGGTAGTTTTAAGGAGTGGTGAATCCAGTGCCGTGCTTGGATTTTGTTTAAAAAAATCGCTAATATGAATTCTTAAACATTTTCTCTTAAAAACTGACATAGTAGGCCTTGTATTTTGTACTAATATGACGTCTTTTGCTCCAAAAATACAGTTTATCAAGATCTACACTTAAAAACAAATCCGGTTAAAATCGCACAATAAATCAAGATTTTACAGGGGTGAGTCGCAAACAAATGGGTCACACTATATATATATGTTATGCAACAAATTTTACAAACGCCATTTAAGTAACAAACGAGTGTTTAAAGAATTTTATTAAACGAATTGCATACCATACTTTATCTATGGCGAGCACATTTAGAATTTAAAGTCAAATTTATTTGACGTTTTATCTGAGATCTGTCATACGGTTTTAACCTTACTTTATACCAATCTGACATCTGTAAGCGTTATAACCTTACTTTTCTGGCCAAATAGCTTTTAATCAAGCTAAAGCCATTTTCCCCTGAATACAAGCGTACCCTGTATTCAAAAAATCAATCATACTTTTTGTCAATTTTAATATAAAGCTTGATGTAGACAAAATATGTACATTTTATTAATTTATACACTGTATAGTTTAGGTAAGCAAACATTTTTCTCAAAAATCACATTTAAATTTATAAATAGTTTTAAATCTCCTGTTTTTCAAAACTAAATTTATCGATGTGTGTATTCAACAACCAATAAAAAAAGTATAGGATTTATTTTAGGAATTGGTATACAAGTTTAATTTAAATTATATAGATAACCTTGAAATTCAAACAAGATGAATAAAAAACTGAATAAACTGAATAAAAAATATATTTGTTCGCGAAATTGTTTTAAGAAAAAAACAATACCTGGTTGGTTTTAGTAATTTGGATGTCTAAAATTTTAACTACCAAACAAATGCCACATTTTTTAAATATTACACAATTTATAATGTTTATCCAAGAGTGCCTAGCATATTTGCTAATTTAGATAGTTAAATAATTTATATTTTATATTTCCACCTTTAAAACGTCATGTTTCCATGACCCTGATCTTTTAAATACACATTCACAAGCTAAGACTTTATGGCATTTTAGTCACGGGGTGAAGTTGGCAGCAGTAGCTTTAAAGCTATTAAGTTACGTGTTGAAGTTAGTTGCAGTTGTCAAATGTCATACAATCTTCAAAATAAAGCTACTAGAAAGTGAGGTTAGAACAAAGGTTAGATGTCAGAATTTATTTATTGTTAAAAATTATTTATTTTTTGTGCTCGTTGTAGATAAAGTGTAGTATGCAACTTGTTTTACAAACTTCCCTAGACACCCATTTTTATTAAAGAATCACTCGCAAGCTTCTCTCGTGAATTAAAAGTCGTGACTAAAATTGAATACGTAAGTGTATTAGGTTTCTTAATGGACTGGTGTATTAAATTGGGAAAAAGTGAGGTTAAAACAGTTTGACAGATGTCAGATTGATAAAAATTGGGGTTAAAAGTTTTAACTTAAAACCGCTTGAGATAAAATTTTAGTGTTGAGGCCGTTAAACACATAATATTATTATTTAAAAACGGTTGTCAAGGAAACAAGATAAACAACGCATCTGCTGCGATCTAAAATTAGCATGTTTGACAGATTTATTTTCTGACCCAAAATTTTGTTGGCCAGTGTAAAAAATGAAGGCTGACCTTTTGTGGTTTGACCCAAGTTTATTGAATCAAGTTCCTATTATTAACCTCTGTTACAGAGGCTCTGTATAATAATATTAATGAACATGGGACCTTTGGTTAAATTAGCAGTAACAAAATTAAATTAAAATTTTATGAGGCACAATAAGTAAGGGCTTTGTTTGTGGGAACATGTCTTAATCAGTTTATGTTTAAAGTTTATTTTATTCGTCACGCGAGGCTTAGTCATAGGTGTATAAGGAAATACCTAACTGATAAAGTCTGAAGTTCGAAAGTCGCACAAAATTTCCTATTTTTTGGAAACCTACCTTAATTTAAAAAAAATATTTACATTTTAATGGCATATTAAAAGACAACAACTTTTTTTGTATAAAAACAATTAATTATTTCTGACGCAGTTTAAATATGCGATTAAATTTTAGTTAAAAACAGAAATTACGATAAATATTTAAAATAACGCATCGGTACCTAATGATTAAAACATTTAATTAAATAACTATAAACATTTATAACATAACTGAACTAATAAAATAATACAGAATACTCAGTAGGCTTTAAAACAAACTGTCAAACTGACAGCTGTGACGTGTACAAATGGCGGTTATTAATGTTAAATTCATGATTTAAACAATTGCCAAAATATTTTCATTGTGTCTATCCATTTTTCAACACATGTCGGTATTTCATTGTTCATTTGTTTTACCCGTGTTTATCAAAAAATTGTAATCTATCATTTTAGCATTGACCTTGCTGATGCCATATTTTATTATTATTATTTTAGCAACGTTTTAAACAGGTAATTGCAAAAATTAACCTTATACTTTGGCCTCTCTGGCTATTATTACAAATAATTTAAAAATTTATAAAATCACCTTAAAAAAATAATGATAAATACCTAAATTACGATTAATATTTATTACTTTTAGCTAAATTAAGTTTATATTAAGTAGTGATATATAAACAAAAATCTAAGAGTTGACCCACTTAACAAGACTTTTCTTTATTAATAAAATTAACACTTATTTAATTGAAAATTTACATTGGATAAAGAGCCCCTATCATATTAAAAGCCATTATAATAAGATTTCTCTTTATGTTACATCATTTATTATTAAAAAATGCTTAAATAATTACTTGGTTTTATCAATATAAAAATGATAAAAACTAAACATGTTTTCGTATTCCTATTCCTAGAGATATTTTTAGATATTTGTTGGCAAAAATATCGATGTTTATCTGTCGAAAATCAGCTACAAAGAAAATAAATTGGTTCCGTGAACTTGTAACGGAAATAAAAAGACCTAATGTAGGTATAGTATACAAGATAAACCCCCTGTAGAAGACAGGTAATACAAGCAATTACTCATCAAGTATCCATAAAAAAAATAAGTGACAGTCTGCTTTACTTCATGGCCAACTGCGAAGGATATTATTGCTACCTTATTAAAATTCATCTTGTGTATACACATAGTAAACGACAAATAAGTAAAGCAAAAAATGTGTCAATAAAAAGTCAATATTTAAACGAAATAGCGCAACATTCCAACAAAGCATTGCAAAAAATAACAATTAGTCCTTTAAGCTCACCTTATTTACACTGACGATTAAAACCACCAAAACGCATAAAAATCTCGTTTTTTTGCACAAGCCGTCCCGTAGGCTTGCCATTTCAGCAGCCCTACGTCAAAAACTACCCTAACTAAACCGTACGGTTAGCTAACACTACACGACGTTGTTATATATGGTCGAAAAACAATAAAATTGTGCTATTTTCAAGCCTACAGCAGTGAAAAAACTAACTACACCTGAATCACTTTGACATCGAACGATTTTTTTCACGTCTGCGCACAATCTACCACCACCCTTTTCTAAAATAAAAAATATAACTTGACGTCACAGCACTTCTCTCTGTTGGCAACACTGAGTTTTATAATAATATAGGCAAAATCGCAATAAATACAGCGATTTTACAATGCGTTTTTAATAAATTAAACAGTTATAAACAAATTATTAAAAAAATGTTAAATAATTCAATAAAATAAACCAAAAATTCCAAAAAATATTGTAGTGACACCCAGTACAGAGTAGTTAAAGTTTAAAAGTGTATAATTTCAGCATTTTGGTTGGTAGTAGTGGCTGTCAGTGGTGTAAAACGCAAATATCCCTAAATGTTGATGATATGTGGAAGAATAATGACGTTTTTCTGTTGATTAATTCGTAATTCGAAGTTTATTAATTAGATGATTTGAAATTGTGATAGGATTGTAGGTAATAGTGTAGGTTATTGTAAAGGAAAATGGATTATTTGGGCCAAAACGGGGCCTTGGGCCTAACGACTGAACAAACCGAAAAAGTGAGTGAAATTTTGCGATTTACTTTGTTTACAGAAAAATGTTTTTTCGGGGTATTTTATCGGGCGGTGTTATGATTGCATATTTAATTAATTTATTGTCAAATTATCTATGTTTTGATGTTTTTTAAATTTATTTATATTTAATTTGTTTTATAGGTCAAGATTGGCAGATATAGGCAAATATTAGCATTTTTAAATATTAAAAATTGATATTGTATATTAATAAAATATGCAAATAATAAAAACGTTATATACAAGGTTTTATGAATATTTTACTAAAATTGTTATGATTATTTTAACCCGTTAACTGCCATGAGGCCTCATTGCTCATGTTGCCTTCCTTACAAAGGGGCTTATCTAAAAAAATTGCTAAATTGAGTAGCATTAAAACAGTGGCATTCAAATTCTACAATTGCCTTTGTTTTGTCTATAGCAGCATCTTAAATATTGTAAAAACTTCTTTTTTGTCTCCTGAAAAATCACAAACATGAGATCCCTTTGTAAGAAACGCGACAATATACATATTTTGTAGTGTCACACATCCAACTATACTAAAGTGCTTTAATTTGAATAAAACAGCATTTCTTGAATGGAAATTGATTTAGGGTGGCTAGAGATGAGCCATTCCACGCGTAACGGATACGACAGTTGCCGTGTTTTTATTTACAAAATAATATTGTTCTATTATATTACCAATGTCAAATTTTTATAAATAGTTCTAAACTAAAGCTGTTTAACAAGGTTTTTATTTGGCAAAATTAGGTATCGTGGTTGACTGTTTAATTCCTTAAAAACTAATAATTTAAAGCGTAACGGACGGGACTTCGTAATAGTAATAGGCGCGTGCATAGCGCGAGACTGTATTTACATTTACTAATTGTCATTTAGTGGCTAATTTTAGTCCATGAAACCTAAAAAATTAGGCAAATGGGACTAATCTTGAAAAAAAAACTAAAATGTGAAAAAAAAACCATTTGAAAAAAAAACAATGAAAAAAAACCTGAAAAAAAACGGACCGTTTTTTTTCAAGTCGCATCTCTAAGGGTGGCACAGTGGAAAATGTTAAAACTACTAGAAAAATCATGATTGATCTGGATTGATCATTCCTCGTTAATCCTATGTTAAATAAATTTAATGATGTATGATACTTGTAATGAAAATGAATTCGTTTTGGAAATATTTTTAAAACATTGTTTTCTAACATTCAAAATTAGATCCATAACCCAAAGATATGTATTTTTTATAAGAAGTATTTTTAGAAGAAAACGTATTAAGTTTATAACATTATAATTATTATTATACAGGGTGAGTTTTAAGTTGACGCGTTCCTTTTAACAGCGTGTAGAAATTAGATAGACAAATAAATATTTTAAGTAACTTTTTTATCAAAACTCAAAAATAAGGGAGTTATAGCCCTACAAAATTTAATTAAATTTTGAGCCGGTCCTGGCTATTGTTAACAAAAAACATAACCATAAAAATAAAAATAACAAAATAAACAATGCAAAATGTCATCTATGACAACAAACATAACCATTTAAATCAAAATGACATTTAGCAAAGAAAAATGTCATTATTTACTGAAGTTTTTTTTTGGGCCTCAATTATTGTTAAAAATGTGTCATTTTGGTTTAAATGGTTATGTTTGTTGTCATAGATGACATTTTGCATTGTTTATTTTGTCATTTTTATTTTTATGGTTATGTTTTTTGTTAACAATAGCCAGGACCGGCTCAAAATTTAATTAAATTTTGAAGGGTTATAACTCGCTTATTTTTGAGTTTTGATAAAAAAGTTACTTAAAATATTTTTTTTCAATCTGTTTTCTACACGCTGTTAAAAGGAACGCGTCAACTTAAAACTCACCCTGTATAATAAGAGATGTTTTTTTTTATTTGGGGATTTATTTGTAACACAAACTATTTTTGGGGATTTCATAGATAAGAAAAACATATTTTATTAACAAGAATAGTTAGAATTCAATAATGAATCATAATAATAAAAAAAAATTCTGGGGATTTTTGTTTTTAATTCCTAAATTTAGGGGATTTTTAAATTCCGTTTGGGTAAATTCTGCTGACTGATCTGGCAACCCTGATTTAGTTACACCTTGCACAGAAAAAGCTTATTCTTTAAAACAATCTTGACGCATAACACTTTTAGGTTCTTCAATTTCAAGACCTCACAGGCATAGAAGACATGACCGTGTGCCGCGACGTGCTCCAACGGCACCAATGGAACCTAGAGGTCGCTGTTCAGGAACAACTGAACATACGCGAGGGCAGACCCTCGGTGTACGCGACGGAGACGCGGCCTCCCGCCGTGGTCAGCGACCACCTGGCCGTGCAGCACGTTTACTACGCGCCGCCGACGGATGGCAGCGCGGGCGGCGTCGGCGGGCTCGTCAGGGCGGTGGTGGGGCTGCTGTGGAACATGTGCTACAGCACCATCATGACGCTGCTGCAGATTACCAGAAGGATGCTGGGTGAGAAAAATATCGAGTCTTATTTTTTTTTTATTATGGTTTTTAAAATTTTTCCACTTAATTTAAATCGCAAGTTTTAAATAGAAACAATCAATTTCTAGAAGAGGAAACAAACTCTTAAATAAATATTTTTGCTCATATCTTAGTATAGAGTCATTCCAAATAAAAAAACCAAATGGGGTGCACTGAAATATTTTTGACAGTTCTGACATTTCCCTACCAAACATGAATTGACTAAGTCAAAGCCATCTAAATTTTAAATTATAAATAAAACATTGCTTCTTAACTGCATTAAAAAAATTATTATATCTTTTACATGGATAAAAATAACAAAACAAGACTAACTAGACTGAAAAGATGAAGGGGGGACTACATTTCCTGAAAGTTTCAGATTTTTATTTTTTCCTCAACATAATGATTTCTGAGGGCAAAATTGGCTAATTTTGAAAATTATCAAGTTTCAATAATTTTTTTAATAAAGAAAATGATAGTCTAGAAACTTAAAATAATAGTTACGTTTTCTATTGTATAAGTACTTAATACCTGAAAAAAATCAACTTTCTAGATTTAGCAGAATAGGCACAGGAGCCAGACAAAAATCACAAAAATTGGCAAATTATTACAAATCTTTAGTGGTTTACCATTCTTTTATGAGATGAACTAATTAGATAATACTAATTAATATTGAAAACTTACTTACTAGGCAATAAAATAAAATTACAATCATTTCAATAATTGCCAAAGAAAAAAGTTTTAGCCTCTTATAAGAGAGTAAGAAAATGACACGATTTCAGGTTTCTAAAGGGTGCCGATTAAAAATAAAGCAACTAAAAATTAAAACGGCAACGGTTTTTCATATATGATACCTAAAAGATCATTCTCAAATTTTTTCATTAAAATAAAAAATCATGCAGCGCACTTTTAAATTCATTTTTGGTGTTTTCATTTGGATTGACTCTATAGGGTATTTCCACGAAACCTTACCCCACCTTGACAAAAAATCAGATGTGTTATTTAACAAAATATCAACTATATCTAAAGTCAAATAGTTTAATTGTGACGTAATTTATAACCTTAAAATATTCGTACATTGTGATGCTAAGAAGCTAACATTAAGAATAAACACGGAAGAGTTTCAATACTCGATAAAATGTTCAAATGTCGCATCCGTTACATTTTGAGAAAATTTTAGAAAATAAAGTATGCAATTTTTGTGCATTTAAAATACGTGCTTGTTTAAGGTTCCTATTCAAGTTTTACACAAAAAATTATTACTATATGCTTTCATACAAAATTTTACAGTATCAACTTTAGAAGCCAACTTGGTCGCATTTGCCGATTTTCTAAGATCGCGCCCGTTACGCTATTCATGACGTTATAAAAGGTTTTCTATACAAGTTTTTATTGACATTTTGTTTGAGTTAAATACCTAATTTTTCATACTATTTTTTTATAGTAACGTATCTTGATATATATGAACAAACACTTTATTATCATGAAAAAACGCAGTTTTAGTGTCGCACCCGTTACAATGGAAATACCCCATAGTATATAATATATATATACACTATTTCTTGTTTTGTTTTGTAAAATTGATTTAAAAAATATTCTTTACCTTTTTGGTATTTTTTAACAAAATTTGACGAGAAATTTATTTAAAACAATTGATTTTCTACAAAAATTACCACAAAATTCCTTTTTTGTTTACATTTTAAATTATTATTTTGTGCTTTAAATACTGCATTGTTGGTATTTTTAGGTTTAAATAACTCCTAAATTTATTTTTTTTATTTATGTATCAATATTAGGGTTTAAAAGTACTTATCGAAAAAAACGTAAAAATTATTTAGAAAAATTTTTCTGAAAATATACAAAGCAATCAACAACTTAACATTACTTTAATTAAAAAAAATATCCCTAAGGATAATAAATTTATTACAGATTATTTCCCTCATTATAATATGAACCAATCAAAAGCCTTGAATTTTCGAATAAATTTCGTTTAAATAAGCGATCAAATCACTAGAACTATTTAACAGCGATTAAATTTTAGCCTCCATATTGGATTTTTGTTTACGATTTTATGGTGTTATTTACAAGTTTTAACAAACATTTTTTAAAACACAATAAAAAATAAGTTATCTAGTTCACGAAATATCAATTATAATTATTACTTATTACATACCTTAAATTAATGGAATTTTCTTTAAAAAAATATTTATAAATTTTGACACATACCTACGTCAGATTTTATGAATTGTCAAATAGTTTCCTTTAATTCGAGAAATAATCTAGACGTATGTCACTGAACCTATAAATTTAATCTGTCAAACTATGCTCAGTAAGTTTTTTATTTGATTTTTCTTTTTGGAAAATAGTTTCATGCAAAATAATTAAAAATAAAACCTCTCGACCGCTACGCTACGGTCTCGTGATTTTATTAAATTATTTTGCATTCAACATTTTCCAACAAAAACCAAACAAAAAACTACTGAGCCTAGTTTAACCGATTAAATTCATAGTTCTCGTGATATAATATATGAATAAATATAAATAAAACCAAATTATGCATTGAATTGATTGAGAAAAATAAACGTAAACGTCGGATGGGTTCTTTTTGCAAAAGGAAGTCCATTGAAAATATCCATTTGCAAAATAATGAATGATTTATAAAGTTAAATTACAAATTATAATTCTATAAATCAATGTGTCAAATAAAACGATATTTATGTTAATACAGCACCGAATTTGTTTTTTTTGCGACCCGGTGGAAGATTCTTACTGAATTATAATGATAGGAATAATTATTATAATCATGTATAAAAAATTATCAAAAATGTCAACCAACAAGGATAAAGAGGTTTATGTAAAAACAAAAGAAGGTCGATAATTTAATATATGTTGTGGATCTCATTGAAACTAAAAAAAAATTAAAATAAATATTTTTTTTATTTGAGGTTTTGTTTTCAAATTATCGACCTTTTTTGTTTTTATATAATCCTTTTTATCTCAGTTTATATGGCATTTTTTTAACTTAATGTCATATTTTGTAATTAAGTTTAAAAATTTAATCCTTTTGACACATTACTTAACCAGTGTGTATGTATGTACCAGGCGTGTGCTGGGGTAATAGAAAACAATATAAGAAGGGCGACCACTGTATTAAACTTAAGCAACACGAACGTCATAAGTCCATAAATTTAATTTTGGCGAGTCATTTTTTAAAATCAATTTTATAGTTCAAAATACATTTTTTGTGAGAAGATTTTAACTAATTTATAAAATATAATATTCATATTCTGTAAAATGATCTATATCTTCTCAAAAAAATGTATTTTAAACTTTAAAATTGATTTTAAAAAATGACCTGTCAAAATTAAATTTTTGGACTTGTATTTTTATACTTGTATCATATTTTATACTTGTATCATTGACTCAACGCTTGTATACAGTATACTGTTCTTATTCTCACTGATTCAATTATAATATTAGTTTATTTAAATTTAATAAATAAAACAAAATAATTGCAAAGATTTATTTATTTAAAATAATAAATGGTTATAATCAAGGACCGGATTTTAGGCAATATGCCTTTTTAGGCATTTATGTGGGACCTTGAAATTAATCCTAAATTTAAAAAAATAAAGAGTTTGACACCCCTTTGTTTTTGCCTAAAAGCCAAAAATGGCGAAATTTTGATTTATTAACCTAAAAGGACATTTTTATGAGCCTAAAATAGGCTCTTTTAATTTTTCAGTAAAAAATATATTTTTCATTGCGAAAAGGTAAATTATTTTTAATTAGACCCTGCTTTCATGATCTTATTTCGCATAGATGCCCTTGGCGAGTACGAGGACCACAAATTACAAAACAAGTGAAAACCTAATCATTAGTTTTTAAGATATTGGCATTTTTATGAATTTTTTGAAACTTGACACATAAAATCAGTTTTTTGAGTGCCACAACTACAACATGCTATATTCTTCACCTAAGGTGTCAAGTTTTACAAAATTCATAAAAATGACTATATCTTAAAAACTAACGATTTATTAATAAGGTCATATTTTGATTTTCTGCTTAGTCATGAGTTGGTCTATCAGTCCTCCAAAGGATATCGTTAACTTTTGGGACACCCTGTATGTATTACATTTATGGTAATTTCAGACTTTTTAACAGTTTTTAGTAATATAATTTGTCGCCATCTATGGCATAATTAAATAACTCCACAATTTACAGGTGGTAAATAGTTTTTCTATATGACACATCACCAGAGGAAATTAAAGATGTGGTAAGAAAATTCGCCACAAAAAATACGTTGGATATTTACAAGCTGTCAGTCAAACTGTTAAAAGATATTGTACCTGAAATCGCTGAACCTTTAAGCTTTATTATAAATATGTGTTTTCAACAAGGCATTTTTCCTGAGAAACTAAAAATCGCAAAAATAATTCGGGTATTTATTTATTTATTTCTTTATATATATTATTTACATAACTTTTTATAGCCAAGAAAACAGTTCTTAACTGGTACCGCTAGTCTATAAAATTTGTTTCCATCCAACTAATCCATTCCATTCCATACATCTTCTTACTTACTTTTTCAAAAAAGTACCTCTCTTTATTTTTCTTTCATTACCTTCTCCAAAATATTAATTTGTATATAAAAAAGAAGATAGAAATTCCTGCAATAATTATCGTCCAATTGCAATACTATCTGCAATATCAAAGATTTTCGAAATCCTTTTAAAAAATCGATTGTGTAATTTTTTAGAAAAAAACAATTCAATGTATAAATCTCAGCATGGTTTCCAAAAGGGCAAATCTACAATAACGGCTCTTGTAGAAATTGTCCAGGAAATAAATAATGCTATAAATGCAAAAAAGGAACCTGAAGTGGCCTGCTTGAATCTAAGCAAAGCGTTTGATTGCATAAATCACGATGTTTTGTTAAAAAAATTGTCATACTATGCTATTAGAGGATTGGCCAACAACCTGTTGTCATCATAATTAAAAAACAGAAATCAACTCGTTATATGGAATGGGAAATTATCTGACACACAAGTCAATGAAATTGGTGTCCCTCAGGGCTCCATCCTAGGACCTTTGCTATTTATCCTGTACATAAATGACCTAGGTACCTTGGAACATTAAGACGTCCAAAATATGTATCTATACAGAGGACATATTTATATGGGAAATTGTTTGCAAGAGTTTGTGTTATTATTTTTATAATGTATTTTATATTAAGAGATACATTTTTATTTTTTGTTTTATTTTTATTGATAGGACCTGAATAAATGTTATGTTTAATCGTGTTGTTTTTATTTCATATCGCCTTTTTAGGCGGTTGAGGCCTATTTTAGGCACTTTCGGCCTAAAATGTAGGTTTTTATTAAGGCTGGGAATTTGTTAGTTTTTGGAATTCGAATACTCGTTTAAAAATTATTTGAAATACTCGAATTATTCGAATATTCGAATTATTCGAATATTCGAGTATTCGAATAATTCGAATATTCGTGTTCTCGTAAATTCGAATAATTCGAATATTCATGTCTTTATAATCTGTGATTCATGTCCTCGTACATTCGAATAATTTGAATATAGAGTACATTTTTAAATATTCAAATAATCGAATTTTTAAATACTCGAATATTAAAATATTTCAATTAATCAAAACTATCTTTGCTTTTCTTATTTTTGATGACATGGGGGGTGGGGGTCTAGATTGTGATAACGTCAGCAGTAGTTATTTACTTTTTTACACATATGGCAACCCACACATTGTCTATGCTTGAAATTAGTAATTACTGATTACTTTTTGTTACTGTCCAAAACGAAGCGACTACATATATCGCTTTTTTCGAATTTGATTATTTTTGGAATTTTCTAAATTCAAAAGCCATCTAATTTTTGTTGAGAGCTGTTAATTTTTTTTAATAAAAATGACAAATTAACATATTCGAAAAAAGTTTTTTTTGCACCACCCTTATACAGGGTGGTCCAGGATTAATCTGAAAAATTTTAATGATCGATAGACCCTGAAAAAACAATAAAAACAAACCCAAAAACATTTTTCAAAAATACACACTAACACACTAATAGCCCTTCAAAGGCAAAAAACCGTTTTTTTTAATACCTTTTAAACCGATTCTGCTCAAATTTTGTAAAATTTCTTACAAAAGGCCCAGCGGCGGAGATTTGGGGGTGGGTTTCCCCCATATTTCGACGCCACTGGATTTTATTGGAAAATCATCAGATTTCTTATTCAATAAAATAATAACAAAAGTTCCGTGTACACAATGTTTTTGAAATTTTAAACCGAAAGATCTCCGAAAATACCTACTGACCTGATCAAAAATTAACACAAAAGTTTTGCTTTTACATTGAAAAAGGATATAATAAATCTGATGATTTTCCAATAAAATCCAGTGGCGTAGAAAATATGATGGTAAAAAGGGGAAACCCCCACAAAATTTCCGCCACTTTCATTATATTATAATATAATTATCGACGGAAGCTTAACCTACACAAAATTTGAGAAGAATCGGTTTAATGGTTTAAAAATTATTTTGAAGGACTATATCTCCATTAGTATGCATTTAAAAAAAATGTTTTTGGGTTTGTTTTTATTGTTTTTTCAGGCTCTATCGATCAATAAAATTTTTCAGATTAATCCTGGACCACCCTGTATATACTAATTTAAAGTGTTTTAATATTCGAGTATTCAAATATGCGAGTATTCGAATATTCAAATTATTCGTAATCGATTCCCAGCCTTAGTTTTTATTGTCTATTTATGTATCCTAATTTCCAATTTTTAAGGGTCTAAAATCCGGTCTTTGGTTATACACTAATTTTAACAATAGAATATATACAAAAAGTGTATCTGTATTTTGAATGGGCTCAAAAGTGAAAGAAGGTATAAAACCCTAAAAAAATTCAAATTTTGATGTCCATTACATTTTATAACAAAAGTAAGCGTTTTGGTTTTTCAATATTTTACTAAAAATCCAGAACGGTTTAGAACTTAAAACAACTGCGAGTACAGTTCTTCGCAATCTTTAAACAGTCCAGAATCGTATTACTCGAACAAACCTGTTGTCTTCGATCAGGTCTGGAGTACCGGCCGCGCACCGACCCGGTGGAGGAGGTGATGGACTTCATCCGCACGTACGAGGACCGCTACACCTCGGTGCACCCGGTGTTCTACCGCGGCACGTTCTCGCAAGCGCTGAACGACGCGAAGCGCGAGCTGCGCTTCCTGCTCGTCTACCTGCACGACGACGCGTCGCGCGACACCGAGCAGTTCTGCAGGAACTCGCTCGCGCACGCCGACGTCGTCGACTACGTCAACGCGAACTTCCTGTTCTGGGCGTGCGGCGCCGACAGCGAGGAGGGCAGGCGCACGCTCAACGCCGTCAAGTCCTCGGGCGCCACCTTTCCGCTGCTCAGCGTGCTGGTGCTCAAGGAGGGGCGCATGACCATCGTCGGTGAGTATCGACAACACTAAACATTTTGCTCGAACATCTTGAATTTTGCTCAAATTTTATAGATATATTCATTAGGGTCCCACGGTTGACCGAACACCGTTTTTAACGAAAAAAATAGAACAACTTTGAAACATTTAAAAAAAAAATACTTACCAACTAAGTATTCAAAAAAATGTAAAATAAAAATCTTTCATGTAGATCTGTCAAATTTTTTTTCAAAAAACTGTTTTTTTTAATACTTTCAGTTTTTTGGGTTGCTATATTTAAAATATGAATTATAATTTATTTCTTTAGTAGGTAATAAAAAATGCATGAAAAAGAAACCTTTTCTTTCTTAGTTTTTTATAATTTTGTCGATAATATATCAATTTTTTATTGAAATAGGTTTGTATAGTTTAGACCACTGATATTTGATCTCGCATAAAAACACTATTTATTTTTGTTAAAAGTAGCCGCCAACTATAAGTGAATCCTCTTTTGCCTATATATACCGAATATTGAACATGCCTGGGTTTACTATTTGTTGCTTCGATTTTTATATTGCCGCTGAATACAAAATATTATTTTTAATTCTGTGGTTAAAACTTGTAAATTGCGCCCGGATTTGCTTCGAGTTTTTATCGATGTTTTTTACATGTAGACGTTTTTGTTCGAGTTCAAATGTTCAAAATGTCCCAGTTTTGTTCTTTATTTCACCACCAGAACTTCACCTTATGCTGGGCATTGTACAAAAACTTTTTGATTCCCCAATCAGCAAATATCCAGAATTTGGGAGGCATGGGTGAAAAGTGCTGGAATCTGCTTTGACCATTATGGCAAATTTAATGGCAATAATGCACGAAAACTACTAAAGTCGATTGCTGTATTGAAAACTTTGTCATAAGCTTTGCTTTGTTTGGATGTTTTCTACCTACTGATTTATAATTCCTATTTTAGACAATGAATATATTCAATCAAGTAGTTTCTGGCTGTTTTGGCCAAAACTTAGCAGATGAATATAAAGACTACATAAAAGAATTTAAACTACAATCACCAAAAGCTGGAATTACATGTACACCAAAGATCCATGCTCTCATTTATCATGTTCCTCAATTTATTGAAGAAACGCAAAGAGCCCTTGGTTTCTTCTCAGAGCAAGCATCGGAGCAAGTTCATCATTCATTCAATATATTTTCCAGGAATTTTAATTTATCCAGAAATAACTTGAAAAAATATAATATAAACTTGCTTCGATGTCTTTGTGCATACAATAGTCAACATCTGTAGGCTTAGATTTATTTTGTTGTTTTTTTACATTTTTGTTTAAGTTTATCAATTTTTACGTTTATAATTTTGAATAATGCATTCAGAAGAATAAAGTTTGAGTTTCCTACTATCGTATGAGTCTTTCAAATTAAAAATATTCTACAAATATTAACTTTGAAACAGTTAAAATATTATCAATATACGATACTACACATAAATTACGAAGAATTGATCGCTATTTCCCAAGATCTACATTAGGGTGTCCGTTATTTGGGCGATGTGCGAATTTTTTTGCTCGCACCCCCCAAAAAGTTGTAGTTTGGGAAAAAAAAATTTTTGGTAATTTTTTTAGATTTTTATTTTTTAATTAACCCGTGCCGCAAGAGGGTTAAAGATTTAATTATTGTTAAAATATGATTAAATTTTGCCTTTCACTATAGGCTTACCACTCCACGATTTTTCAATGAAAAAAGTCTGTCGAGTGGTTTTCTTATAGTTCAAACACCGCTGAACCCGAATCTGAAATTCGTTTTTTTTTTCATTAATCGTTTTTTTAGAATAGCCTGTGTCGGGAGTAGGTAAAATCGCAAATCGGATGAAAAATGGGATTAGGCTCTTTTCACATTCAAAGTCCTGTAACGTCGCCAGTTTTCAATAAAAAAATCTGAAAATTGGTATACTTATGGTTTTGACATCGCTGAACTCGAATCTGACATTTTCATTGATGACAGCTGTCAAAATAGCTGTCAAAAATCCCAAAAAACGGTTTTTTATTAAAAATGCCCATTTTATGGTTATTTCATGCGCTGAATCTGAATTTGATGCACTTTAAATTATTTATTTTCATAAAACCGAAATCCAAATCACTCAATAAAATGTACAAATGATTGAACTGTCAAATTTCAAGTTCCAAACATAATTTTACAGGGGCAAATGGGCATTTTTAATAAAAAATCGTTTTTGGGATTTTTGACAGCTATTTTGACAGCTGTCATCAATGAAAATGTCAGATTCGAGTTCAGCGATGTCAAAACCATAAGTATACCAATTTTCAGATTTTTTTATTGAAAACTGGCGACGTTACAGGACTTTGAATGTGAAAAGAGCCTAATCCCATTTTTCATCCGATTTGCGATTTTACCTACTCCCGACACAGGCTATTCTAAAAAAACTATTAATGAAAAAAAAAACGAATTTCAGATTCGGGTTCAGCGGTGTTTGAACTATAAGAAAACCACTCGACAGACTTTTTTCATTGAAAAATCGTGGAGTGGTAAGCCTATAGTGAAAGGCAAAATTTAATCATATTTTAACAATAATTAAATCTTTAACCCTCTTGCGGCACGGGTTAATTAAAAAAAAAAAATCTAAAAAAATTACCAAAAATTTTTTTTTCCCAAACTACAACTTTTTGGGGGGTGCGAGCAAAAAAATTCGCACATCGCCCAAATAACGGACACCCTAATCTACATGGAATATTTTCATTTTACTTTTTTTTGAATACTTAGTTGGTAAGTATTTTTTTTTAAATGTTTCAAAGTTGTTCTATTTTTTTCGTTAAAAACGGTGTTTGGTGAACCGTGGTCCCAAAGGACAAAATCCACCCTTATTTATTTTTTCGCATGTGTCAAATCCGGCCTAATCGAATTAAAACTTTTTAAAAACGTCATTTTTATGCTTTAATAATTTAAGCTTTAATTTTTTCTCTATTAAAGATATTTTAAATTTTAAGATGTCATTTTAAATTTAAAAAATAGTAGTTTTTATAAAAAATATATAATTCACTTAATCAATATTTCTAAATAATTACACGGTATTTTACTATTTTTCGTGATTTTTAAATGCGTCCCATGTCTCGGCTGTTAAATATAAACAGCTAATTGTTTTCATATATAAAGTTTGCATACCAAGGACAAAATAAAACTTACAATTGACCCGTTTGGCATACGGTTTCCAAACAAAAAAATTGCTTGAAAATTTAAAATTCTAGAAAATCGCATTATTTAGGCCATTATATAAGGATGTTGACTTCCAAATAGAATTATGAAATTTACAGGATAATTAGCCCCTACCTTAATGTTCAAATGCCTGGTTAAAAAGAGAAAAATATTGAAATAATAAAAAGTCGCATTATTTTATTCATTATATAAGTATGTTGACTTTAATATGTAATATGACATTAACAGGATATTTGAATCGTCTAATTTCAAAAGCGGCCATCTCCAATTTTTTTTTTTAAATGAGTTATTTACACTAATAAAATCGAAATATTACGTAGTATATTAGTGCAAAATTATATCCCAACAAAAACGGCTATTTGCAAGGAAAATAATTCATTAAAGTTTTATTTACATAGTTTACTTGAACCATTACCATTACCAAATTACGTGAATTGCACATAAGGCGTTCTCGTCATTTATTTAAATAAAATCATACACCTTCGGCTTCGGCCGTAAAACTTACATACCCTGTATAGTACTGGCGGCCGATGCCGAAATTGGATAAAGGAGCATCGATAGATCTTATGTTGTCTGTGAGTCTGTAAATCGCTTTTTTTAGAATTCTGAAGGCTCGAAAACCGATAACGGTGATAGGTCGACATTTTTACCTTTTTTTCGTCCAGGCCAGGAGACCTACTTCTCAACCAAATTTTTTCCGTCCAATTTTGTTCGTTTACCGAAAATCGAAACTTGGGAAAAATTTTCTTTGGGACGGTCATCAAATTTTGTTTCTTGAAAATGTGTCTTATCCGGTAAAGAAAATTGGCGAAACAAAAAACCCGATTTAAGTGTAAAAGAATGCAGTTCAACTAAAAGATAATCATCATAGAATTTAAACAAAATGGCTGCCAATTTTTTGTTTAATTAAAAATAAATTTCAGTTAAAATTCGTTTAATTTAAATGTTTTAAAGTTTTTATACCGATATATTTAAAAATATATCGATCGTTGCCATCCCTAGTCATACCGCTATTATAATTATTAGCCTCCTCAAAGCCCCATCTTAGCCCTCTAGACTATACCCGTGGTTACGGCCCTGCCTTCCCTGCTCACGCTATTTGGCGTAGCAATATAATATTATGCCTTTTGGCCGATAGTTACTCCTCCTTTTCGACAGTCTCCTTGACCTAACAATAATAATGCATACTTTATAACTATGTAAAGTATACTGTATAATGTTATCAGGTAGGCAGGAAGGTTTCTGCGAAGCCTCGCTGACGGTCCAGCGGCTCGCCAACGTGGTGGCCGAATTCGACGTTTGCCTGGCGCAGGCGCGCGCCGACCGCGTCGAGCAGAGCATCAACAGGTCGCTGCGCGCGCACCAAGACGAAGCGTTCCAGGAGAGTTTGAGAGCCGACCAGGAAAAAGAGCGCAAAAGGGAAGAACTGCGCAGAAGAGAGGAGGACGAGCGCAGGCGAGCGGAAGAGGTCAGCATCTCGATTTCGATCTTGTCTTTTACAGGGCTCCCACACCTCCTAAAATTCTCCTAAAATTGTCATTAATCTCCTAAAACTCCTAAAAATTAAATATAAGTAGGCCAACTTCACTGCGTTTAATTAAGGTAGTTTTGCTAAGAAATTTCTTTTTTAAAAAGTAATTTAAAAAATATATATTTTTGGGTTCTAGTTAATTAAATTCTTTTTAAAATGATAAAGGTATCACAACCTACATTTTTCTTAAAAAACAACAAAATATACCATAAAACAACATCCATGTAGTAGCTTCTAGACTTCTACAAAATTGTCATTTTTAGCCATATTTCGTTAATTTTCGACAAAAATATACCGTGTTATATATCAAACAAAAGGATTTTTAATTTTCTTTCAAATGATAGCTAAAATAGTAAACAATCTAAAGAATGTTGTAACAATAACATTACAATTATTGTTAGTTATTAACTAAACTGTTAATTTTTTTTTTAATATAAATATAACATTAAACTTTGGCCTACTTTTTTAGCCATATCTATCGACGCTTTTTTTTAAATAAAATTAAAAGTGTGGTGAAATTTCTACTTGTAGATATATACAAAAGTAGTAATTTTACCTCACTTTTCATTTTATTAAAAAAAAACTCGTCAAGCGATTTGGCTAAAAAACAATATAACCTATTTGTACAAAAAAGTGATATTTATTTATATTTTTGTTAAAAAGAATTACTTATTTTTTTCTTATTTTTTAAGTATAGTGTAGAGTTGTTTTGCATACTTTTTTCTCCTAAAATTCTCCAAAAAACCTCCTAAATTCCTAAATAAAATTTGTAATTTAACCGTGGGAGCCCTGCTTTTGTTGTTTTATATATTGGACTCGTGTTTTTTTTCGTAGGAGGAACAGGCCGAGCACCAAAGGCGCCTGAGCATTCGTAAAGAAAAAATCGAGTCCATCACCAGAGTTCCTGACGAACCGGATTCTACGAACCCGGACGCTGTTCATGTGGTCTTCAAACTGCCGTGCGGCAGTCGCTTGGACCGCCGCTTCTTAAAGTCGCACTCCCTAGAGGTAAGTTCAAAACCTCACATATCCATTTTTAGGGTCTAGTGGTCGGTAAAGGGTTTTTTGGAAAATTTTAAAATTCTCACACCAAACTTGTTCCAGTCCAGACGTTTACACATTTTTCCATTTTTATCAAAAACTTAAATAGTATTTGATAAAAAACTAACTTTTATAAATTTATTCAAAAAAATTAAATGTTTAGTTATCATCCAATGTTTTATAGCACTCACAAATAAATTTTGTCAATACTGTCGGTGGAGTCTGTTTTGCAAAAATGAGTCCATTTAAAATATTAAATTACAAAACAATGAAATATTTATAAAGTTAAATTACAAAATTATATTTTATAAATCAAAGTGTCAAATATATCTAAAGTTTGTAAGTTAATACAGCACCGAATATGTTTTTTTTGCGGCCCGGTAGAATATTCTTACTGCATTAAAATAAAAGGAATAATTATTACAATCATAATATTATGAATAATCAGCTTTGGAAATTCACTTTTTTCTCGATATCAGTGTACGAAAATCATCTGTAAAAATTAATAATAAAATGAAAAAAATGCGTCAATTTTTCAGAAAATTTACTAATTTTTTCGTTCTTTTTCGGTCGGCTCAATTTTTAAACCCTAGTCAAACCCAAATTTATTTATTTACCTTAGGAAGATTATAACTACATTTTAGTTTGTTGAAAATCAATTTAAAAATGTTAAAACACGTTTCTTCAATAGTTATTTAAAGAAGCATAATCAATAGTCAAAAATTATTTAATTACGTCTAAAAACATAATTTAGAATGTCAGCCTCTCGCCGGACTATGTGGGATAATATTGGTTTTTAGATAAATGATCCAATATTTTTTTTACAATTCTAAAATCAACAGTTGGTTTAAGAAAACGTAAAATTTGAATTAATAAATTCACTCTTAGTAACAAGTAGTCGATTTACGAAAAAAGTTTTTTCGTAAAATTATTATAAAAATAAGGATTTTTTTCAGATAATTAGCGTACCTTTTTTTCCTCTGTAAAACGAATTTAATGCTCAACTGTGGTAGCTAATAAAAAAACATACTCACCAAATTTCAATAAAAAATTGATATCGATATAAGAAAATTAATATTATTTTAACGTTTTTTATTGATTCTTAAATTATTAAAGGTTCCTTTTCCAACCCAAATGCTCAGTAGGATCAAGCCTAATAATATTAGGTTTTTTCGTTAAAATCCTTCAAAATTTCGCCGTTGAAATACATAAAGGCCCGAAAATTCATTCAAGGGGGGTTTTGGGTTTTAATATTAAGCAACAATATACAGGGTGTATCAGGGTCGATGGTAGGTTTGACGTTTATGGAGAACGGCAAAAGATATCGAATTATATTTTTATAATAAAATTTAAACTATTTTACTAAATTATTTTGAACAAAATTACTCTTGCGGTTTTAACGGAAGCGATATCAACTTTGTTATTTTAAATAGATCACCACAATTATTTTCCATTTTTAAATTCTTATCATTATTCCTTATAAAATATCATATCCTATACCTAAACTTAATAGTTTTTGAGTTATTAATATTTTATGACTATTTAGTTTTTGATGTAAGAAAATTAATACTATTTTAACGTTTTTTATTGATTCTCAAAATATTAAAGGTTTTTTTTATCACCCAAATAATCTAAAACCTAATATTATTAGGTTTAAAATATTATTGTGATCGTCATTGTTAAATAATGTAGCCGAAACTACGTGTTTTTTAAAATTTTGTTTTTTCGTCAAAACCTCCTACATTCGCCGTTGAAATACATAAATAAAATTTATTCAAGGGGGGATTGGGTTTTAATATTAAGAAACAATATATGTATATGGGGCATTCCATACCAAATCGACCCCTTTCAATTTGGCTGAAACTTTTTTATCAGTTTCTACAAAAACATTTTCCAGAATTTTTTTACCCAACCGAAAAAAAGTTTTTCAAAAAAACTGGCTTTTTATTTTTTAAATATCTATAACTTTTTTTAAATTAAATGGGGACGTTTTTTTAATATTTGTTTTTAATGTATTTTTTAGAAAATTATAGAAAACAATTATTCAGACCGATCCTCAACGTTTTTTTTTTTAAAAACGAAAAATTCTCGATGATTAAAAAAAAATCTTTTTTACTAGAATCTTAGAAAAATTCTGCAATTATTCTGAAGCCGATAATTAAAAGAAATAATATAAAACGAAAAAAAGCCGAACATTTCAGAGAATTTGCAGAAAATATCAATGTTTTTAAAAGCCCGTTTGTCCAAAAATTAACCAAATAACAATTTTTTTTTTGTAATTTTTTTGTTTTTAAATGTACTTTTCAAAAAAATATAGAAAACAATTATTCTTAAACTTGCTCTTTATATCCTCAAAAATCCCCAAAGTGGTATAATGAAAAATAAGCTGAGTTAAAAAAAAAGTAAAAAAAAAGAAAACGAAGGTTTTCAGAGAATTTGCAGAAAAGGTTTCAAATAAAAAAGAATGAAAATCGAGAAATAAATTTAAAAAAAAAACGTTAAAATCGAGAAATAAATTTAAAAAAACGTTAAAGATCGGCCTGAATAATTGTTTTCTATATTTTTCTAAAAAGTACTTTTAAAAACAAAAATAAAAAAACAATTGGCGGATTTATGCAGCACAAATTAACATTAAGATTAACTTTAACATTAAGATTAAGATTAATTTAACATTAATAGGAGGGTATTTATGCAGCAAAATTAGTAGGAAATTAAGCATGCGTATAAGTTAAAGTAATTTTGACATCTGACATTTTTGGTTTGTTTAAATTTTGTTTTAATCCCGTTTTAGCATCTGGTAAGTAAAATAAATGAAAACTATAAACTCCACGTCAAACAATAAACCAAAGAACACAATCATTGAATAAAAAATCAATCATTCAGCATTAAGTTTCATTTTATTTTCGGCTATGTTGGCATTACTGACACGGTTTATTTAAAAATTGCGCCGCTAACCTGCGCAGGAGGAATAAAAATTAACATTATCATTAAGAAAATAAAAGTTGGCCATCTCTTAATGTTAACTTAATGCTAAAGTTAATGTTAATGTGTTGCATAAAAGCTTCCAATGGATTACGTTCATTTAACTTCTTAATGTTAATGTTAATCTTAATCTTAATGTTACCTTAATGTTAATGTGTGCTGCATAAATCCAGCAAATATTTGAAGAATATTGATTTGAAAATGTACTTTTTTTCGGTTGGGTGAAAAAATTTGAACAAATTCTGAATAATGTTTTTGATAGGGTAGAAAAGGATAAAAAAGCTTCAACAAAATCAACAGGGGTCAGGGTCAGGGTTGGGTCAGTAGAAAACCTTAGGTAATTTACCTTGGTAGAAAAGGGTAGAAAACTTGTTTTCGACTTGCGTCGAAAACCTATAGGGTTTTCTACCTACGTAAATTACCTTATTCGACCTTCTCCTTCCACTTCTCTATAATTGATAAAAATTTGCCCTCATGCCAAAAATTATGTTGGGGTCTCCCAACCAAACGTGGCCCTTTTTTCCCACCATAATAATGTTAAAAAACTCCAAATAACTTCAAATTTATGGTAGGTGTCTGATTTTTCACAACATTTAACAAATCATAATAAACAACAAACTTGCATAACCTCACATTTTTTGATATTTGACAGTATTCTACTTTTTTACGTTTTCTACCGTCGAAAACGTCGAAAAAGGTTTTCTACATGTCGAAAACAAAAATGTAGGTAGATACCCAACCCTGGTCAGGGTGAAAAGTACTCGATTTGGTATGGAATGCCCCATATACCTACTTGGACATAACCTAAAAATACATTTTTTTTGTCACAGCACGTTTTCTACTTTGTATTCTCCCACCCGAAGGCGCCGGATTCGTTCGAAATCACCACCAACTTTCCGAAAAGGGTTCTGCCTTGCAACCCGGAAGGAGCGTCTAACTTCATGACGCTCGAAGAGGCGGGGCTGAAAAACAGGGAAGTCCTTTTCGTACACGATCTCGACGCTTAAAAAATAGACTTTACTATACGAGCTGGTGCAGTCACTTCGGCTTTTTCGGTTCGTAGATCGGCAGATTTAACTGGCCTTCTATAAAAAACAGGTATAAAATTTCCTGTATTTATATAAACCATAAATTAGCGTTAACTCAAAAATTGCAGTTTTTTTCGGGTATATCATTCGGTTTTATTCTTTAAAAAGTTTCTTAAATTAAGTTCTTAGTTCTTAGATGTTTAACAGTGAGATATCCTTTAAGTGGTCCATCTATATGTGCATTTCTAAATATTTCCACAAAAACTTTTTATGCACAAAGGTGAGTTTGGATTTTTGGCAACACAGCCAGATGTTAACTAACCTTTTGCATACAGCCACTACTTAATATTAGTGTTTATTTAAATTAGTGCCAATCATTACCGTTATGTTTGTTTTATTTAATTATTGAGGTACAGTTGCGGACTTAAGAATTGCGACGGAACTGTCGTAGACAAAAGTATTTTGTTTTTGCCTGTATAATTTATGTATGGATGTAAAAAACAAAACACAAAAATATAATAACACTTTCTTTTAAACATAATTAATATGTAGCTGTTCATTGGATATGGTAGAGTTCGATGTGATATCACTAACAATTACATGATTGTGATTATTTTATATATATTTAAGCATTTATATATACTGCACGTGAATTCGTCCTCCAAAACACAAAATGGAAAAACACTAAGAAAAAAACTAAGGCGAAATTCATATTTTTAATAAATAAAATGTTTCTCTTTTTCTTATGTATATATGTATAAAATAAACGATTTTTTGTTATATATCGATCGTTTATGTTGGAAAAACCCGCCTTTTTTCCTCGAAAGACGATTTTAAGGTTATGATCTTGTCGGCCATCTTTGATGACACAAACTTACATCGATGTTTTACTATAAATGCGTTTATTTACAATTGGGCCTATAAAACTAAATTTCTTAGCTTTAAACAGAGTTTTCTTTAATTTTTTTCGATTTTTCGTGATTTCTTATGTCAAATTTATCATCCTCCTCGTCTTCAGACTCCGACACATCATTTGAAACCCTCCTGTACATCCTGTTTTTACCCTTGCGCCTAATAAACACACCGACTTAATCGTGAAAATGGCAACACCGCGCATGCTTACCTTCTCTCCAAGCACTTGTACCAGACCACGTAGCAAGCTTGGAAACAAACTATAATAAAAATAACCAGTAAAATAACTATAATCGCGTATAGAATGGAATCTATGGGGAGCCATGTTGTTGGGGGGGTATCGTCGATGACGGGCATAAATGTGGGCCCTTTTGCGTATCTTATGGTACTAAAAATAAATATCGTTAAAAATCGATCGTTTTTGTTGTTTTTTTATCACGTGGTGTCGTTCAAAAGTTCTTTGAAGCCATATTTTAGCTCCCTTTCCATATCTGGACCCAACTGTCTAAAAACTGTTTTCCCCAGCCAGTCAGCAAGGTCCTTTTTGTTCATCTGTCTCAGCCTATGTTCCAGGACTTCATGGGTTTCCCCTTTGCCTTCACCTTTTGCAGAATTCCAATGGTTCAGAAGATCTATGCAAGATGTGCCCAGAGATAGCTTATGTTCTACAAATAAAGCTATATTTTTGCTAATTAGTATTGTTTACAGTAGTACCTGCCTGATCTAGCTCGTTGGGTAAATCAAACGATTTGTAATGTGCATATGCGACCAATTTTCTACATTCCTCTATACTCAAATGATTTGCCAGATATATAAGTTCACTTTCATTTAAATCTATTGTTGTATACACCCCAATTACTAAGAAGAAAATTAAGTATTTTGACATGACTTCTGACATAACATAACCCTAATTAATAAATAAAACGCCACGTAAACGTCAAACTTTATTCTTCAAACAATGCTCCTCATATTTGCATTCAAAGCATAACACTGCTTTATAACTTCCTGAAGTTCAGCCAAATTTTTGCTGGGTTTGAACTTTTCTACTTCCTGGAGTTTTCCCAGATGTTCTTTGAGAATCTTCTTGGCAGTTCGGCGGTTACCAAGCTGCAAATCTTCCAGATCCGCGGATGGGATGTATAAACCTTCTTTGACCAACGAAAGATCTTCGTATAGAGGCCAATCTTCCTCACAGGCTAAGCAAAGGCAGTCAAAAAAGTACTGTTTGCTCAGGTGCTTTTGGCGATCCGATTTCACCATGATGGCATAGTGATACCTACGAAAAAACATCAGAATTTTTTTTTTTAATATTTCAAATCTCACCCGTAATTATCGAAACATTGCTCCCCTTCCCTAATCGTCTCCAAACACCTCAAAACAATCGCACTGCCATAGCAGTTCCTTAAAACATTTGGCGTGCAAGAATGGTTCAACATACTCAAAAAAGAATAAGACCCGCTACCAATTTCAACGGGTGCATAAACACCATCTTCATTTTGAGTTATCTCTGATATTTCGTGAAAATTACACGGTCCCGTTTGAAGATTTATCAGCAATATTTCTTTGAAGGCAGCTTCAGATGCCTCATCAGCACCATCAAAGAAATTTGTCCACTTCCTGATGATGTAGAATAAAATAGATGAAGTGAATGATCTCTCAAACAAATCTGGTGTGCTTCTTTTCTCAGTATTTGCTATTAGAGCATGAATTTCCTTGAAATTTCCTGAAGTATAAACATCTTTTTCATCAGTGGTTATATTCCAGATTTTATTGTAATGTTTTTTGGATATAATAGCTGTTCTGAGAGCTATCAGCTTCAGTTTATCCAGTTTTAGGTCTTGCAGGGTTTTGGATACACAACATTCAATATCATGATAGTTTTTGGATGAAATTTCACATTCATCAGAGCAATATAAAAAGGTACAACATTTAGGGCAAGGTTTGAGATTGTAACACAATTTAAGACAGTTGTGACAATGGTTAAAAAAACAATCCACAAGGATTTTACAGTATGGTTTTTCAATAGCCAAAATCTCTCCCGGGCTAATATCTCTTTTTGCGACGATATGTCTACCCAAATTTGGAGAATATTTTATTTCTATAGCATCTGAAGAACATTCAATCAAAGGGTTTTTATTATCATTCTCTATAGTTGGAATATTGATATGGTATTCCAGATTTTTCTGCGTTGACACCAAGTTTAAAGCTTTTTCTTGCCTTGATTGAAGTTTTTCCATTAAGTGGGCTGGGTATGGGTTACCCAGAGCTCTAGATATGTCATCTAGACACTCTTTGTACAATTTTATCTGGAATAAAACTGCAGATCTATTGGCGTAAGCTATAGCCAATGATTCAGTATTATTTTCAGCATGTGCTATACTTTGGGTGTAATACTCTATGGATTTGTCATTGCATTTTAATTTGAACATTTCGTTGCCTTTAAGGCGATACTTTTCCGATTCAGCGTTACTTTTTCCAGAGTTTGTACCATCTGGATACAATTCAAACTCGTCCAGTAGCCCCAAAACGAAATCGACCCTGCCATGGTTCGTGGAAATTACAGAAAACTCGTCGGACGTCGCCTTAACTCTTCCCCTCTCCGACAGATGGCGCAGCAAATCTTGCTGCCTGTCAACCAAGGAAGGATTTTTATTTGTATTGTACATTTCTGAAAATTACGAATCGATTGCCGCAAACAAGTAAAATGTCTCGATACGTTACTCCTTTCTTGGTGCTCAACTTGGGTTCCGAGATGATTTTCGTCGTCGCTCAAAGACTGCAAGCTCAAAATATCACGCAGGAAAGGGCCGCACTAGGTGAAAATCCACACGCTTAACACGACGCACTGTGGGATGATTTTTTGGCATGTCGCACAATGTGGTAGAATAAGCAAAAAGTGCACCTGGGGTTTTCTTGCTTTATCACTTTTTATACATCTCAAATTTTAAAAAACACCCCCTGTAGTTTTTTGAGTATTGAAACGCACTTGTTAAATGTTTATGTATGCATTATGTAGGGAAATGTTTGTTTTCATTGTAAAATCAATAATAATAAATATTAAACAGTCTAATAATAGAATACAGTTTTAGAAGAAATAATATCTGCATTGGTCTCAAAACAGCTTATCACAGAGTTGATTAAACCTCAATCAGCTTACAATCATGAGAATATTCGTGATATTATCGAGGATATCACGCAATCTTCTGTGATGAGGCTAGATTCTGTGTCTATGAGTAAGTTATGGGATTTAATAAGTATGGTTTTCAAATGGCAGGTTACTATGTCGGAAGATTTGATAGCTTTAACTCAAAGGCATTTATATGAGATTGAAAACTATGTAACAAATACAGAGATACATTTGCAACTTCAAAAAGTGCAGACTATTGTAGATAACTTCAATAAAATCCTGGATAAAAAGGAAAAAATGGATCTACTCGATAGTACCGCTTTTTGGCTTAAAGATTACAACGTTAGAGTGTCTCTATTGATACGTATGGGGCTACAAGGGATGGACGGGAATTTTATTATAAACAACTTGGACCCCATAGCGGAAGAAATGCTTAGGAATTTAGGGGAGAATATTTACATGGTCACCAATAATGGCAGAATATTGGAAAATAGGCCTCAAACAAGAAAAAACTCCGAAGTCAACGAACTGCAACTTTTTGTGGATGAGATGATGGGATCCAGAAAACTAAGCACAGGTACACGTATACGCATGACGTCACCTTGTGATCACGATCTCTTAACCCCTTTCCCTTCATTCTTTCATAACTTTTATTTTTTTAAGAAGGCGTACAATTTAACTTCTCAAAAAGCACATTATTATACCTATAAACACATGTTGGGTGACAAAATTGCTTTAATCCTTTTAGGTAGTAATGATGGTACTTTTTTGAAACTCACTATAAACGACGAAAATATAACGAATAACAATGCTCAAGTGGACTCAAATTTCGACAATATTAACGTCAAAGTTAACGAAAATAATTTACACAGCCTTATTAACGAATTAAATGTTTGCGATGATGCGGAAGAAAAAAGTTTTCAGGAAGATCTTTTGGAAATGATTGGTCAAAACACTGAAGATTAGTTTTTAATCACTTTTTAATACTCTAGTCATTTTAATTTTATTTAATAAACAAAGTTAAGTTTTTTTTAGTGTTTTATTAAAAATTTCGTTTGTAAAATGGTAAAAAATATATACATAGCCGCCTATATTCTAAAACTATATCTACATTCAAAAATGTAATTCACATAAATAATATAATTATCTTTTACTATAACTATAATCACTCACATCATATTTCTTATTGCAATCGTTAAGAACTTTCAGTTCCTCTGAGCTACCATACATTTTATATTTTTCTTTCGATTTTTTCACTTTATCGAAAACGTCGTTTTTATCACTATATTTCTTCTGGTTCTTCCTATTCTCGTTCGTTTTCATTTTTTTGTTTTTCATTTTTTCTTTCTCCTCAGTCTTAGCTTCCATCTCATACGAATTTATGTCGTGCGAATTCGTCTGCACTGCCACGTCATTTGACGTTTTGGACTGTCTACTGCCACTAAAAAAAAGTAATTTGACACTTTAAAAGTATTTCTTGACATATTAAACGTTTAGATGTAAAAAAAACGGTTTTTTTTCAAATCCGCTACAATAAAGCATATTCTGTCAATAAATAACATCAATCTTAGAAAATGGAGTAATTTTTCAAAATGAAATTTTGAGTAAAATGTATATTAATAATAAAGTGAAATGTAGAATACAGTGTGACCCATTTGTTTGCGACTCACCCCTGTAAAATCTTTATTTATTGTGCGATTTTAACCGAATTTGTTTTAAGACGCCATAATAGTACAAAATACAAGGCCTACCATGTCAGTTTTTAAGAGTAAATTTTTAAGAATTCATATTAGCGATTTTTTTAAACAAAATCCAAGCACGGCACTGGATTCACCACCCCTCAAAATGACCCTATATTAAATTTTATTGAAAAATTTTAAGAAAAAAAATGTACAATAATAACCACAAAAATTTATTTTGTCAAGTTCTCCATGAAAAAACATTGAAATAAAATTGAACTTATAGTAATAGTACCATGTTACTATTAGTTTAATTTTATTTCAATGTTTTTTCATGGATAACCTGACAAAATAAATTTTCGTAGTTATTATTGTGCATTTTTTTCAATAAAATTTAGTATAGGGTCGTTTTGAGGGGTGGTGAATCCAGTGCCGTGCTTAGATTTTGTTTAAAAAAATCGCTAATAAGAATTCTTAAAAATTTACTCTTAAAACCTAAATATGGCGTGTTTTGCTTCAAAAATAAAGTTTATCAAGATCTACACTTTAAAACAAATCCTGTTAAAATCGCACAATAAATAAAGATTTTACAGGGGTGAGTCGCAAACAAATGGGTCACACTGTATATTACATTTTTCATTATTGAAAATTTTGACCGAGACTAAAAAATCTGATTTCTTATTATTTGGTAGTTTCCACATAAGAAACCAAGCAATGTAAAACTTCTACACTAATAGAAAAAATTAAAGGATAAAAAAATTCCAAATTTTTTGCGGTTTTTCGGATAGCTGTATCTTCGTTAAAAATGGTCGTATTGGAGCCGTAAAAAAAAACAATTTGAAGCTTGAAGTGTCTAGTTTTGATATTTTTAGATGAAAAACGCTCAATCCTAACGGATACCGTAATAAAAATCAAAATTTTTTTGGGTTTCTTTTTTGGTCCACGGAATGTACTGACTTAACCACCAATGAATAAATTTCCTATTGTTTTTTTGAAAAAAAAAATTATACTCTACATATGTATTTGTAAAATCATGAAAAAATTGCTTTTGGTAGTTTTTTGAAAAATCAAGTGCTAAATCAAAAATATTATAGGTAGTTACTTTTTTTAGGACCAAATCAAAACAAGCGCGGCCCTTATTGGTCACTTCGGTGGTGGTGGCGCGTGCAAAGCGCGAGACTCTATTTACATTTACTAAATGTCATTTAGTGGCTAATTTTTGTCCATGAACTGGACTGGAAATAAAAAAATAGGCAACTGGGACTAATCTTGAAAAAAACCATTTGAAAAAAAAACAAAGTCGCACCTAGGGTTGGGAAAATTGCACTTTTTGCTTGTACTTGAAATTTCACTTGAAATTTTCATGACATTTATGAAATTTATTAAAATTTCCTAAATTTCTGAAATTTCATGAAATTTATTGAAACTTTCAATAAATTTTAATCACTTTAAGTGTAATATATTAATATTGAAATATGGCCACTCGGGAACCATGGCAAATTGCCTCTCTTACCTCCTCCCCCTCTGTGGGCCCCGCACCAATAATATAAATAGTAAATACCTATGTTTACCACAAATTTCTTGAGATTTCCTTTTAAAATATTTTTAAAATTACTAAAACTAAAAGAGATATAGCACTTTTTGGTAAGCTAATGAGATTGTGCCACTTTCATTGTTTTATATTTATAAATATTTATTATTTTTAAATATTTTACTGAAATTTTACGAAAATTGAAGAAACTTCATCAAAATTTTATGAGCCAAAGGCATTTTTTATCCGTTTTCCGATGCAATTATAGCAAAAGTAAAAGTTTAAATTAATCATGACTTTTAAAAAAAAATTAAAGTCTGATTTAATTTACAAATTAAATTGGTAACTGAATTAAATTATTTAAATTAATTTATGCATATAAGTAACAATAATTACTTATAGAGCATTCAAATCCAAGCCGAACTAAACAAAAACGCCCAGACGCTTGATAACTCGTTCTTATTGGTCGATTCGGAATCTGTTGTAAATTATTATTAAAGATCCCAGGGTAGGCCGCATGTGAAATTTATGCGAAATTTTCAGTAAATTGCGAAACTTTTAATGAAATTTCTGAAAGTTTCACAGGCAATGTTGAAATTTTCGGATTGAAAATTTCATTTGAAATTTTCAAAAATTTCACTTTTCCAACTAAATGAAATATTTCCAGTTTGAAACTTTCAAAGTTGAAATTTTCATTTGAAAATTTCAACTGTCGCATCTCTTGGCATTCCTAACCTAAAACTATGACATTTCATCTGTCAAACTTACCGATTTCTTTCGTGGCCGACGCTGATGCCGGAGTTGAGCGAGCTCTGCACGAGCTGCTTGATTTCCGCGCACGAGCTGCTGTCGCTCTTGTTGCCCGCCTTCGCGTCGTCCTCGGAATCCGAGTTGGAACTGTACCGCTTCCTGGAGCGCTTCGAGCGCCTGGATTTCTTGCTCGAATGCGAGTCGCGCCCGGACTTCGAGTAGCGCTTCTCCTGGCCGGCGTCCTTGTAGTCCGTTTCTTCCTCCGACGTCGAGTGGATTTCCTCGATGTGGACGCCGGACTTTTTGCACAGCGAGTTCATCATCAGTTGGTCGTTTAGGTCGAGCGTGGGCGCGTTGTGGTATTTCATGCTTATGCGGCTTTCCGAGATCGTTACCGAGACGTTTTCGTCCTCTGATAAGTTTCTGTCGCGGTTGAATATCGTCCCGTTCACTAAGTTGTTGATTTGTTGGCTATCCAAACCTTAAAGGGACCAAACATGTGTTTTACAATAACATATAATATTTATAAAATACTTGTATCAAAAAATCACATCAAAAAAATAACATATTTCATGAATAAATTTTCCAAAGCAGCAAAGATGCCGGTACCGGAAATTTCACATTTAAAAAAAACAATTTTATTTAAATAACATTAAATTCTAAATCATAGAGACTAAAAAACTAATAAAGGGGGAAGTTATTCTACATGGCAACTGGGGTGAACAAGATGTTTTATTTTTCGTTTAAATATGTTTATAGTAGTGCTATTTTTTATTGGGTCAGGTAACTTATTGTAGGTTTTTATGCAATTTATTATGGGGTTATTTAGGGCTACGTTTGTTCTTGTATTTATTATTGTAAAATTTTCATTACTTCTCGTATTGTGATCATGAATAGTATTAAATAATTTTAAATCTGTATTGCATTTGTGTCCATTATTAATTATCTTATATATGAATTTACCTTGTTCAATTTTTAGGATCTGTAAAATTTTTAAGAGGCCTGTTTTTTGATAGACCATTTCAGTTGGAGTTCTGTTATTGATATTAAATAGTACTTTGATTATTTTATTTTGCAGCCTTTGAGATTTATTTAGTAGTGTGACCCTACATGTCCTCCAAATTGGGATTAGATATCTAATTACCGACAGAAAGTACGCGTAATAGACCCAGTGTAGTGATGAATGGTTTAGATAGCTTTGACATCTATATAAAGCAGACATAGCTTTTTTTCAATATTATCAATATGGTTTACCCAGCTTAATTTGTCATCGATTATTAAACCCAGATATTTTGTTGAATTTACTTTTGTTATTTCATTATCACCTATTTTCAAGTTTATTTCTACATAAATTCTATATTTGATCTTTTTGCAGTGCGTCTATGTTACGTCTACGTCCAACTATAAATCCAGCTTTAAGCTGGATTTATATTGGGAAAAATATTTCGATTCGTTTTTAGCTCTTTAAACTCAAAAACCCAGGAGTTTTTTCGAGAAAACGACTAAATTAAAGGTTAATTTCATTTTAACCTTGAATAACTTTTAACCAAGTTAACTTACCAAAAAATGACTCTGGACCTTTTTTGTACAGCGTTCAATTCTCTACAAAAATATTTTAAATAAGTCGGGTAGACTCGCCAAAAAATTTCGTATAATTTGAACTTTGACCTTAAATTTCTTTAGAAGGATCAAATTTATCAAAAAATCATAAGAAACCTTTTTTGTAGAGCGTTCAACTCTCTACAAAATATGTCAAGAACTTTACAGTACGACCTATCGTTCGTTAGTTACAAAATTAAAAAGAAACAAAAATAATTTTTCTTGTTATTCTTATGGAAAATCGATAAGTGCGATGCGGAGCATCTTAATTTTGACATTAGGAGCTCATTCTTTCACAGGCTCATTTTTATATCTATACGAAACTTTTAAAAACAAAAAAAAAGATTTTTTTGAATCACCCTAATGTATAGTTCCATTAAAGTTAGCCTTTATAGGGCCTTTAGTTCATTAAAGGCACGTTTATAAAGGAGCATTATAGAACCTTTACGGTTTGCAAGTTTGAAACCCTAAAGAATTGTAAAAAAAAATTAAAAATCTCCCTGTACATTGTGGATTATAAATGAAACACCCATTATGGGTGACCCATATAAAATCTTCATTTGAAAATCCAACGAAATTGAAGAAAAAATATTTTAAGTTTTTATTTCAAAGATATACCAGATTTTCCATTAAAAAAAACGATGTGAATTTCTATTTTTTAATTTATCCAATGATTTATATTTTTGTCAAAAAATTACTTATATAAGAGTGTCCCATTGATATGAAACCACCCTGTACATATACTTAAAACATTTTTAAACAATGACTTCTTAGAGTTAAACTCCATGTGTTATTCTAGGGTACTTACCAGCATTAGCTTGTCTTCTATTCAAATTGGGGCCAAAACTTCTGGTATCACACCCAGTGATAGCATTCAAAAAATGCAAATGAGAGTCCAAACTGGTGCTGGACTCCCTTTTTTGACCATGCTTTCTCATGTTGGTCGTTCTGGAGTTACTTCTGAAATTGTGTCTGTTTCTATGCCTTCTACCATTTACCTACACGTACATAAAAACAATGAAAAATATCTTGATGAGGATGCGAATGTTCTCACCTTTCGTCTAGCTTTCAACTCCGCAATTTGCACCGACACTTGGCTATCCCCCGAGTTCCTTCTGCTTTCTATGCTGACGTGCCTCACACTCAGACTGACCTCGGAATCGATGCTTTGATTATTGCTCGACACGGAATAGTTAACCTCATTCGGCACGGCTCCCCTTCTGTTAACCAATCGCGGCAAATTAGCCGCCCACGTGGTGCTCAACTCGTTCGTGCTCGCCGCACTGTTAAACTCGAAATGCAGTCCCACGGGGTCGGTGTGGTTGTGGCACAAAATCGAGATTTTACCGCCTTCGTTGAATATTTTACGCTTCGCGAAGGCCTGCGCTATAATCTTGTGCTTCTGCAGCTTGATGTGCTCCTCTTGCTCGCAGTTAAACTTTCTGAAATTATAGCTTCTAGAAGATGCTTAATAAAAGAATACGCCTTTGTTTTGCATACCCAAGCAACAATTTTAGTTTTTGTTACCTATATGGGACTATTGGAGAAACTTTAAAGTTTTTGCGACAGTCGCCGGTCTCTTTATATTACTCTTTCATTACTAAGTTACGACTAAAGTGGGGAACAATTATTCAGTTCCAAAAACACATCAAACGGAAAAATATAGAACTGTATAGGATGACTCCGCGTTTGAATACTAAATCTTAAAGTTTTATCAGAACTGTATTGAATCGTGCTTTGTTTTTATATTTTTCGGCCTGACTATATTTAAAGTCAAACTCAATGGTCTCTTACAAGATACATTATTTTGATTTTCTATATTCAACAGAGAGGTAGAAACTCGACCCTGTCGAATGGTGCAGTCATTTATGTCTCTAGAAATTATTGAAAAAGGGTTCAGTCCAATGGTGCAGCAACTTCGGATTTCTATTCTCTTCAGAGACATATAAACTCAAGCTTTTCGAATTTTACTGGCAATGATTTTCGTTAATGTCCCCGAGAATTATACAAAAACAGCGCAATGCAATATCGCAACGGTTTCGACTTCTCTTTACTCTACCAAGTTATAGAAACTGGAGTCTCTCTAATACTGTTCTAGTCAATATTTCTGAGAGTATAAAAAGAGGGTGTAATATTGCAAGAAGTTTTGATCTTTTGACGAATGCAAGTAGTTTGAATTTTCTCATTTCTGCATATGATTTTGTTGAAAATAGTTCCTTTCTTTGGTTCCTTTGTCTGATTTTTATTTACCGTAACAACTCGGGTATGTAAAGCACAGAGGATATGATGTAAAGTATATTTATGTATTTTATAAAGTACCTATATTTGTATTAAAAATTTCAGAGGTTATGTTGAAAAATGATTGATATGCTATTAAACTTTAATAATGTAGTAATGAGGTCTGTTGGTAGACCCTGCACTATCTCCACTGGTATATGTTAGTACAGCAATATTTAAATCTGGTTGATGAAAAAATACACACCAGTGCAGGATATTGTAGCATCTACGAACAAATGAATTAATGGCCCATTGGCAATTATTCCTTTAGTAAAAATATTCAACACAGCTTAATAAATAATAAAATTAAAAAATCACAATCATGTCGTACCTATATAGTTTTTTTGAAGCATAAAATAGTTTTCATATTAATACTAGTTCAAAAGTGAAATTACGACCTCTATACTGTGGAGAGTATTGAAACGCTCGACTGACGAATACAACTCTATACCCTGGCGAGATTTAGAAAACTGTTTTCAAACGTGGCGTCATCCAATACACTTCTATATTTTTCCGTTTGCTGTGAAGGTAACAAATATGTCACTAGCTATTTTATAAACCCTGCTACTATTTGGAACGTAGCTGCTACGTTACTAGAACGTTTCAATATCGTTGCTCGAGCGTTATAATTACTTTTATTTATTTGTTTTTACTTTTATATTAACTGTCTTTGTCAAACTTAGATTATACTATTCCTCCTTTTTTTAATGGAACCACTACGGACTTGTCTTTTCAATGTCGTCGTTTATTAACTATGTACTGGTAGTTTATAACTTCCAGAATAACAATATAATGTTTAATTGGGCAGGTCAATTTATAAACCCTTTAAATTTTACTGTTGAACTTATGAATATAGTTTTTGTAAAATATATGTATGCGCTTTATCAATATTTAAGTATAAACAAATTATTTATTTAATAATGTTTAAAAATAAAAAAATCCTAATATTTATTATTAATTTTTTATTTAATTATTAATACCGTATATTACCAACAAAATTACTATTTATTAAAAAGTAAACAACCATTTACAAACAATTAAAATAATTTATTATTTACATTACCACGTGGTACTGTACAGTAAAAAATGGCCGATAAGAAGCATTTTCCTTTGAAGTAGTTTTCGCTACTTTAAAGTTTTTTTCCACCTTAATTTACTTTACGGTAGTTTTGGTTAGTATCATAAACGTTCCAAATACTAAAATAATAAGTTTTAAGTTATTAACTTTGTAGTTTTTAACTCATGTTCCAGTTTCGAGATTTTAACTTGCAAAGGGACTACAGAGTAAAAATAATTATAATGTAATCTTTAGATAGCAACACCTTTTTTAAAGTTGCAAAGTCTTCTTGGGGGCAACCAAGTTTTACTTAAATGTTTATTACTTTATAGTAACCATTTAAGGAAAGAATTAAGTTTATGTTACAAAATATTGCTATTTAAAAGTTAAAATTACTTTTAAGTTAAAATTAAAGTAGCTGTTTAGTATAATTAACTAATTTAAAGTTATCACCACTTTGGTAATGGTTTTTTGAACCAAAAATGCTGCTTGGGTAGTAATAAAACTGTACTTACTTTCGTATGTAACGGCCCCATGAGTGTAACGTAGCGTCGCACCATACCCAGGAAGCCATGGCTATACCCGACCCGAATACCGCTAGAAGTTGCAATTGCAACATTGCAACGCTAGGGCGAGATTCTTGCTTGCAATGCGAGTGGTCCGTACTTAAACTTGTCAGCTTACACCTAAAATTACTTAATATAGCCAAACCAAAAATAAAATCGCCCCCAGAATTTCCAGAAGTCGTTTATTATATCGATGACTTTTTGCCAAAGTATCGCAAGTAACATAACCCAAATTTCGGAAATTGAAAACATTTTGCTTGTCTGTTTTAAATTAAATATAGCCTAAAGGTTTTATAATAAGTAATTACTTAGCTTATAATTTTAGCTATTTACTTGTTATAAAACCTGTAGGTTATATTTGGTTTAAAACAGACTTTAAAACAAAATTCCCAAAATTTGAGTTATGTTGCTTGCGATACTTTGGCAGGAAGTCATCGATATATATATAAATTATATATAATATAATACAACTCCTAAAATCAATCCCACCTTGAGGTACTCACATAATAAAGGTATTTAGGCTCGAAGTCCACGTTCCCGAGTTTACAGAGATGTAATGATGGTAACCAAAAGTTATAAGACAAAATATTACCATAAAAACAGTAAAAACACCCATTCTAACAATATTAGAACGTATTTTACGACTGGAATGTTCCGATATTATTTCTCTACTCGCCATTTTTACTTTCACCAAAAGTATTAAACCTAAAATTACAAATTTGTATTTGTTTTTTTGTGGACAATTCAATGTATAGGTACAAATCCAAAATAAAATATATGTACACTGCGCGTCAAAATTAACGCATAACAAGTAAAAAATATTTACGTGTTCAAGGGTTTTTCGAAGCGCTGTATCTTTGTTACTGTCCGTTTGATTTGTACACATTTTTTATGGTATACTAACTAAAATACAGTCTTTAACACCATATTTTTAATTTACTTAAAAAAATTCTCTTAAAGTTATTTTTAAAACGTTATTTTATTATTTTATTAAAGGCCTTTAAAAATATTTTTTTGAAAAACCCTCGAACACGTAAACTGAGATATAATTTGAAGTATTTTTATACAAAATTTCATAAAGATTGATAAAGGCGTTTTAGAGTTTTTTACTTATTACGCGTTAATTTTGACGGGCAGTGTATGATAATAATACGTAAAAGTAAGATTCTCCTCATCGCAATTTTAATTTTTTTTATAACTCTAACAAATGAATAAATATAAAGCTAAGCCCAATACACATTTTGATAGGGAATTGATTTTTTTAAGCTCTACAAAAAGGTATCCAATGTTTTTTTCGTAAACCTAGCCTTTCAATAGATATTTTAGTTCAAAGTTTCAAAAGTTTTCAAAAAAAAACTTCAAAACTTTATAATGCAAATAGACTGATCTACAAAAAAGGTTTTTTTTGTAAATGTAAGCATTTCAAATTATAATCGCAACCAAATTATTTTTTTTAATAGCTACCAACCGTGAAAAATAATAATTTTACTTTTCGATTCTTTAATCATCTTTATTAAATGTAATGCTTGTTCTTTTTAATTAAAATAAGCTTTAAACTAACATTTTTTTCTGAAATTTTATTTTAATTTTTTTTTAAGTATTCCGTAATTGGGAATTGAAGCCTCCTGAATGAAAGACATTTAAAGTTTAAAGTCCATGTCTGACGGTGCAACTTCTCGCGGCGACTTTGTTGCGTCGACTAGGTAACTTTTTTAAGGATTTACGAATTTTCACTAAATTTTTTGGTTTATTTAATATTTATGAGCTGTGGAATGACAGATGTGATTTGCGTGTGCTTTAATCTGAGTGTTTTTATTTATTTATCTGTACCTCATAAATGATCTGGGTTATAAATTAAAAAATAAATATATATTTTTACATCACAAAATACTTATACCTAACTTTAAAAGAAAAACAAAACCGATTTAAATAAACATTAAATTTGTTTAGGTATTTTTATTTTTCAACTAAGTAATTTTCGGTTATGTTGGCAATCCTAGTAGAAAATAACGTCAGTTCGGTTGCACCGTGTGAACACCCTAGAGGCGAGAAAGTCGCTGCAACTAGTCGCCGCAACAAAGTCGCCGCGAGAAATTGCACCGTCAGACATGGACTTTACACATTTTAAGAGCTATATATACATAACCCATACAGGATATACTTTATATTGAACAAAAATTATTACTATTCCAGAAAAATAAAGAAAACTTGTTTGTTGATCAGTTCATTTCCAACAAAAATATCATTTCAAAATCTTAACTATTCTGCGATTTATTGAATAAAAAAAATCAAATCTTTCCATCTTTGTCCGAAATTTCTAAAGTTGTCAAAATGTTAAAAAAATTTAAAATTTCACAATTTTTTAAAGTTCAAATAAAGCTTCAAAGCTTTAAAAAAGCTTAAATGCTCAAAAAAGCCCAAAATGATGAAAATGATATTTATAAATCAAATAAATAAAATTGTTAAGGAAACCTAAACAATGTAACATACATGAATCATCGTTTAAATAAAAACAAAACACGAATTTAATTAAATTGTCCAAAAAAAGTTTCACTTCAGCAATGTGGTAAGCGCACTTGTGTTTATATACATGTACATACCTTTTACTATGATGTATCCAGAAACCAACATGGCGGCTGCTAGGGGCGCCAATAGGAGTCCAGTCCTGGCCGCTCTATTAACAAAACCAACAAAACAAATGCCAGTTACGTAATCACCGTCTATTTCGCCGATTGCCATAGTTGTTATGGTCAAGATTAATGGTAAACTCCACGCCACCAAGTGAAAGTAGGCCCTTTTTTTGTCGACCCTTTCCTGTATCTTACCTTAACAAAAGTATATTTTTATATTGTTGGGTTTTAAACAAATTAGAACAAAAAAACTCGTATCGATTTTTTTTATCACAATTAAGTTAACATTTGGGAACATATTTAAAAAAAAAATTGATCCTGACAACAAAATTAGGTATACTTAAAATGCTATGTTTTGTTGGTATAATGAAAATAATGTAACTTACCTAGAGCTTGTAGGGAACTCATATGCCACGCATATGAAAAAATGACAAACCAAACCAACCCAGCGACGAAAAAATAATAAATCATGAAAAAAATTATAACACAACTCAAATTTTCGCTTGCGCTAGGCTCAGATTTACGCAAGGTCCCATCCTTTTTACACACGATATCCTCCCTGGTGTCATTCCCCAGGAATTGTATCAACCAACCAAAGTAGGAGATGCAAAAACAAGCGTTAACGTAAAAAATCGCCAAGGCCGGGTATTTGTTAGCGGTCTTCCAGCCTATTATAAAAGTCGTGCTTGTAAACAAGTTTAAAATAATGCAGATTAAAACGCAGTATGCTATTAATTTGTGGATTTGATAGTGTTCATTTTCTGTGTACAAGGAATCCTTGCATTTCAAACCACAGCCTTCCACATCTAAAACAAACGAAGTCGTTAATGATAAGAGGAAATCATGGTGGGTACAAGGCGGACCCTTGCGGAACACCTTGATTAATTAGTAATAGTTACCTGGATAGTACCAATCAGGATGATCGGTTTTTGTAAGGGGTTCCATGCAGTACCCTGTAGTGTTGAACTTCAAATCGTGTATGTCGTTTTTGCATTCCCTAGGAAACAAACCTTCGTCTTCGCAGTTCAAAAATTCCGGGAATACCGATGTGTTGTACAATATTTTGCATGGTTCTAGGGTCACCTTGCACATTTCACGTGAAGGTAGGTCCACCATGTTTTTTTCGCATTTTGGCATATAGAGGGCGCATAGGAATGGTTGAATTACGGCCCAGCATTTCGGAATGAACCGTATGTATTGGTAGAACTGGAGTTTTTCTTGGACCTGCAAGATTTTATTTAGTTTGGGTAAAATATGAAACGCTTTTAAACGTTTGGAAGTATCAGGAAAACATGAACTCACAGAGGTTACATTATTTATTTTGTCGCGGTATAAAAATCGAAAATATTTTTTAAACGGGTTTAAGTTATCTCATTTATTTAGCTTTAGGTACAGCTGGATATCAAACGGATTAAAGTTTTAAGTGTGGTTATTAAAATGATTTTATGTGATTGGGTAATGGAAAACTGCCCTTGCATGCATAGATTAAAAAAAAATAGGACACAAAAAATGGTGGGGAAAATCGCACAGTAGGGTAAATTATAAAAAATATGGTACAAATTCGCATACATTAAAAAAAATCTAAAATTTCCAAAGTTCTGCAAAATTTACAACATTTTTAATTTTTTCAAAATTTCCAAAATTTGTAAAATTATTTTTAAAATATTATTTTTCTACTCCCACCTTTAAAAGGCACATGTTTTTATGACACTAAGTGACTGTGGCTTAATGGTGTTTTAGTCATGGGCAACAGGTTTTTAGTCTGAAGTTAGCTGACAGTTGTCAAATGTCATAAAATCGGTAAAATAAAGTGCCATTCTTTGTGAAATAAAACTAAATGTGAAATAGTTATTTGTTTTACAAGTGTTGAAAAGCGACTTTTTCATGCGAGTTTTTAAGTTGCCCACGAGGCCGTTAGGCCACAAAAAGTGACAGTTGTATTTATTGGAAAATAGACGATATAGAAGCAGTTTTTCAAAGTAAAAGTGAAGAAAATGTTCTATGGGTATTTATCAGTTAAATCTAGATTACTGCACAAACGTTCATATAATCTTTTCAAATATTGGCGTCAAAAAACTATTTAATACTTTTGTATTTTTGTATCAGGAAAATAATAGTTACCTATTTGTTTTACAAGTGTTGAAAGCGACTTTTTCATGCGAGTTTTTAAGTTGCCCACGAGGCCGTTAGGCCGAGTGTGCATTAACACGAGCTTGAAGAAAGCTTTTCTCACAAGTAAAACACAATGTTTTTTCTGCGACCCTTTTATTTTTTATTATTTTTAAATACAAAACAAAATAACCTAAAAACTTTTTTGACAGCTGAATGTCAAACGATGCTTTCCGGTTCTTTTCACACAGACCTGTTTTGTACCTTTAACATTTCCTGTACACGTGTACATTTATTAATACTTTGTAATAAAATTTTGCAATTAGAATAATATAAAAATCAAATATTAAAAGATTCTCTTACAATAATTATATTCTTGAAGTTATTTCAATACTTCTGTGGGTAAAAGGCATAAGGGGATAAGTCAAAAAAAGCAATTTTTCAGTAGAGCCTTAAACGTATTCGCATTAATCCAGGAAACATATTTATGGTTAGCGGGTATACCCTTTTTTTAGCCCATGTCATATGCTATCAAAAGCGTATACCCGCTAAACATAAATATATTTCCTGAATTAATGCGAACACGTTAAAGGCTCTATTGAAAAATTGCTTTTTTTAACTTATCCCCTTATGCCTTTTACCCACAGACTTTATCTATTTTGCGTGTATAATGTCTTCATTATAACACCGCTTTCGGTGATGTAATGAGATACTTTATCTCACCCAAAATTTTGATTTTATAGGTTGGTTATACTTTAAACAGCGTACTAATAACATAATATTTTGCATATTGCCAATATGAAATTGGTTATACTTAATATTTTTATGATTTTTCTAGTACTTACGAAACTTTTCTGACAATAAATTTTGTTTACCACCAAAGAAAATCCTTTTTTTCTTCTTTAACAGTAACAGCCGTTTATTGTAAATAAGTAAATTAAGGACGGCATGGCGAATCGATTTTGACATTAACTGTCAAACCAATGACTGTGATACCAACTATCTAAAGTAAAATTCGACCAAATTAAATTTAAGGTATAAAATTAATTTTTGTATTGAATTTTTGCAAAATAGGTAAAATAGCATAAAGAACCTTCGTCGCTCGTTTTATAAATTGTCCGCGTGCGACAAAATGACGTCTTATGACATTAGTTCTTTAATATACCTACTATTAAAGTATCAATAGGTAATTGATAAGTTTAATTGTTAAAGTTAAAAACTGCAATGTTAATGGTGACAATTACGTCAAAAATGTTTATTGGGATGGTTACTTTAATTTAGTATAGATGTCGCTTAATTTTTTTTTAATTTAAATCATTTTTTAGATAATATAATATCGTTTATAAACTTTTCTTTACACTTAGGTATTCTTGACTAAAATGGCGTTTATCAAAACGATAATATACCATTAATGTTTAATACCTAATCATTTTATACCTATATGTAAGTATCCCAGACCGCAAAATCACATTCCCTGCACATGCCAGGAATATTCCCAGGAATATTCCAATCGTCCCAGAATATTCCCAGGAATATTCCTGGCATAATCAAATGTCCGCTTTTTGATTAACCCAGGCATCATAAAAAGAATATTCCATATATCTGCCTGCAGAAGACTCAAGGATTATTAGGGGAATATTCCTTGATATAATTTGGGGATTATATTCCCAGCCCATATTGCCTCTTATACCCAGGAACTTAACTTAAGTATAGCCATTATTGAGTTACTGAGTAGATCAGTCCCACTATAATCATTGTTTGGCTGTGCCATCACAGACGCACATCTCCAACTAATATTATTAAACTATCGGTATATATAGTTATCAAGCGTGCGTAAGCAACGGTGAGAGGTATTGCAACTAAACTAATGAATATTCACTGGGAATATTCTTAGATGATGCTTGGAAGTTTTAGAGGATCATTCTAGGAATATTCCCAATGAATATTCCTAGAATGAAGCGGAATATTCCTAGGCGATACGGAATATTCCTGGAATATTTTCGAATCTTCATTGCAGTCTGGGATACCTATAGGTATAGGAAACGATATTTTTATGACGTTTTAAAAATAAAATAAATTGTTAATAACAAAGTTATGATTTAAAGTTTTAATGTTTTGATACAAACTGTCAGAAAAAACATGTTAACAAAAAGTGCCTTATTTGAACAACAGTCCAGCAACTTTTCTTAGATAGGCGTTAGAGCGCCATTTTCAGAACACCCTGTATATTCTTAAAAAATATTAAAACCAAGAATATTTGAATTTTTTAAATTTTAGCCTATTTGAAATAGTTTTATAAATCTTATTACCGCATTAAAATTCCAGCGATTTCATTAGTTGAGTTTGTTGGGTCAAAAATAATTTTAAGCAATATAGAGCATAGCCAAGTTAACTTAGCTTGTTATTTAGAAAGGATAAAAATAAACATTTAAAAAGATAAACAAAAAACATGACCTAGGTTAACATTATTATTATTTACGATTTTTAACTAATAAGAAAATAAGTAATTGCTAAAATTATAGTAAGATTAGTTAAAAACGCATTATCGTTGATTGAACTCAACGGTATTATTGTTTTTAAATTGCCGACAATAATATTATGTTGAATTCTTAGGGTAGAATGTGCATTCTAAAAATAAGTTTTATGACTTTATACCTACTTTTTCTTGAGAACTTAAGTCCGTGAGATTAAGGGTGGTCGAGTGGTAAGGCAACTTTGCACCCATACAAGAAGTATAATTTAAACTCTGGCAAACTGCGGGTCTTCTGCAATACTTCAACGTGGGGTTAAACTTGTCGAAGTAAATATGCTCCTTCTTTGTGGCTCTATGTTTAACGAAAGGCGAGCGATCGCTCGGCAAGATCTTGTTAAACTCCTCATCGTTATCCTCACTTAAACTCCTGCACTTCACCACACTAACGCACACAATTAAGTAGAGTACACACCGCATTTTAACATTATTAACTTCGTTTAATTGTGTTGTAAAGCGGTGCACATGTTTAAATGGTTTTGTCGACTTGTTTTCGTCGAGAGCTGCGTTTTATTGGTGGTCCAAGTTGGTTTAGAGAGAGACAGCGGACCACCCACATTGCTGAGACGTTTCGAGGGAGGAAGAAGGAGACAAGTGCGGTGCGCGAGGGGTGTGCGCGCAGGAACCGGCTTAAGAATTGGGCAGGGCGGTATTCAGGGCGATTTTTGAGTGTTTTTTAAAGTTGAGTTGTTGTTTTGAGTGAAAGTTACCGCGGCAAGTTAACAAAGTATTTTTTCTACGACCACTATGTAAAAGTCACTTTTCATGATGCTTCATTTGCTTAGAAAATGAATCTTTTCATTGGCAAGGCAAAACACGAATGTAAAGTGACATTTCTGTGTGAAAAGTGACAGGTCTGTGTGAAAAGAACCGGAAAGCATCGTTTGACATTCAGCTGTCAAAAAAGTTTTTAGGTTATTTTGTTTTTTATTTAAAAATAATAAAAAATAAAAGGGTCGCAGAAAAAACATTGTGTTATACTTGTGAGAAAAGCTTTCTTCAAGCTCGTGTTAATGTACCCTCGGCCTAACGGCCTCGTGGGCAACTTAAAAACTCGCATGAAAAAGTCGCTTTTCAACACTTGTAAAACAAATAACTATTGTATTTTTCACTTGATTAGTTTTTAGGGTAAAAAATATTAAAATTGTAATTGCATATCTGAATGTACTTTTAAATTCTAATTAATTTTTATTAAACACTTTTTGATTTTATCAAAAATAAAGGTACTTTTACTCCTGAGTACCTAAGGATCTCCCCAGAGGGCCATATCAGGTTAAAACATGGCCAAGAATTGCCCATTACCTTTGGAAAAGTTTTGCCAATAAATGTACTATGTAGGACTGTATATTCCTATGGTATTTGTGCAATCGCGATGGCCAACAATAAATGACCAAATTGTGCCCAATAATATGCCAAAGCAGTTTGGATAAATTAGGTAGGTTACCGTTGGTTTAATTTTGGGAATGTTTGGGCATGGAAAAACGATGACAAATTTTTGATGTTTATTTGGGCAATTAGGCTTTTGAAAAATTGACCAAATATTGGTAAATATTTGGACAAATCCAAAGTATTAACAAATATTATTATTATATTTGAAAATTGGGTAAATAAAAAATTTTGTATTTATATTTTTTAATAATAAAAAAATAAAACAGTATGTTTCAATACTGGAACAGAGGTCAAAAATAAAATTAAAAAAAAACAAATGTATAAATAAAAAATATTTAAAATAATCAAAATTGGAAAAAAATATTGTTTTTTTATGTTGAATCCCAAGCAGTGATTTAATTGTTTTTTTGCAATAAGGCTTTTTTTTTATTTCGGACCCGTTGCTTCGCGTTGTTTAAGGCCACGTCAAAGGACCTCTGGAATTCTAAAGCCCCTGGAGGAGGAAATTTATCATGTTCATGTAAACTCTCTAAAAAATACTTTAAGTAACAAAATTGTCTAGGAAATAATATTAAAATATAAAACATACGGTGAATGGCTTGTACGATTTTTGTTTTGGACACTCCAACACCAGCACATCCAGTGCGCGTTATTTTGGAAGAAACTTCATCTGAGAAGGCTTCTTTGACAATTAAATTCACGCTGCCTACGACGTCATCGTCAGCGACAAATTTAAAGTAGCTAACCTATAACATAACAATATAAAAACACAAGTCTTAAAACGTATTTTGGAAGTGAAAACCATTTTTTGATACATGTTTACAAAAAAGTGTTATTTTTCTATGAAGAATGCACTGTTTAAGTTTGGCCCCCTAATTTCAGGACACCCTGTATACCTATCTATAGATTTCTTTAAGTGCAGATGTATATACAAGAATATTCTTGGTTGAGTTTTTCTTGTTTGACGGGTCAACACAAATTGTGTTACACAATTTTTTAAATTAAATTACCTATGTTACGTTTCATTACATTACTTTAAATGCTGGCTAAATCCACCTTTATACTTGTTATAATATTATGATACAAATAGAATTACGATCAGGCTATCAAGAATTATGCTTTATTAAACATTAAGAACTTATTGTAAAATAGTTTGTGATTGGTAACTTTATGTTATGAAGAACTTTAAAAATAAAAAAGAAATAAATTTTTAAATTCAATAAAAAAATTGCAATTACCTTGCTCACTTCTAGCACGATAAATCTTAAAACCCAATAAATCCTCTTTTTCCTTCGTGACATATACATAGGTAGAAAATTTATTTTTAAATTGTCCTGCTTGTAGTGAAAGCCTAGTACCCATAAACACTATTTACCTAGAAAAAGGCAGTTATTTTTCTTCACTGCAACTTCAAGATGAAAATCTGTAACAATTAACAAAAAATAAGTACATAATATAGAACTAGCAATGTAAATTTATATTACCTACTTCAAAATTAATAAGGGAATAAAATCTTCGAGAAGTAAGAAATTGTATAATAATTGAATGTTTTATTAAAAACTTTGAAAACAAACCTAACCTTAATTACTTACTCAAAATTTAAAGCCGTTTAAAACTTAACACGTTTAGTTAGTGCACAGATGATTATATTACACAAGCACTTTTTGACGCCTTTTTGTAGAGAAGGTCTTGAAATATTAACGACATATAACTCGCCATTGCGATTCCTTTTCCATGCTGATCAATTATTTGCCAAGTTTCGATCAATCCACTTTATCTAATCTATGGATCAATCTGAATTACAAACGCTTTGCCAATTTTCGACCAAACTTCATTACAAACGACGTTGGCCAATAATAACTCTATCTAGGACTGTATATTTGTGTAGTTGTTGTGCTATCGCATTGGAAAATAATTTGGCATAAAACATGTCAATTTTTGGTCAAACTTTATGAAAATACAATTAATATGTCCAAATAAACCCCAATAAATGTAAAATATCGTAGTCCAAACTTAGTTGGGAAAAAGTTGACTAATTTCTTTCCCAAAGCATGGCTCTCTGGGTCAGTCGAATTTTTGAAAGAATCTATGGAAAATAACACTTCTGTGCAGATTATTTCAAAAATTCGTTTCCAAACTCGAGAAACAAAATAGGATAATGCTGATAGGTTAAAAATTGTTTATTATAAGTAGTTTATTTTTTATGGAAACCTCATAGATAGTAAGATACAAAACAAATTTAACTTTAAAAATTATTTTCTTGAAAGAAATCTGAAATTATTTGCGAATGTTTCTGATGCCTCAAAAAATTTTGTATTAAACTTGGACATTTTATGGAAACTCTTCAAATGGAGATACTACTTTAATAGAACCTTGGCAAAACTGTATTTTTTTGGACATTGTAGAATAAAAAATTTACAATTTATAACAGAAATTGTCAAATAATTAATATTTGGTTGGTTTTTATAACAGCTAGATGAAATATGTAGACAAAGAATTAATCATGTAAACCTTGAAAAATAAATGTATTAAAACTACTTTTAAACAATGTAATATCTAATAAGCAATAAAAATGCATATCCCCTCATACCTCAAAATAGATCTTCCACAAATGGAATATCAATTAAAAAAACTTACCATTTATAACACGTAGGTATTGCTTACCATTTATATTTTACCCTATTAAATTTTATAAAAACATGAACTGGATTTTTAAATTTTTTTATTTACGTTACAATTATAAAATTACTGTTCTTTAACTTCTCTGAGACGTCTGACAGCCGACCTCACTGAAGCTGCAGCTGTGGTCGAGTATACCCAAGCACCGCCAGCTACGACGCGTTTGCAACGTTTGCAGTTCCAAATTCCAACTACGCTTCTTTTCATGGCATCCTTAAAACAAAAAATTAATATTAAGTTCACGTTAAAATGAAATACATAACCTAAATGTGTCAATTTAACTTTTACTACAAAAAAAATAATTTATAAGCAAACATCAAAGTTACCCATGAAAATGATTGTCTTATGTCAAAAAGACAAAAACAATAAAATATTTAAAATGCAAAAATCAAGGGTAGCTATAAAAACAATCGTTTTAAACTTTGAGGTTATGATATTTTTTAAAGAAACTAGCCAATAAGATTTTGGTACTAACCTTTCCACAGAAACTGCAGGAGTATTTACTGTGTTGGGTGATTTCCATCTTTTTTACCATTTTACGTAGGGAAGCACCATAACGGGTTCCATATTTACCAGTGATTCCAACCTTCTTGGTGCGTTTTGCCTAAAAATATACATATCATTAGTAACTTTAATAAGCCTAGAATATCTCCAAAATATACCGCATAATTTAACTGCCAGAAACCTTACGTTTTAAACCTAATAACGTTAATACTTTACATTTTGTAAACATGATCTAACCTAAATTCGTTTCCAAAATAAAACGGGCCATCATCGCCGAAATATCAACTAAATCGACTTGCAAAGGATCCATATTAACGTTATAAAGCATTAAATCGTAAAATTGTAGGGCGATTTTAAGGATTTTTAAAGATTTTTTGAATTCTCTCACCATTTTGCAGCAGTTACTTTCGTTGCTAGCTTAAAAAGAGAAGTTTGACGTTTCAGAATTGCCAACGTAAAAAAGTACAGCGTTGCCGGATGATGAAATGGTCACTGATTATGGGATACCAGTAAGTTTAATTTTGATTATTTTGGGTAAAACAAAGGTTGTTTTTAAAAACAATTAAAATGAAGGATATTTATTTTAGTTTTTTACTTTATAATGTAAATAATAGTATTTATTTTATTTAATTTAACAATTTTATTGTCGGTGTTTTTGACATCCAACAACAGTGCAGGTTATTCCAAGGTTGCTTTGCATTTATTTCATTTAAAATTATAATAAGCGAAACTTATTGATTAAATATTAAATAAAATAGCTTTAAACCCACTTATAATGTTATATTTTCTTAATGATAACATGATTCGCCAGGTATTTGTTATAAAAACTGTACAAATAATTTAAATGTATGTATGTGAAGCTACCTTAAAAGTTTCTTCCAAAAATTTCTGATCTGTCAAAAATTAGTCATCCGTCATTATTACAAGTTGACGTTTTGTTTTGAGGTCGAAATAATATTTTTAGCAATTTTTTAATTTTAATAGGAACCATACAAAATGGTAAGCGATACAACAACTTCTAGTGAACTCAAAATTGTAAAACATTGTTTAACTATGTGCTTAGTTATAAAATAAAATGTCACACCCACTGGCTAGCTATAAAATACAAGCTAAAAATTGTGTTAGTGTAGAAATAGCGGTAAATACATAGTTTGTATTGTGTTTTGCAGTGTTATGTGTGTAAAAACAGTGGTTTTAATTTTGGTGTTCATGAAAACACAACAAACATATTTAGGTAGATAAAAATCAGTAAAATTATCATTCTTTTTTAGGGAGATCAATTCGATTGCGCTCTAGACTTAATGCGTAGACTTCCTCCACAACAAATAGAAAAAAACTTATGTGATTTAATAGATTTGGTTCCTAGTTTATGTGAAGATTTACTGTCATCTGTCGACCAGCCCTTGAAAGTGGCTAAAGATAAGGATTCAGGCAAAGATTATTTGTTGTGTGATTATAATAGAGATGGTGACTCATATAGGTAATAATAATCAGGGTTAAAAATCATATCCTGGAAGCTTGTGTGGTTTATTGTACATTTTTGGAGATTAATTCTTATTAATATATATAATATATAATATAACCACAGAGGATATAACATTCTTTATCAAACTAATTAAGTAATTTTTTGTTGATAAGATGTCCAAATATTTTGGCAAAACATTTTTAAACACTGTATTTTATTTATTTATTTCTGCCTATTTAGGTAATAAATTACCTGTACATAGGTCCAGTACATAACTTAAAACTAAAATAATATACTACTACTACAGTTTATAATTTGAAATTTAATACCTACTATTAAGTTAATAATGAATTATTGGTACAGTTTTTGGTAATCCAGTCTTTTAACATTTTTTTAAACTGAAAACTAAATCTGTTTTTTGGGTTATTTACAACTTGATGTTATTAGGTAACATCCCAATAAACATTTTTGTTTTTATAGTGGTTTCCATAAATGTTATATCATCCAAATTATAAAACCTTAATTTCTTAATTTGGTTACAGAAATATTTATATCACTCTTATATACCCCTTAAAGAGCCTATTTGGGGAGTTTATGAAAGTTATTGGTACCTATTTTAGTAACACTATAAAACCCAAGTTTTATAACTAAAGATAACAGGAATATTATGGAAACCACTATATAACTTCCCAAAGAACTGCTACTTGGTTTTTCTTCTTTTAATATTTATCAGGCACATTTAAAATATATATTTCTTCATAGATACTCTATCTTTCTTATTGTCATCTTATTATTATAAATTATTAATGGTATATAATTTAAATCTAAGATTTTTTACTCAATACGACTTAAAGTGCAAAGTAATTTTTATTATAAATATGTACCTACACAATACTTTGAAAAACATCAAGGGACATCAAAATACCAAAACATAAATATTTTTTATACTATTAAAAAATATATGAAAATATTTTTTTAAATACATTAATATCTTTTGCTTACATTAAAGGAGTGAATTTTTTATCTTGGTTTGGTCAATTAAGTTGTTTTTGTAATACAATTCGATTAAGGTTTATTTTATGTAAAACACAATCATGGCGGAAAGAATGTATCAACCTTGAGCCCTCTTATATTGCTCATGGTAATTTTATATAACCTAAGGTGCTAGTTCGGTTTTATAGGACTATCTACATTACTTAAAGTATTATTATATAATTTTGAAACTCTTATATACATTGTAGTAACTGTTGTTACTACAGGTGATGTTATAAAACTTTTGATAGGCAACCATCTATCCACCTTTAAAATATTTATGTTAATAATATTATATTACTTATATATTCTATGCTAAATATTTTCTTTTATGCTTAATTTCTGTTTCAATTACTAAACACATTAAGCACATAAATAATTAATAACTCTCAGTTTTTATTTAAAAAAATTTAAAACAATAGTTTTATAAAAACGTAACCTCAAACTTTATAAAACTCCTTTATAAACCTAATGGTAACGGTTACTAAAGGTTATATAAAATGATTGTTGAATTAATTAAATAACCCAATTATATACCTAGAGTTTATAGTAACCTTATATGACCATTATAAAACTAGCAAACAAAATGGCGATTTTATAAAACCTTGTTGCACTCTTATATAATTTGACAATTATTATATAACTATATAATTTATCGTTACCATAAGTAGTACAAATTGTACCATTGTAGAGACTAGTTTTTTACCAACTGCAAGCTTTACTTTTGGCAGTAAAATACTTTTAAACCTAGTTTTTTATTACTATTTTTGTAGATAATGTACAAGTTTGATAAGTAGGTTTTTCAAATAGTAATTTTGATATTATTATTTATTAATTTAAGGATGCATATACATTAGACTGGGCCAAAAAAATCAACTATTTTTTTTTTGAAAAGTACCTACATATATTGAAAATATGGTTTGGGCTGACAAAAAAAAATTATTGTGAAAGTTTGAGTCCATAACATTACTATTGAGTGGTCTATCATCGCAATTTTAATTTTTTTTTCCTCAGCAAGTTTTTGTCTCAGAACTCCCAAACTATTGAGTTTAACAAAATTGACTCAGAAATATTTTTTTAAGAAAATGAAATGCTCTACAAAAAAGGTTAAAATGAAATTTTCCGTCAGATGAACCGTTTTCTTACAATCATACCTTAAAAATTGGTATAGTTTTACAAGTTCATCTTTTTACTTTGGAATTTTGTAATTCATGTAAAAATCAGTACCCATAAAAAACCGATAAATATTCTTATGGGAAATCAAATGCTTTACAAAAAAAGCCTCTTAACATTTTTGGCTAAATTCACTCAATCAAAAGTTATTCAAGGTTAAAGTTGAAGTCAAAACGAAATTCTTGTTTGTCCTCTGTAGATTTATTTGCTTATGTTTGATAATTTGATTTGTTTCTTTATAAATGTGTATTATATAACTAATTAACAATTTCCAATAAAAAAACAACATGATTGTTATTGTTTAAACGATTAAATAGGTAACAGTGAAAATAATATTTTCTAAAGAAATAGTTTCTAAAGCAATAGTTTCTAAAGCGAAAATTCTGTTTTTTTTTTAATTATTAGTAATTTTATCAATAAAATAAAGATTATCATCGATAAAAGAATTTAAGTTTTTAACTCACCCAAAAAAAAAATCTAGAGCGGAAAGAACAAGAATTTCGTTTTGACTTTTTTTGTAGAGCATTTGATTTCCCATATATATCGGTTTTTTTTCCATGAATTACAAAATTCCAAAGTTAAAAGATCAAATTGTAAAAGTAAACCAATTTTTAAGGCATGATTGTAAGAAAACGGTTCATCTGACGGGAAATTCCAATCAAACCTTTTTTGTAGAACATTCAATTTTCTTCAAAAAATATTCTTAAGCCAATTTTGTTAAACTCAATGGTTTGGGAGTTCTGAGACAAAAACTCGCTCAGGAAAAAAAATCTAAAATTGCGATGATAGACCTATTAATATTAATATTATGGACTCAAACTTTCACCATAATTTTTATTTGTCACCCCAAACAATATTTTTGATATACTTTACCAAAAAAAAATAGTTGATTTGATACATATCAACATTCTTAAGAATGTTAACTTGAGATAGATATATCTATATCTTTATCTATTTATAACTACCTCTCCAAAAATGGCAATATTGTTGGACTTCTTAAGGACAAAAAAATCAAAAATAGTTCCAGCAATAGAAATGGATTTCTGTATGTTTTGTTGTTAATTTTTAGGTCTCCATGGTCCAACACATACTACCCACCCCTAGACGATGGCTCCATGCCTTCGGAGCGCCTACGTAAATTAGAACTCGACGCCAACCATGCTTTCGATCAATATAGGGAAATGTACTTCGAAGGCGGCGTATCGTCGGTGTACTTTTGGGATTTGGACCACGGATTCGCCGGCGTTATACTCATCAAAAAAACCGGCGACGGCAGTAAAAAGATCAAGGGGTGCTGGGACTCCCTGCATGTGGTCGAAGTGCAAGAAAAAAGTTCCGGCAGGAATTCACACTATAAAATGACTTCTACTGCTATGTTGTGGCTGCAGACCAACAAACAGGAATCCGGTACAATGAATTTGGGCGGCAGTCTTACCCGACAGGTAAGAAAAAATACGTTTAAAATGTCAATATACATATATATATACATATATGTATATAGGTAATATAAAACTATAATTAAACATCTGCCCTGTTAAGCAAAAATGCCTCATCTACATTATTATATAATTATAATAAGTATCATATGAACAAAAAACATTTTTATTGTTTTTAATAATAAAAATGATCTTTAGGTTCCTAATTAAATTGAAAAAAATAAATTATACACATTCATAGATATTCCCTTTAAAAATCCTGTTTATAAAAAATAAAATCGTTTATTAGCCAAAGTTTGACAATTTTCAAATTTAAAGTGCTGTTACACAAACAACTTTTGTCCGATTTTGTACTATCATGGGGTTAGGAAATTTGGCAACACTGGCCGGCTAGCACCGTTCAGGCCCGTCTAAACGAATTAAGCCTAATTTTCATGTATCCGTTTGTCCGTCATCCGTTTGTCTGTTTTTCAATAAAATCGTCCGATAAGAAATGTTCTAATTTTCATGCACACGTTTTTTAATGACGTTTAACGGATTGATTTGGCGACAAATGGAAATTAAGGGACAGTATATACAGACTGTATAGAATCAAGTAAGTAAGGCTGGAGACAAGGATGACAAATTATATTCTGATCAGAGAAAAAGAAACAAACTTTAATTGAGCGTGGTTTAAACCAATCCATTCGTAATTACGAACCATAGTTGCCAGGTTGTTTTAAATCAGAAGAGAACGATTATAATTATTTAATAAATTGTTCAATTTTATTTGTTTGAAACTTTAAAAATAACAAATATGTCAAAAATGATTTGATTTAGTTAATTTTCTTACTTTTAATATTAAAAAATAAGAAAAACAACCCGTTTAGGAAACAATAATAGCATATGACAACAGCGCGGCTGTTTGTTCAGTAGATCCGACGCTGTCGTAGGGAAATGTGTATAGTTTTTAAGAAATACATTTTCGCCATTAACTGGAATTTAATGGATTTTAAACAATACTTAGTTTTTATTTGCAGAAATGCATTAAAACAAAACAAACGAATTCGATAAAAATAAAACCTATAAATTCTCAAACAAAAATAATTCTAAAATAACGAAAATATCTTTTTTTCTAAATTAAATGTTCAAATACACCACCAGCAGCAGTTAAACAATACCCTAGCCTATCATAAAAATTCCTGCGCACGTTAAACAGCAGTGTTGCCGCGCTGAATTTCTAAAATGTACTGAGCGGAAGCAATAAAATGTACTAGATTGTACTAGATTTACAATAAAGTGCAACCTTGCCGTTTTTCATAGAATGTACCTTAGGGTGTTTCAAAAAAAACTAAAATTATTTTTTTTCTAATGGTGTTGAAAAATTAATAGTACATTAAAAAACAAAAATTTTGGCGCATATTTGAGCTCTTAATATTAATATTAAGGTTTGCCTCAATTCATTTGTTGTTTTTCCATTTCAATAACACGGGAATTTTTATTTTTTAAATTTTGAATTCTTATAACTTTGGAATGGTTCGTTTTCGCAACACCCAAGCGAGAGGAGTTATAGACAATTTCACGCTCTACAAAAAACATCTGAAGGTCAAAGTTCTTCAGGTCAACCGTTTCAAAGATATCAGCGATCAAAAATAACACTAATAAAAAATTTCAAATATTTTCAAATAAAATACAAAAAAATATCATATGCCATATTTATATTATTTTTTATGTAAAATCACTTTAATTATGTTAACCTGAGACTGTAAACTTTTTTATATATATATATGACATATTATATGTATATGTATATATATATATATATAATATACATTGTATATATAAGTATATGTACCTTTATATAAATAAAAAAAATTGTCTATAACTCCTCTTGCTTGGGTGTTGCGAAAACAAACCTAATGATTGGCAAGTTGCCACACAAAATTCGATTTCGTTACATTCGATGCTAGTCATTAGGTTTGTTCAGGTTGCACTGGCAACGCTGCACTTCTTATGTCAATTAAACTTGACGTAAGCAATGCGATGTTGCCACAAAAAATTTGATCCCGCGTTATTCAAAGTCCGGTGTCGATTTTTTCGGTGTTTCTCCTTTATTTTTCACAATGTTAAAATGTACTAGACTAAGGGACATTTGTAAGAAAATGTACTTTTGTACTGAGTTCTTCAAAATGTACTAGATTTAGTACAAATGTACTAGAACGGCAACACTGTTAAACAGCATTTCAGGACTAATATCTCCCAATGTATCCCTACCACAGTGGGCGGGGTTTGGCACTTGTTTTATTTAAGTGTATCTATCCGTTTTAATACACACTGTATTTACTAAATTTACCTAATGCTTAATTGTCATAGTTACAATTATGTCAACAATTGTAACTTTAACAGTTAGCTATCTAATAAATTTAAAGGTAGGTAAATATACCTTATAAAAAGAATATACTAGCCTTAATGTACATTAAAATGTATAGTTTTAAAAAAGCAGGTCCTTTTAGTTCTAGTTTTAATTTTTTTTTGTCCTTCCTTTTTTTCCGTTATTCTTATTAAATAAAAACATAACAGTAGAACATTATTCACATAACGAACGTTATATTTCCGTTTTACAATCTTATTGAAAAAATATAAAAATATTTGAAAATAAATTATCTTAAAATAACGTTAGGCGTCAAAAACAGATGTGTAGTGACGGATGAGTTAAAATTATTTTAACATTCTCTGTCAGACGTACGAAGTTAAAACTTGACGGACCGATAAAATGTCATAATTTTCGAATTATAATTGGACCAATAAGAGCGCTCCCGGATGAACGGACTAACGGACAAACGGATACATGAAAATGAAGCTTTATACGAAAAATAATCATATATTATATCACGAAAACTATGAATTTAATCGGTTAAACTAAGCTCAGTAGTTTTTTGCTTGGTTTTTGTTGGAAAATGTTGAATACAAAATAATTTAATAAAATCACGAGACCGCGTCATTAATTCTAGATGGAACAAGACAGCGTAGTGAGCGAGTCCAACCCACACATCGCGAATATAGGGCGCATGGTCGAGGACATGGAAAATAAAATTCGTAACACTCTAAACGAAATCTACTTCAGCAAAACTAAGGACATCGTGAACAGTTTAAGGTCGGTGCAGCCGTTGAACGAGAGTCGTCAGCAGCAGGCCCTGAAGCAGGACCTTGCGGCAGCCCTGCAGCGCCGCCACAACAAATCAGACAACTGATCGAGTAAGGACCGATTAATTTTTAATGTAAATTTCGAAAACGACGACTAACGATCACTATCCGAAAGTTCACCCCCCATAATTTCAACCATAATACTGTCAAAAATGACAGATTTGACCGTTGTGTCATTTTTGACGGTTGTCAACTGCCTAAAAACGGTCAAATTACGTTTGACGGCTGTCAAATTAAAGCACGCTTTGTTTGTATGGTGCAATAATTAAGGTTAAAAGCAGTATTATGGTTTTATTTTAAATTGCCAAATAATTAAAAGCATTTTTTATCGATAATTTTCTCTATAATTTATATTTATGTAATGATAGGCAGTTTTTTTATTTAACATATTTTTTACGTTTAATTAATTAATATTTTATGTGAAGGCTCAAAGAAGTATTCGACTCCCTCATACTTCCAGAGAGTACTATTTAAATTATATATTGTATTATAAATTAGTAAATTTTAAATATGATTCATTTTTGTACAAAACAAAATCGTTTTATTTATTTCTAAAAACCTAACAACACAACAATTCTTAACACATCATAGTCAACAAGTTAAAAAATTAGGCAGCATCTACTTCCTTGAAATTCCTCATTCCCATCATTGACTGAGGTCCTTTTATCACCCTGTACATCACAGCCCAACACAACTTTGCTGGAATAAAACTAAAAAAAAAGAATTAATAAAAATTTCTTAGACCAAAGAGTGCTTAGATAGAGCATTACAAAAACGCGGTATCCTTGGATTATGCCAAAATAAAAATTCAATAAAAAGCCCAACTTAATTTTAATTTTAACAAAGTTTTTCTGCAAACTATGTGGACGTTTTTTTTCTTCATATAAATGACTTGGTCTATCTACAAAAATGGTTAATTACTCAACTTTCTATCCCTAATACTTTGCATAGCAAAACACTAAAAAATATTTTTTAAATAACGCCAATTTAATTGTTTCATTAATATTTAAAGTTACATAGGTTAAATTTTCGCGCAGATTGTATCGAGGTAATGTTAAAAAATTTAACTTGTAACGTGTAACGACCTGCGTAAATTTTTTAAACATATTAAAATACTGTGTTAATTTTTTTTCCTTTTACTACGATTTTTTGTAAAAAGGTTGATATTGCATTTCCTACAAGCGTGGATGAGGTTATGTTTTGGTAAAAAATTGTCTTAAACAATAATTAAAAGGAATAAAATAAACCACAAATTTGCTTTTTAACTTCTGTGCCTATTTTCAATAGTTTAGTTTTTAGACCTAAGAAACGCGTAATTTAAAAAATATTTTTTAAGTTAGATTTGCACAATAAATTAAATTTTAAAATGGCAAAAATTTAAAAAAAAATGGGAGGACAAATTTGCGCAGTGGGATAAATTTATGAAATTGTCAAAATTTACAAAAATTTTAAAATTCATTAAATTTTCAAATATTTTAAAATTAACAATTTTTTTGATACAGTAAAAAGCAAAATATTAGCGACAGAAACTGGTGTAAGTTTAGTAAAAAGGGTTATATAAGTTTTATTATGAAACTGAAGAATTTTTTTTAAACTAGACTCAAGTCAAGTGACTTTTTCAATACTTGTATGGTTTTTACTAAATAAATAATGTATTATAATTAATGTTGAGGTTCCACAGTTATTTATATAAAAAATAAATAAATTCTAACAACTTACTTTTTAAGAGGCAAAACAAATCTTAAAAATCCCGGTATGGTCACAAAAACTTCCTCTCTTCTTATGGCCAAAATAATACGTTTTGCTACGTCCTTTGGCTCCAACATATTTATATTCTTTGGTTTGCACCCATCAAACATCCCGGTATTTATTAAATACGGGCATATTAAGGTCATTTTTATATCGTCAAAACCATGTGTCTGAAAATAAAAAAACTTTTAAAATGCATAAAAGTCCGCCCCAAAAAGGTGACATTTTAGAGACCGACCTTATATGCAACAAATAATATTGCAATATTTTTGCAGTAACATGATTAAAAAATAATGATAAAAATTAGAAGAAAGTTGTGAAAGTCACAAAACATAAAGTATACCATTAATAATACAAACGCATGCATGTCGACAATAAACATACGTTAAAACAAAATGTCACCCATGAGATATCTTTTGTTTACAAATCATAAAAAACGCCATACCTTCAATTCGACCCATAAACTTTCGTGAAATCCGATGGTGGCATGTTTTGACGCACTATAATCCGTACATTTGTATGTGCCCAGCATTCCTGTCAAACTTCCCATCGTCACAATATGCCCCTTCTTGTGTCTCATCATATCTGGTAAGAAGGCCTTGACGGTCTAAAAATGACGTTCAAATGTCAATTTTACGTATAAACTGTTAAATTTGACATTTAAACTGTCAAAATGGCTTTTAAGGTTAATTTTTGACAGTTCTTACCCAGTAGTGCGATAAAACGTTGACCTTGTAGGTTTTTTCGATCATATAATCGGGCAGGTCGAGTAAATTTTGCCCGCAAACTATTCCTGCGTTGTTTATTAGAATGTCAATGGGACCTAAGTCTGCTTTGACGGAATCTGCCGCTTTGTAGACATCTTCCTTGTCGGATACGTCTACTTTGTAGATGAAAAGTTTGTGGCCTTCGGATTCGATTTTTTCTTTTAGGTTTTCCATGGCTGAAATTGGTTTTTGTTTTGTCATTTAAATTGGTTTATTTTTTAGGCGAGTTTTGAATGAAATATGTTAATTTTAAGAATAAAGGATTATTTTATAATTCTATGGTTATATGAGATGAGGTCAAATGAACAGAACAGTCGAAATAAACTTATATATAAGTTTTTTTATGAACGTTATAAAAAATAATGCATAAAAACAATTAAAAATTGTCGTCAGAAAAATTAAATTCAATTAAAAATATCTCCTATGATATTTTTAATACATTTAAAAATTTCTTCTATGCTATTTTTAATTTAGCGAATTAAAAATATGTTTAAAAAAACAATTAAAAGAAGAAAATATTTTAAAAATATCAGTTTTGCATAAAAATTAAATCTAATTTTTAAATATATATATATATATATATATATATATATATATATATATATATATATATATATATATATATATATATATATATATCTGCTATGATATTTTTAATTCACAGATTATACATGTTCATGTGATATTTTTTAAATTATACATATTTTTAAAAAATAGATCTAATTTTTATGCCCAACTGATATTTTTTATATATTTAATTTACCTACTATTTGTTTTTTTTAACACATATTTTTAGTTCGCTTAATTAAAAATTATATTTAATTTTTATGCCAAACAGATATTTTTAGTTAAACACATACCTATGTATTTTAATTCGCTAAATTAATAATATCATAGGAGAAATTTTTAATTTGATTTAAATTTTTTTTAATTGCCTGGGGTGTCCAAACTTTCAATCTGAATAAAAAATATCACATTCAATTAAAATATCTACTTATCTTAAAATATAAAAATTAATGCATGATATTTTTAATTTATCGAATTAAAAATGTGTTTAACTAAAAAATTCAAATATAAGAAACAGATATAATTATCAGTTTGGCATAAAAATTAAATGTAATTATTAAATATCTATTTTTAATTCGAAGAATAAAAAATCTTATATGATATTTTTTATCTAATTGAAAATATTACTTTAGTGTCTTAACACATAAGAATAATTCCTGAATAAAAAATAAAACGTAAAAAGTGAATTTCAATTTATATTTATTAATTATGTCCGAATTTTTGGGTTAGGACTCCTAAACCAAAAATTCAGTGACTTTTCTTACCCTTTTCATTCATATCCCAAACAACGACCTTGGCATTGCTTCTGGCCAATCGTATGGCCAATTCTTGTCCAACCCCTCCAGCGCCCCCTGTTATTAAAACAACCTTATCCCGCACGCTATTTAATTTACGTAAAAACGACGGCGTAAACGTCAAAATGACAGTTTCTGCAACGTAGTAGACTGACAGGGCGGTTAATATTGTTAACTCTATTAGTCTGTCAATTATATGGAGAACTAAACGCGTTAATAATCTGTAAAATCTAAAAGAAACCCTACAAAGATTTATTTATAATTACTAATATACTATTTTTTTTAAGACTTACTTCTTAAATGCCTCCCAATAATTATCCATTGTTTACTATTATTTAACAAAACTTATTTGCACTCAAGTCTTGTTAGACTGTACACCTATTGAATGAGAATGAGCGTTGAATTCTGCATTATGTTTTGTATTTTCATTCCTTTCAGCGGTGCGATGTAAAAAGAGAAATTAAATCTGAGTGTGATGACCTACTATCTTCGCTAAAAAAAATATATACACGAAGAGTTCGTTTAACGCCTTTCCAATTTTTTAATGTCATGTTAGATAGGTACAACATAGAAAACGCCTAAAAGGCATACACGGTAAATACCTGCTAAAGGTTAAGCTTTAGGTAACCAAAATCAAAAACTACAGCAAAATTTACAAAGCAATTTGCGATCACATAATAAATACAGCTACATATTTTTTCTTTTTTATTAAAAAAAACGTGCCAAAATGGCAAAACAGTCATATTTTTTACAGTTTAACCGTTAATTTTATTAACCGTGACGATATTCGGATTCCTCTGCAATTTTTACAATAAATTCACTATAAATACTTTCATTGTCCTCATTAAATTGCCGATAACAAGAGGGAGAGACCGTAAATGCTAAATAATTTCTTTAGGCGTAATCGTGGTTGCATACGTACACCCAATCGGTTCATGAAATACACTCGTGGACCCTACATAAACAACTTTTTAAATTTGACAAATGCGTCCTGTTTTATCGGCGTGTCATTTAAGGGTGAAAACCCCTTTCTTTTTGCCGCATTGCTACAACAATATTGCTAATAATCTGTTTTAATTTATAACTTGTGATTTTTATTTGTGATTGTTTAAAAATTTCAAGAAAATGTAACATTTTGTAAGTATTAACAGTGAAAAATAATGTATTACATGGGCTTGTTTATTTAGGTTATGTTTTTGTTTTTATCTGTCATTATATCACAGAAAACCTTGATTTTACAATGAATTTGTGCAATATTAGGAACTTAACGATGTTTCGTATGTCTAGCTATAAAAATAGCGTTAATCAATGAAAATAGGTTTTGTTGACATTAAATCCTAAAAATACATAATACCATAGTACAGGTACTATCGTAAAATCATGTGTAGAATGTTAAACGGTTGATGAGTCAAGTAAACTATGAAATTGAACCGTTATTCCACTGCAACTTTGATTTTGCAGTATCCATTTGCTAGTAAACGGTTTCACAGCCTAGGCGATCCGCCGTGAAATAATTCTCTTGCGATATTTCGTTGCTAAATCTCGTATTTACCCCCCGAAAAACTCTCAGATGTGATTCAAGGTAAAATTAAAGTGTGCATTGCGCCTATGGAAGAAAACGCGCTGTTTGTTGCACGTTGATGTGTTCGAAATATTATTCAGTACCTGTCTGAATTTTCGTGGTTTTGTTTGTTGTTTTTTTTCGGTGCGAGGTCGCGATTTTTAAATTTGGTGAGCGGTTATAAGACAAGAACCGCTGAACTGAGTTGTGTTTGTTTTTTAAGAGACCCTCATGTAAGTTTTATATTAAAAATAAAAAAATAATGCTAACTTATTTTATAAAATAGTAATGACACTAGTTAATGAGTTAGGGTTAATGAAACATAATTATAATACATTTAATAATTACTTGAATAAATAAAGATACCTATATTAAAAATAAAAAAAATAATGCTAATTTTTTTTATAAAATATTAACTAATAATGACACTTAGTTAATGAGTAAAGGTTAATAAAACATAATTATAATACGTTTAATAATTATTTGAATAAATATATTTTTTTATATCCTTAGGTAGGTAATAATAACAATATTATTTCATAAAATTAAATATAATTATATAATTATTTTTTATTTCATAGTAATTTTTATAATCCATTTTCTATTGAAACCATTAGATAAACCAACACAATAAACAAAACTTTTCTTTTGTTAAAACAAAAAAAAATATTTTATTTTTAAAAACCATACAACTAAATGTCTAACCATTGGCCTAGAAACTCGCATTTTGGAATAAAATTACAGATAATTATATCAACCAACATAAAATTACAATACCATATCGCTGGTACATTTTGAGATATATTATATAGTATAATACTGGTTGACTTTTTGTGAAAAAAACACCGGTAGGTATATGTTAAGGTGAATGGTTGGCCGGTTTTAAATGCAATTTATTTATAACGAAATGTCTCGCAAAGAAAAATATGTTTCAGTAGTTAAACACAAGTGTTGTTTCTCTCTTATGCAGAAAGGTTAGACTACTTACATAAAACTTAAAAATAACTTTGTTAATATTAATTAATGGATTCTAATTCTAATTTAGTCAAATAATTTTTCTAAAATATGCTTTCAGCAAAATAATTGTATGAATGACAAAAATTCAGTGAGATAGGACAACTTTCAGTCAAAATTCTCAAAAAACAAAAATTATACAAAAAATACCAAACACCATTCGAAAAAGTTGAAATCTTAACAACAAATCTAAAACATCAAAACTACGTAGGTACCTATCTCCAAAACTGGAAGTGCAAATCTTGGTATTGCAGAGAAGGGCCGGAATGTCAAAAATATTTCTGGGCTTTTTTTGTCAAGCCATTAAATCTCAACAAACCTTTGTGCATGGGCTTGAGCTCGTTCGCTGGATAGCCACTTTTTCATTTCGACACATTGCAATACCAAAGTTTTGTTGCAAACAACAATTTTATGCCTATAGAAAGTAAATCGATTCTGCAATAATATGCGGTTTTTTATTCAATATGCACAAATTGGGTTTTCTCGATAAATAGATAAATTAAAAAAAAATAAAACTAAATAAGTTTGACCTACACTTTTATTGTGTTTTTATCTTTCATAATTAAGTGTATATTACAGCTCAGGTTCCAGATTTTTAAACGCAATTAATTATTTTTTACAATGTATTAAAACTCTAAAACCTATCCTCCGTGACTCTTTCTAGGTTTACCTTTATGTTTTTAATTATCTGAGGTAGTAAAAGCATACTAAAAATATCAGTTCACTAAGTAAATTAAACACATCCAAAGCAATCGAATCAAATATAAAATATTATTAAAAATTAAAAGAAATAATTTTTATAACCATTTATGTAGGTGTTACAAAAATTGAGTCTATCCTCCGTGAATCTGTTTTTGCTTTAAATTTTATGCAACGGATGGCGCTTTAATCATTTTACATAAGCAAAAACCTCTGTTTACGACATTATAGATGCATGTGATTCCTGAAGGTCAGTTAGAATTTATATGCAGATGCGAGTGTTGCTGTTTTATAATTCAAAAGTTTAAGTTAATTAATTTGCTATTAAAAAACCTATCCACCGTGAAGTGTAATATCTCAGTAAGTAGATTTTTTTTAAAAATATTTTATGTACATATATCCAATGGTTTTTTTTAAATATTAAGGTGTCAAATGATGCGATAACTTATTTCAAGTATACAAAGGGGTGTATAAAAAAACATACGAAATCCTAACCTCCGTGGAGCTCTAATATTCCAAATGTATGATTTCTTAAAATTCTTGCTTTAGTGCAGAACCACTGGTGGCTTCCCAAAAACCCCATTCTAGACTAACAGTGAAACAATCAAAAATAAAAAATAATCATTTTCACTTGGGGGACATCTCAATATATTCACATGGTTTTAGATTATTAAATTTTTTTTTCGGCGATTTGTTTTGAGTTAAGGATTAAGGATTAAGGATTTAAAGTTAAAGATTATTTATTTATATATGTATATAGAAAACAATTTTCTAAACACGTTTTTCAAAATATCATTTTTAAATTTGTCAATAATTAAGTTAAGTTTACAATTTTTTGACAAAATATGGATTTTTTTTTTAATTCGTTTTAACCCAACCCATATATGCTCCAAAAGCATTAAAATAAGATAAATAAAATTGAATTCTATAAACCTTATTACTAAAAACTACCCATTGGAATTCCTTTTAGGAGGTACAAAAATAAAAAATTAACATTTGTGAATAAAAGTTTCTTTTCACACAAACTGTTTAAATTTAGCTAGCTGCAGATGTCTTGTTTATTTTCAGTATTTTAGTCACGGGCTGAAGTTTTAAGTACGTTGACAGTTGTCAAATGTTATACAATACAAATGTTGTACAATTGTTAATACCTACTAAATACTAAATCTGATTTTTTTAAAAAAATATATTGATATATATATTGATAATATATTATCAATTCAAAAATACAAAAGTATTAAATAGTTTCCTGACGCCAATATTTAAAAAGATTATATAAACGTTTGTACTGACCTTTTTATTTCGCCGTAGTAGTGCAGTAAACTAGATTTAACTGATAAAGCGTTAACAATTTTGCGTACAGTGCCCATATTAATACATTCTCTTCTCTTTTACTGTGAAAACTGCTTCTATATCGATTGTTAGTCTATTTTCAAGGGATAAATTTTGATTCTAATAAAAAAATTTGGATTTTAACGCCGGTAGATTTCCAAGTTAGAAATTCTAACATGAATTCCAATAAATACAACTTTTTGTACCTTTAACATTTCCTGTGTAAGAATTTTTAATACTTTTCGATAATATTTTGCAATTATACTAATAAAAAATCAAAGGATAAAATATTTTCTTAACATAATCATATTTTAAAGTTGTTTTAATATTTTAAAGGATCAATAATTGTTTAGTTTAATTAAAATAATAACGGGCAATGTAAATGGTGAAAATTAAGTCAAAAATGTTTATTGTGATGGTAACTTTATTTTCGTAGAGATGTCGATTTATACAAATATTTAATTTAAATCTTTTAATCTTAATAATATTAAGTATTTGTCGTAGAAAAAGTATAGTATGCAACTCGTTTATAAAGTTTTCTATGCACTCATTAAATTAAGCACTCGCTCGTGCCTAAAATGGGGTTTATCAAACTTGATACATAATATACTATTACTAATTTTCTACCATAACTTTTTGATTTTAAATTTTATCGTTAAGTGTTACTCGTCCTAAAAGAACATATAAATTAATTCTAGGTGTTTTTGATAATGAAGAATTTTTAATTTTGCATTGTAAACTATCAATTATAAGCAATTAAAATTTTAGTACATGTTATAAGCGTTAATAAACCCAAACCCTAAAATTTCATAATTCATCTCACACAAAATTGTTGACATTTCGTCTCCCAAACAGTTTCTCTTAAACCATAAATTTCGTATTTTTATATTTGTTTGAAAATCACGTATGCTTAAGCATAAATTCCTTGACATTTTTAATATTGACAGTGTTTTATTTTTTGTTTCACAACGCCGTGTTTCTTAAATTTAATAAAGGTATTGCAATCGTTTTACATCTAATTAACATGTGGGATAAAAAAATGTATCAAAATTCAAGGTATCAAAAACCTGCTTCTTATTAATTGCAATAAAATTTTTAAAAAGGTCAGTCTTGGTTTTTTTTATAAAAATGCACAGTCCAAAGATTTAATGTAAATTTTTGATAAAAATAAATAAATTAGGAAGCAAGGACAGATAAATAAGATTTTAATTTTAATTCCTCGATTTTTAAATAATTTAAACACCCAATATGAACATAACCTAGAAACCATAGCATGCATGCTAGAAACAAATGTTAGATCTATTCGTAATTCTTGACAAATCTGCTATAACATCGTGACCTCTCTTCAAGGTCATCAAAGCGTTTTGAATCTTGCGGTTTACAAAACGATGTAATAAAAAAGTTGCATGTCCCAACCCCATTGTAAATTTTTCCAGCTGCTGTTTCTTTATTGTATTATATAGTCATTATTATTTTATTGTTCAAATATTTATGAGGACTATAAAGTTAACTATTAATGTATTGTTAATAATGTATTTTATAATAAATATACAGTAAAATAAAAATAAAATAATCGTAAACAAACACATTATAGAAAAATTATCAAATCTGTTAAAATAACACATTGAGGTTTATTATGACCATTTGTACTTACTTACTTTATTAAAATAACTACATTTTTACCTTTAAGTTATTTTAACAGTAATTAAACGGTACAAAATTACCAAATATGGGTTATTTTTACTACATACAAACTATCCAAGCGACCAAAAGAAAAATGTAATAAAACAACATATTTACGTAAAAATAACGTTAAAATTACTTTATATCTGCAGAGAACATGTTCTCTCTTTCTAAAGCTTTAATATTACACTTTCTTTGTCCCTTTAATTTATATTTCAAACAGGTAAAGTTAACCATAAAGTAAAATTAATAAATATAACTTATATTGACAAAAGTAACTAGGTATATTTAGCATTAAAACTCAAACGCATCCTATCTTGCCTATGCCCTCCTCTAAATATTCTAGTGTTTTAAATAAATATATGACTTATGTACAAAATAAATATCTAAAAAACTTAAAATATCAAAGCAATCTTAACCCAAATTGCAAAACCCAAAAACAAAAAATATATATAGACATACGAGGTGTGTTTAGAAAATATGGAAAATTTTCGTTTTTTGAAAC